GAACAAGATAAAGGTTCCTTTTCATAATAAACTCAACATATGTACGTAAGATATGTTTGTAAAGTGTATAATAGAGTATGATAGTCAATGTTATTACTTGATATGCATGTAGATTTACAGCAAATAGTACTTGAAATTTCTCATTCTGTATAAAGCTAGACAAGCACGAAGAAAGAAGCAAAGCGGCAAGTCTCGAATAGAAATGAAAAACTAGTTGACGCTTGGGTCATCACGCAAATTTCCACAATTGCAAGCACGCCGAGTACCAAGCTTCAAGCAGGCTCCATTGTGCAAATCACTTCTTTGTTTCTTTGTCTCAAAATACTCCAGAGTCTAGAGTCTTTGCCATATGAAACAAAACGTAAGTTTCAAGCAGTTATACATGCTCTATAAAAAAAGTTTTGAAAAATAAGTATGTAGTATTATTCCTCTAATAGCTACCTACTTGATGATTATATTTAAAATAAAGCAAAAGTGCGTTAATTGCGTTGAAACGAGTTGAGAGTGTCTGCCGCTGCGAGTACTCGTATCACACTCGAAGCGCCCGACCTACATACACACATGTTTGTGAATCCTGTAAAGTATGAGTTGGTATGAGTTGTGTTAGCAGTGAAAAGTCGTTCACATCATTCGACTTCCTCACACATAAGTAGGTTATGCGTGTTTGTGTGGGAGGCTGAAGCGGTGGCGCGGCTTCGAACGCAAGTCCTTCACCGCGCCGCCACTCCACTCATCCTGCCGCATGCCGGTCGCGTGATGTGACGTGCGAGCCATTCACAATCGCACCTCGAGCCGCGGCCGGCGAGAAAACGAGTTTTCCCCAGCTGCCGCTTCTGGCGCAATTCCACCCGCCCGGATGCATTATCTCAACGCGCGCGTACAAGAGAAGAACGCCGAACAAAACAAGAAAGCAGAGGTAGAGACGCCAAGCGTCGAAGTAGCAGGCGCATATTTCCGAACACCCAGCGAGATGTTTTTCAACATGCAGCATACACCTACATTAGACAGCAAATTTTACGCCGGCAGTGAATTGAAGAATGCAACAAACGTGTAAACGACGGAAAAATTTCAATGCTGTGATGGAAATATGAAATGGAAACGTTTAACAATGAGCAAATGCATATTGATGATCATGTGCACAGTTTCTACGTGAAGCATTCACGTTATTTTTGTGTCTAACGTTTGCCGAAGGAGATAACAATGTTTTTGACATGTGCTATTGAAAACTTCAACAAAAGTGTTTCTACTTTGGGTAATAATGAGAGAAAAAACACTTTTATTTATTATCAAACAACAAAACTGGCACTTAAATTTCACTTTACGTTCTAATATTAAAACTGTGACAGTTAAAAGTTTAATAAAACAGAAATTCGGTGCTTAGACTATAAATAAAAGTAATAATCATAGAAAAAACACTTTTATCTGGCATCACACAACAAAACTGGCGCATATATTACACTTTGCCAAAATTAAAAATTTGATCGTTTTTAGTTGGATAAAACAATAATTTAGGGCTTAATATAAAAATGAATCGCAAAATCTGTTGGTAAGCGCATAACTCAACAACGCCTAAACCATTTCGGCAATTTCTTATTTTTAAATGTTTGTTAAAGTCCAAGGATGGTTTTTACGGCAAGAAAATTTCGAATAATTGCCGGGAAAACCCTAAAGACAGCCCTTTTCTATAGGATAAAAGTTGGCATTGAGATTCAATCATAGTTATAGTTAAATAGTTGAATCCGAGATGGCGCGCTGAAGTGCATTAATAGCAATTCCTTATATAATTAATTTGTTTAAAATAAAATTGCGAATCTTATTGATAGAATTGACACATACTATGTTTAGAACAAGAGAATAAAACAAAGTTCCTCATAAATAAAAGCCGTTATTATGCGCAAAACTTTGTTCGACATTCAGAAATTTCTAATTTCCTTCCTTCTGATCACTTAATTTACATTTTAAGTAAAATGCAAATGCAAATTTACAATTAAATTGTAACTTAATAAGTTTAAGTATGATGGGGAATGGCAAGCGTTCAAGGTGAAACCTGAGTGACGCTAAAAATGTCGCGCAAATATTAAAAAAAAAGAACTTTTAATGAACTGTACTTTCTGCAATCGAAATTATACCCCAGTTGCTAACAAGCAGCATGTTGTGTAATTAAACCAATTACATTTTTCTGTTTTTTCACATATAAACCGTTCGCTAACAAATTGTTTAATTTAAATTTCGATCTGATTTTATTTATTTTTATTTCTTGTTTACAGTGCTTGTCAATTTAAGCTCGGGTTGAAATGCCGCATAAAGCTCATAGATTTTCAATTAGGTCAGGATAATTAACTAATCCGTTATGCGCTGAGCCGCCTCGCTTCCAGCAATGCAGCTTTTTTTATTAATTAATCCTCTGGCGACTACTCGATCTTCCGATACTTTTATCCTGTGCCCCGTTTTTTTCTCTCGTTTCAACGTTGAACTTTTATCATTTTTGGTTTGACAGCTCTTCAACAACAGATTTAATTTTTCATGCTTCACCACGCTGCTCTGGAAACAAACAAATTTATTTGATTATCGGTTGATTTGTTATCGTTGTCCTTGACGGCTTAACACGCATTGAGAATGAAAACAAAAAACCTAAAAGTCACAAAACAAGATAATTAAACGCACGTAGGTAATTTCAGTGGCCTCGTACACAAAGGCAAATTGTTCATTATGCTCCACTTCATTAATATTCATCGTAATAATTTGTTATTGAATATTATAGCAGGCAGTAAATCTACATTTAAATTATTCAATTTGTTTTGTTTGTATTTTGTAATTTTAATAAGCAGAAAAGAACAGTAGAATGACATTCCTTCTGTCAGTTTAGAACGCAATATCAAATCGTTGCGACGAACGTTTAGCCGCCGCCGTGCTGTAATCTTCTTACGGGCCGTTGCCAATTTGGGAGTAAATAAGATGTCGCAGACAGTGAAAAGCGCGAACCTTCATATATCAATGTCACTTTCGTCAGTTTCCTCTCGCCTGATACTACCACTAGAGAGAGGATATTGCGTTTTGAGATTACCCAATCATTTTTATTAAATGGACACTATTACCAGGAGACACCAATTTTAAAAGACAAATGTAACGATGGGTGACAAATAGTTTAAATTAATTGAATAATACAAATAGATTAATAGATATAGACAAAAAATGAATTTTTAATAAAGTAGAAAAATTATTTAATTTGACAACGTTTTTAAGAAGTTTGAGATGAATTTCGGAGAGCAACAAACGTACATAGTAAAATGTAGCTCTCGTACTATCTAAATATGAAAAGATCACATAAATAGCTAAAAAGACTTCGGGTAAAATCTCTATTTCTAGTAATAATTAATAACGATTTAGTCGGGCATATAATTGAAAGCAATATTTAAACTATTTTGCAATTGCAATTTTTAGAGTAAAAAATGTGTGAGGACGATTTGTATACAATATTGCAATTTTTACCCTGTATCTATAATATAAAAAAATCACATAATCTGTTAGTACGCGCATAACTCAACAACGCCTTGACCAATTTGGCCAATTCTTTTTGTAAAATGTGCGTTAAGGTCCAAGGATAGTTTTTACTGCGAAAACATTTCGAATAATTGCCGAGAAAATAAAATAAAAGTTGGTATTGAGATTCAATCATAGTTATAGTTAAATAGTTGAATCCGAGATGGCGCGCTGAAGTGCATTATTAGAAATTCTTTATGTAATTAATTTCTTTTAAATAAAATTGCGAATCTTATTGATAAAATTGACACATACTATGTCTAGAACAAGAGAGTAAACACGAATTACATTTTTCTTAAACACTACCGGGACAAAGTTGCAGGGAAAAGTTAGTTTTGTAATAAAACCAGTATATTAACAAGAAAATGCAAAAAAATCTCATTTCTTCACTCATTCACCATGAATAACTTTTTTGTTAACAAAGAAGGATTTTGGACGTATCTATAATAATAATATTATCAAGATATCTAACGATTTTAAGCTCTATACTAATATTATTATAACATAACCTCTATTTCTTGCTAATATAAAAAATATGTAGCAAAATAAAAAAGTGATAATTTCACCCCTTTGATGAATTCATTTGATCTGTATCATGACCTAGATAAAACATCAGCACTCCACAAAACTGCATCACCGCAAATCGTAGATTATTCATATCATAATCTCTATTGTGCGCTTAATCGCTCAATGATGCACGCCGCAAGTGATTCCCATTGAAGCATTCAACCGTCGGCGCGTCCGAAACACAATGATCCCAGCATTTCCCCCAACTATAAATAGCGCGTGTAATGACAAAAAACGCCAGATCGATATTATTCGTAGTAGGTCTGTGTGCTACGTGTGTGCTCTCCATCCAGCGTGTTCCGCAGCGGGAAAATTCGGAAAATCTATCACGCACACAATCGCACACGCACGGTCACGTTTTCGCCGTTATTAGGAATTCTTTTTCGAAAAATTCACAATTTGATCAACTAAATGTGGCCTGATTATTGCAGCAGCATTATAAAATATTTACCTCTGTGGTTGGGAACGTGTTTTGCTAGGTTATGAGTGTTCATAAAATAAATGCGATGTTTTAAATTCGAAAACATGTGCGCGCTTCACTATTAGAATAGTAAATTTGTGGGGTTTTATTATTTATGCATTCTTTGCGCTGCGTGGCAAAGGTTTGAAACGACTTGTCGGATAGGAAGCGACGCCACTGAGCAAGGATGTGCTTGCTGCGAGGATATGAAAGGTATCCGTAGGAAATTCGGGTTGAGTCGCAACTCAACTCGCCGAATATGCTAATGGCAATCGATTATCGCTTTACCTCTCCAACTTTTTGACTATCTACATCTAAATGTTATCCGACTTGTTGGAAATATCAACTATTGTTACCACCGGTAATATTCGCGTATTATTGTCGATTTTGAGGTTGGAATTTGGTGATTTTTGTGCAGAGATTATTCACTGACCTGTGACGCTTAAAAGTGACATTATGGTACGCGTATCCTGGTCGCGTGCAGCCGCCGCAAGCGAGTGTTATCCTGCCGAAGAAGGCGGTGGGAAAGTCACCTCACTTGGAGTCGCACCACACCACGCTTCACCAAAACCAGCGGCACTGTTCACCTCGGCGACGACGTCGGCAGCGGCGGCGGCGACGGTAAACTCGCGCGCGCCGGCTCGCATCGCGCGGACGACGGCATCACCGACGGCGTCGGCGGCGGCGGCCGCGTTACAACGTGGGGACCCCCGCGCGCTCTCGGTCTCGTGTGTGTGGGATGCGTGTGTCGCCACAGTCAGCCAGTCCAGCCTGACCGCACACTCGCCTGACACACGGCCAGCGGGAAACTGCGTGCCGCCGCCATCATGCTGCGTGCGGCAGCGGCGGCGGTTGGCGGTAGTGGCGCGCCGGCGCGGCACCGGCCGGGTGCACACACGCGGTGACGTCATCTGCTATGGCAACACCCCGACGTCAGCGACGCAGCGACCGCAGCCGCCCCGCGCGCTACCGCCACCGGCTCGATACTATACCACCACAGGCATTTCGGAAGCAGGACAAGAACCAGAAGCGATCTTTGAATTCTCCTCTAACCAAAAATATAATAAAAACCTACAAAACTATCATATTTAAATAATAAAAAACTCAAAAAAAATTTTCAAACATTTTAAAATTTCTGGTTAAATAACAATCCTCAGCGGTAAAGCCCGGCGCCTCCACCATCTCAGGTCATGTAAACCCCGATGGAGATTGATCGCAATGTGCAAATTGTTGCAGAGCAAAGCGCAAAGAGCACATCGGTGACTGCAGAGGATGGCAGCGGTAGTATGTGGAGGTCACGGGTCAACGGCCTGCAGGCGATACCTGCACGCCGCGCCGAGCCGCTTCCTGCAGCGCGTGCAAACGGCCCAAGGGGGCGGCACGTCAGCGCACTTTCGCAGCGGCACTAGGCCGGTCGCCCAAGATCAATAAAACGGTTTGATCATGCACCTTCGCGCGCAAAAGGGCGAAGGCACTCGGCACACACTCGAGACCCACAATTCGCGCACAACCTACCCTACTACATTTTCATCCCCTGGCGTACAACGTATTACATTACACCACACACTAACACAATAAGAAATTTCATTTTAAATTAAAATTAAGAATAAAAATAGAAGTGAATTATGATGTAATAGTGACAATTTGTATGTTTGTATAGAATTTAGATAATTTATTTATTGCATTACGATAAACTTGACACTTTCATAAATTAGGCTATGACATTGACACAGTCTGAATCATTCATCGTGCATTTGTTATGCTTATCACATATTTTAATCAAATTTAATGAAGTCACAAATCACGCCGAGATAAACACATAAACAGCTCAATCAAATATTCAAACGTAAATCGTAAAATTTATGGCAACACTTTACAGGATAATAAAAATTGATTGCTACAAGTTTAAATCATTCATTTTAACATACTGTATACAAAGATCCAACACAAATGATTAAACTGTAGTTTGACTAATAACATCAACATCAAAACATGTTATTCCTCTAATAGAATGTAATGGAATCAATTTTCTTGATGTATCTTCTCTTGTAGGAGTTTATAAAGTCGTAAATGTTACTATAAAAGCAATCTTAAACAATTTCTCGTGTGCTATTTATGTACTTGACGGCGTAAGCATACAACAATTAATTAAATCTAAATAATTGTTAATTTTAATTACAAAACCCTCAAGCCTTTGGAAACATGTTGCTGTAATTAAAATAACGAGAAGAAAACAAAGCATGAGTGCAAGCAGACAAAGTTGGAACGTAATTTTTAAGCGAAAGAAGAGTAGAGACTACAATCACTGATAAGAATACAATCAGTGTTAAGAAATGAGCAGGTGGTCGCATTCCCAAGCTGTCGGCTTAAATGAAAATTAATTAGCATCGTTTCGCTCATTAATCCATATAAAACGAGCGGAAACTTAAAAAATACATCAGATTGTTACAGAATTTCAAACATTTAAAAACCAAAATGTTGCAGAAAAATATTTTTAGTATTTTGGCAATAATTATTTCAGTTAATGCAATGAATAGTTTTCATCTTGAATATCTCATCAATGTAATGGAAAAGTTTGAGAAATTTTCATTCATCGTCCATTTTGATACTCCAAACGCGTTTATAGGTAATCATCTCCTGAGTGAAATCTCCCACTCAAAACCGACTTTTATCGCAAGTTACAATGCTTCGCACGCAAGCTATGCTTCGCTCCGTCGCCCGGCTGGGATACAATTTGTCCATCTTGTGTTACTCGACGATCCCTGTGAGTTCAGCAAACATCTCGCTGTGCACGGCAATGTTATCCTCTACCACACGGTCGTGTTTGTCGTCCAGCACGTGGAGAACTTTGAGTATGAGTTCTGGGAGTTGAAGCACTTAAAATTCGCCGGGAAAGTCCTCATCGTGAATATGTCCTCGAGCGAAGAGATCTCCGTGTACAAAAAGTGCTACTATTGTGGAGTTTATGCTGGTTTTCTAGATGCTATCGAATTTAAACACAGTAATCAACCGAATGCGTCTGTGAGTGAATTAACGCAAAAAACGATTAATCCGAGTTCTTTTCTGCGATTACATGGACAGTTTTTGAGAATTGGTCATAATGAATTTTTTCCGTATTTGTACTGTCGTGGAACTTATCATAATGATTCGTATTGTGATGATTTGGCTGGAGCTGAATGGAAACTATTGCAAGTATTGGCGCAGAAGTTAAATTTTAGTTATTCTATGGTTGGTGGTGAATATGACGTCTTTGAACATGTTTTAAATAATACTGCTGATATTATCATCGGTGGTGTGAGCATCAATTTTCATCGGTTTACACTTGTGACGTTTTCGAAGTTTATTCGATACGAAGATCTCAATTTTCTTTACTTTTGCCATATTTCCATCTGGCAGTATTTGAAGTTGTACTTTATTCCATTTCAATTCCTCGTCTGGTTTGCCGTATTTACAATGTTTCTAGTAATATCGTGTTTTATCAAGTTTTCGGTCCGAGTTGAAGGTATAAATTTTAGCACAAGTTTATTGGTGCGTATTTCAATAGTGTATTTGCGGCAAAATTTATTTTTGTGTGTTTTAGATTTGTTTGCAGTTGTTAGTTGAGCAAACCAATGCGAAAATTTCCAGTAGACTTCTGGGCCGTTATTACAGTCCGTTTATTTTGTTAACGCTGCTGTTTATAACGTGCATTGTGCTCGGCACGTCGTACAAGTCAATGTTGTCGTCGATTCTCACGAGACCTCCGCATTCGGAGCCTTACAATGGTGACCAGCTGGTGGCAAATGGGTATAAGATTGTTGTCAACAAGCGTTCAAAATTAAAACTCTTCACGGAGATGTTTTCGGAAACTGATGGGTTTCTTCTGGAACATGTCAATCGGTAAATATATATTCTTTCAGCGTACGAGCAGATTTTGAAGAAAAGTAGCCTAACCGATTATTTTCTTGTTTCTTGGACATTTTATATGCGAATTCTGCCAATAAGATTCAAAATTTATTTTATATAGATAAGATATGCCAAAACAAACTTTTGCGCCATCTAGGAGCGAATTATATAACTGTAATTTTAATTGAATCTCCATATCAATTTTATTCCATATTTAACACTTTGCAAGTTACATTTATGCGTTAAAAGTATCTTATATGCTTGCCCTTCGTCTAAAATATCTCTATACCAAAATTTATCAAAATTTGTTGATTGGTTTTCATGTGAAAGTGTAACAAACAAATTATTTTAAAAAAATAGAATTTGACTAAAGTATTTGTAGAAAAACTATAAACGAATTTGTGATAGTTTTTGTTAGAAATTGATGTTACACTTGATTTGGCCCCGCAAAGTGAACTAAACGAAGTACGAACCAACTGGCGGTAGAAATAAGTTTTCCCGAATTTTCTCGGCCATCTGTTACGCTCGTAAAGCCCGCCCCAGTCGCTACATGCGCGGCATACACGCTGTTTGACGTCGCGCTCCATAAGTAGCTACATAAGGCAAACATTTTTCCTCAAGTGGTGCTCGGAGAGAAGAAGAAAAAGTGCCCAACGATGCGCACGTGCATTTATCTTGCTTGATTTCGTTCTTGTCAGGATACAAACACTCCAAAAACATAAGACAACTCCAAACAAGCTCAAAACTCCACTTTTACAAAGTTTACTTTAAATTTAAAACATATTCAAAATGTTTTTGCAAGTTTCCACATACAGTAAGCGTATATTTATTGAGTGTAATCTATAATATAAAAATGAATCGCAAAATATGTTGGTAAGCGCATAACTCAACAACTCCTACACCAATTTGGCCTATTCTTTTTTTTTTTGAATGTTCGTTATAGTCCAAGGATTGTTTTTACGGCGAGATAAATTCGAATAATTGCCGGGAAAACCCTAAAAACAGCCCTTTTCTATAAGATAAAAGTTGCATTGAGATTCAATCATAGTTATAGTTAAATAGTTGAATCCGAGATGGCGCGCTGAAGTGCATTATTAGCAATTCTTTATATAATTAATTTCTTTAAAATAAAATTGCGAATTTTATTGATAGAATTGAACGAATTACATTTTTATTATAAACTACCGAGACGAAATCGTGGGCAAAAACTAGTTACAAAATATAATATGTACTTTGCTTGTTATCTCAGGTTGCTAGTTTATTTTTAGTTTGGGCATTCCCGTAAGTGGTATATGCAATCAAATTGAATACATCGCTCAGCACAATGCCGCCATTATGGACGAAAAAAGCATACTGCAGTACAAAACCCTTCACAAGTGCATCGACATGTTTGATGCCGGCGGATACAATTCGGATAAGCTGCGGATTACGATCGAACCGATCCGCTCTGCGCCACATGCGTGGGCCCTCACTCCGGCGACGCCGTTCTGGAAAGCGATCGATATTATGATTGGATATTTGCAAAACGGTAAATATCCCAAGCGTTAACTACATAAATAAATATCACGCAGATTTCCCAAATGCTAAAATTTTCTAATTTACGACTCACAGACAAGAGAAAAACCAATCCGGTCGAACTTAAGATTTTAAGCTTCTACTTAAAGAGCTAAATATACGATCCAATCAGGATAATGAGGCATAAATAACTTTTTCAGGCACTTTTTTTATGTCATGGTTTCGTTTATGTGTTTAAAGAAATAAGCCATAAATTTAAATTGAAAAGTTGGTTGCCTATAGTAAAAAGTATTTTGGGGAAAAATTAATCCTGCATTAATTAAACTTTTTAGGTGGTTTCTTAATTAAGTGGACACAAGATTCTCTGCTGGAAATTGGCACACGTAGGAAGATTGCCTACAGCAAAAACAATATGATCGAACAGAAAGAGTCTGATATTGTTCGATATGGCTGCAGTTTTTTGCTTTATATTGTTGGGAATTTTATTGCGAGCATAATATTTATCATAGAAGTTTTTATCAGTAAATACAAACCTTTAAATCTTGAAATTTAAAACAATATATTGTTAATGATAAGTATATTTTTTAGAACACTAAAAATATTACTCGATATATGACTTAATACAATTAACTTTTGTTTCTGCAATCAGCAGCCTACACATTATTTTATCACATATTATGACGAACATAAATCGATATTACAATGATGAAACAATCAAATAATATGTGTATTGTATAAATCGTGCGTAAATGCATCACTTTACGCAAAACATGACGACATTTCGTGATAATATTGCGTGTGTCTGACCTTTTCGAAGCACCTGCCCATCCGAAAATGCAAACAATGAGTAAACAATTTATTATTATGATTAATTGATTGAATCTCGACGCCATCAGCGTCATGCGTCTGCCCTAGGCAATTATTGTCCTACATAATTACATGTATTACAGAAACTTGTCTAGAATAAACACTAATTATAATTAGACAGATTGTGAGTGTTCAGATTGCGTATAGTTGAATGTAACAATTTAAATATTAATAATATTCAAGATTCTACAAAGGAATTAAGATCAAATGAGACATTGTATAGTTGGTTGCATATAGGCAACCAATAAAATTAACCTATTTTGTGTCTAAAAAATGTTTTTAAACGATGGGCATATTTATAAAGAAATAGTTCCATTAGAAACGCAAAGCTACTTATAACATAACCTCCAAATAACATCATAAATATAGGTTTGATATGTCCAAAGGTCAACAGCTTATTTTTAACATCAACGTCCAAGAAATCCTCTTCAGTGCTTGTATTCTTAAAACCACCAGTGAAATTCTTCTCTTGAAACAAATCCTGTTCGAATCTTTGAAGATAACCAGCACTATTAATGCTACTAATGATGTTGTCGAACTTGTGCTGTAAAGGAAATCCATGTCTCATATAGGCAACCACTGGAAAGCTAACAATCTGTTCCTGAATACAGAATAACAAAGGTAGACCTGTCTTTGAAATATAACTACTTTTTGCGTACTGAATGTACAAACGTGACGCGGCAATTACAGAGTCTTTTTTGTACGCAGTTCTTCGTAGACATTCATCAAGATCATTGCATACCTTCCACCTTGCAACAATTTCTTGCGATTGCCTGGTTGTTGAGGATCCCATAAAATATTTCATATCATCGGGTCTAAAGAGCACTTCAAGGTCACTGTCCAAGATGTCATCTACGGTGCGAATCTGAAAACTGTATTCTAAGTTGGTTAGCGCACTCATTAAATACGTTTGGTATGCGGTATCAAATTGTAGACTGAAGATAATCCACATCATAAGAAAAAATCGTACTTGGTTTGATTTTGGTTGAAGATTAACAGCGTTACCAATTGAAATTGCTAAAATTTTCATTGCAACATTACCACCATCAGCATAGATCGGCCTTTCTTCAGGATTAATTTTTTGGTGGCTTAGAAACTTGATTATTACTATGAAAACTGCTACGGTGATAATCACACCAAACCATATACTGCTATCCATGATACCACTTAATTTCTCCCATTGTGATGTTTCATCTGAATGTGGGACACAAAACCCAACCGAATCTTGAAAGTACGCTGAGGTTGAGTCTAGATTTAAGTGTCTTTGCCATGTGGCAGAAAGAGACGCAACAGCAATATCAGCATCACCACGTTTCAAAGCCCCCATCAATCCGGTAGATTGATTCGCAGGCCAGGCAAAGTCTCCTACGCTGTCATTCTTCACAATCTCATACTGCATGTACACATTGCAAGTGCTAGCAACTAGATTCATCAACTGCGCTTCTAATCCTTTACGAATGTGATAGTACGATGTGTTGCCTACTCTTTGCGGTTTTACAATGTAAGGTGGGTAGTCTAATGTGCGTACATGGATTGTACAGTTATTCATTTTAGGCGGAAGTTTATTCGGAAACCAATCGGTGTTATTGGTCATTACCCCATCGTAACAACTGTCGATGTGTAGCAACTTGTTGAATTTGTTACCGCAGGATCCATCTGAGAACGGAAACCATGAGTAAATGTTAAAATTTGCCGCTTTATTCTTATCTGCGAGGATGATAACCCCGTTCAAGATATCGCACCACCACATTCTACGTGTGATGAATTCCAAGAGATGTCCTTCGTTTTCATAGTACGAAGTGAGGATGATGATGAACTTTGCATGTGGGTTCCATGATGGATGGCGTTTGAGATAGTGTAATTGATTTTCTATTTTAGTGAAATCATTCAACTGTATAACATAGCTATCGGACTTTGTAAACGTTAAATATGTGTGGCTCTGAAACATAGAAGGCCGTCCCCAAGATGGCTGCTTAACCAAAAGAGTCCATTTATTCTTATCGAAAAGTTCCGGGAGTAACAATCCGTCTAATGCTGTTGATTGGTAATAACTAGTATCGTTTAAAATGGGCGCCAATGAAATAGTAATCACTTCAAACGGTTTGAAATTTTGATCGCTTGCTTCCGAAATGCATTTTGCTAGTGATATACGCATATCTTCCTCTTCAGCGGACAGTACAGGTACCAATTCGCCATAACTTTCAACCAAAGCACAAATTACAACCAAGAAAAGAGAAATATGCATTTTGCAGACTAGTTTTGTTCAACTAACGGATCCCGGTAAGAAGTCGCACCTTTTAAAGTCTTCCATCAACGATATTGCTATGAAATCGTGTTTATGCTTGTCAGTGCCATGTTTTATTGTCACCATTGTTCCGCTTGACGCTCTTTGCGTTTTGTATGTTTAATGGTTGATTGCATCGCATTACATTAGGAAGACTAATCGGAGAGAGTTCAATATATAAGTTGACATTAACTTGTCACTTGTGTCACGCGCTTTAACTTTACATTTATTCTATAATCTATTACTTTGCGAGATATGTTTTCATTTGTTTGTTGTGTGAAAGGAAGGAAACTATTAAAGTGATTAATGATAAATATTTTTAGATAAAATATGAACTAGTTGATGAAATAAATATGGCAGGTATATATAATGATTGATGAAAGATTTGATTCAAAAACTTCTTTATTGTTTTCTTATTAACGCCAAATTAATATTTGTATCAGTTTCGAAACTTTCACTGCTTACATTACATAAAATTAGACCTTGTACAACTCATAGATAACTTTCATACTACGTTTACTACGTCAACATAACCTTTGTACCTCACACATTATATTCGAATTTATATCATTTGACCAACTTTAATCAATTAATTCGAAACCTTAGCGTTAGTTAGCATAATATCTAAAATCTGTGATAAATGTACGTGAATTCTCGGCGAATTCAGGTGTTGACACGATGTATAAGAAAGCCTCAGCTTGCTCTGAACAATGTTCGAGCATACATTTCCTCAGATACTGTGGCTATTGGTAATGTTGTCAAGGATGTCAAGGAAACAAAACTGCCACAATATGTGCCGAAAAACTACTGTATGTTATTACTACATTTTAATTGTTGTCAATATGTTTTAATAAGAATTGTTGTAGATAATGATAATGTTAATCAAAGTACACTGCATCATTTGCGATGGATGATGCAGAAGGATATCCTCAAGCAGGATATATTTTTGTTGGGTCCTCCAGGTCCTAGAAGAAGGAATATTGCCTTACAATATTTAGAGCTTACAAACAGAGAACATGAATATGTTGCACTGAGTAGAGACACAACTGAATCTGATTTGAAGCAGCGAAGAGAGATTCAACAGGGAACAGCATTGTATTTTGACCAGGTACTATTGTAATTTATTATAAGAAGTATTTAAAATTATATTTACTTATTTAGGACTTAATTTATATTAGTAATGTATGATTTTTGTTATTATCAACTAAGTGTATGTTGGGTTGCAGAGTGCAGTAAGAGCAGCAACTGAAGGAAGAGTTTTAATCCTAGAAGGAATTGAAAAAGCTGAGAGAAATGTTCTTCCTGTTTTAAATAATTTACTGGAAAATAGGGAGATGCATTTGGAAGATGGGAGGTTGTTGATACCTGCAGAGAGATATGATAAATTATTAGAGGTAATTTTTCTTTGACTCTTTAAGATTTGAACTCACAACAATAAAATCAATGTTTTACAGAAATATTCAAAGGAAGATTTGGAAAAGTGGAAGTTAGTGCGTGTTAACGAAGATTTTCGAGTGATTGCTTTAGGTTTACCTGTGCCAAAGTATGAATCATTGATTAGGTGCTGCAATATGTTTAAAAATAATAATAATGTTATAGATATCGTGGTAATCCTTTAGATCCGCCTTTGCGTTCACGATTCCAAGCCCGAGATGTCAATGTTAATAACTATCAGGTGAGTGCTTTTTTTAATTTAATTTGTGCGTCTGAAAATATTATTTAAACTATGGCATAAATAATAAAGTCTATTTCTTCTCATTTTAATGCATCATACATATACGCATGTGCAAAATTAAGTTTAATATTTTTTGCGCGAGTTTAGATCCGGTAACGGAAATCTCTTAACAACTCGATGGAGAAGTCGCTTTATAATACACATGAAAAAAAGAAAAACAACTCTGTTAGCGTCGCGCAGGAATTGTTTTGTTCCCATACTCGTTCAGCGCGTTGTTGTTCCGACAGCGGCTCGTTTTTGTGAGACATTACCGGGTTTGCGGTCCCATTTCCTGGCAAATGTCCTTACGTATCGGTCGTGCCTGTCCCCGAGTGCGGCAAATCGCGTGCTGTTCGTTCGTCTCGCCGATCGCGGGACGCATTCCAAATATCGCTCCCATTCGGAACCTATCGTCTCCCGCTGCCGTGCGTGTGTGCCTGAATCCCGCATTGTTTGCTTGGCTTGCTTGACAATGACCGTGCACTGGGAGACGAGCAAAAAACCGTTGTTTGTGAAGACCATCTGGACGGACGGACATCACCACGCTGTCCTACATGAGCAAGACCCTTTTCACGACCAAAAACCAAAAACGCAACGAAACGCGAGTGCTGTTAAAAAAAGCCGCAAATTTAGTACAAAGAGTGCTCCGTTAGCGAAATCCACAGCAAAAAGTCCTAAACAACCCAATATTCATTTTAATGTTGAATTTGATCATGACCATGTTGAGGAATGTGATGAACTGACAATTTCAACTGTGCGAATACCTTTGACGACTTTTCGAAAATCTGTTCCGGCATCTGAATCACCTAAATTGGTGTATCAAAGAAGAGACACAAGACAACAACAAGATGATTCGTTATATTGCGATCGAGAACTTCGAAGAGTTTACACCATTGACGTGGTGCCAACAGACGTGATAAAATGCCAAGTGTTTGACCCTTTTCAAAGCTTCCAACAGGAAAACACCGAGCTACAAACGCATAGACTCACGACTCAGCAAAACTACGAATCTCGTTACAACCGTCAACACAACGCCGATTTTACTTGTAGAAAACTCTTCGAAACACCGAGAGATACTACGTTAACAGATCGTGTCCTTGTGTGGTTGGATTTGGCAAAAAATACAAATCTACCAATACAGAAACCCCAACATTCCAATGTGACAAACATTGTGCGTGTCAAGATGACTTCAAACTTAGTTGCAAATCAACCAAACGTTGCGGCAGCAATTAAAAATCGCTACGTCAGGGTCGATGAGTCACGCACCCCATCGCCCTCGACATCAGAAGACGCGACAAGTTCCGCAAACGATTACGCAAGGACAATCGAAGAACCGGCGTTGCGGCGCGTCGTTGAGCCTCGCTTGCAAATTAATTCGGTCGTCGAGACGGATTGTTATCCGCCTGTGCGGGCGCGTCCCGCGGGCAACGCTAATGGTTTTGCGCACGATACCATCAAACGACAGCTTCATATTTTCCTGCCGGATGTGATTAAAAAGCCGGATTGTGACAGCGCCAGCGCCATTAGCAGTCGGATATCTTCGATTTCATGAATTACTCATTCAAAAGCTTACAATATTCACATGTATTGTCAAGTTTTGTCAATAAATAAAATTTAAATAAAAAAATTGTTTGACCTTTGTTTCCTCAAATTAATTTTATGTGTTGCGGTATTATTAAAATGTACCTACCACAAAAACAATTTTATTATTTGAGTTTCTTGCGTGTTTGACTTCTGGTTGTCGTTTTCTTTTTCACAAAGTGCGGCGACAAACTGCGGCCAGGATAAAACTTGTTCATTTATCCCAACATTATCCGGTTATTGCATGTCTTGCCTTGCTATCCGAGTATTTATCTAGTTTTATTAGCCATGTTTTTGTTCATTGCTTAGTTCAGTGTTGTCTTATTTTGTATAAAAATTAATTTTTGGAAGAGTTAAATCATTATAACTCAAAAAATTAATATCCAAAAAGAAAAATTTGTTTTGTACTAGGATTATCATTCAATTCAGCTACTTTTTAAATTGACATTTTATGAAAATGGTAAATATGTCTGTGAAAATTGATATTTTTAATGTAAAACCCAGAAAATATTGTTTTAATTTTTACAGTTTATAATCTAAACTTAGTAAAACGAACAAGCTTCTATTATTTCTAAAACAATTGTGTATTTTGTAACCCGGTCCTGATTTAATGTCTAGATCACTAATTGTATGTCTTGTCAAAAAGTGCAACCGAAATGCCCTTTAGCTCGAATTTATTGTGCACGAAATCACGACATTTAAATGCATACCTCTTTACTACTTACTTCGTCGTAATGCCCGCGATTTCAGCAGTCGTCGTGGCAATAACTTTGCATAGTTCGCCCAGTCGCTATCTGTTTCGCGCCGGGCGCATGAAATATCGATGACATAAATAACGCCGCGGCGTGTCGTAGGGGTAGCCCCCGAATGATTTATTAACGTCTCGACGACCGTCGACCAGGAAGAACGTTTTTTTCTGGCCGGTTGCAGCCGGAAATCGATTCGCAGCGCTTTGACTCGCAACTTTGCCTTTTGTGTGTGTGTTTCAGTGCGGAAAAATGCCAATGTATACGAAATGAAAGTGTGAAAGCTTCCGGGATTGTGACACCCTAACTCTCATCGTAATTAAGTGCAATCATTCATTAATGACGCCGACGCATAAATATTAAAAAGTCATCAAGCTGAAATGTTGTAGTTTTTGTTTCTGCTTCTTTTTGCAACTTTTGTGTAGGTACCGCTTTGTTTAGTCAGATTTATTTTTAGAACTTTCTGCTTTATTTAGCTTTATTTCCTATGCAATGTAAGCCGGAACGAAAAGGGAGAAAATTATATATACAGCGTGTGGCATACAAATAACATAATTCTATTATATACCCGCTTTGTATTGATTGTGTTTCTGTGATTCGTGAATATGTGTGAGGTAAATGTTGCGGTGGCATGTTTGGCAGCCATTATGGCATTCGTGTTGACGGTGATAATCATTGTAACATTCAATTTAACTTTGTGCCTGATTGCACGGTGTGCGCGGAATGCGAACGAAGAAGTGCGATGTTATCTTGACGATGCTTATATTTATTGATTACTTTTTCCTACGCAAAGCAGCAACTTTTGCCCTGGGTTGGAATTATCCACTTGACATTTGCACACCCGTTTATTTTTTTATTTGTGGCGTGTTTGCAGGAGTGGCTGCAGGAATTGAAGACGTTGGCACCGAACGCCCCGCAAGATAAAATCGAACAACTATTGTCCGTTGCATTCGGGATGCTTAGCAAGGAAGCCAGTACTTTGGGCATGCCAGATTTTCCAATTGATAACTTGCCAAGAATTGCAAAGATTTTAGTAAGTTTTATAACCGAACAATTTTATTTGATTTTTTTTCATGATTTTTTTTTTAATAGGAATTGAATCCAGATTTATCTGTTTATAATCTACTATATCGCATTTATCCGTATCACATTTTTATGAAAGACGGCACGAAACAACTAGAGGATCTTTGGCAAAGTTTTCAAGTTACACCCACAGCGGTTGAGCCACCATCAATTACCGCGAAGCTGAGGGATTTCTTTAATAAGGCGCCGAAACATGAGGGCATAGGTGAAACTTACATTCCAACAGATTACCAAAATAAACTTCTTGGAGAAATGCTTCAAACGTATGCAGTTTCGGACTTTTGCATCGTCGGTTCTCGCGGATGCGGAAAGAGCATTCTTGTGAACCAGATCGCTGAAGTTCTCGGTAGGCAAGTTGAGTCGATTGTACTCTATCAGGATATGACGTCGCGGGATTTAATTCAACAAAGGACGACGTTAGACAATGGCGATACTATCTGGAAATTATCGCCATTGATCGAGGCAGCTCTCGAGGGTAAAATTGCGGTGTTAGATGGCTTGCATCGGATACATCCTAGCACACTTTCGGTTCTTCATAGGTAAGAAAGGGATAGTATTATATAGAAAGAAATCTTTTTCGAACAATGAAAATCGAAAGTTTCCGGGATTGTAACTAGCGTTAATTGTTGGTCCAAACTTTAGATTGGTGCATGATCGGGAAATTCAATTGCACGACGGCAAGCGACTCGTTAGCGCCGAGCGTGCGGAACTTCTCCGGACGCAATTCGGGCTCACAGATCAGCAACTCAGCGAGTCGGGCGTGCTGCGCATTCATCCCGACTTTCGGATAATTGCCATCGCCGACCCGCCGCAACTGCATGCGGGTGTAAATTGGCTGTCGCCGGAAGTGCTCAGTTTGTTTGTGTTCCACGCTGTTCGCCCACTGAGCATGCAGGAAGAGATGCACATTATGACATCCAAAGTAAGTTTTATTGCCCAAACACCACTAAAACAGATTTTAAGTTTGAATGTTTTTTTTTTTAATTTAGTACGGGCCAATTTCAAAACCATTGCATCAAATTATCACACTAGCTCATGTTCTTCGTGAGAATCCAGATCAGACATTGAAGAACCTTGCTGGACACCTGTCGACTCGACAATTGTTGCGGATTGCCGCACGTATGGCAAAATATCCCACTGACGATGCGTATGACACAGTTGAGAAAACATTTATGATTAAATTCTTGCCTTCCTGGCCCGTGACGCCCTTGAAAAGACCATGCTTAATGTTGGTATTGAACGCGCTGATGACGCTCTGGATAAACCAATCACTTGGAATATTACTGGCGATGTAGTTACTATCGGTCAGACTACGGCGAATCTTTACAAAACCGATGCGCACACTAAAGTCCCCAACGTATTATTCTATGATGTTCCCCAACACATTAATCTAATGGAACGCCTTTTACAAGACTTTCAACTTGGGTATCACTTACTCTTGGTGGGTAACCAAGGAGTGGGAAAGAATAAAATAGTTGACAGGTTTTTAGAAATCCTAAACCGTCCACGAGAATACATACAACTACATCGTGACACTACTGTGCAGACATTAACGATTCAGCCCACTGTTAAAGATGGTCTTCTTGTTCATGAAGACAGCCCGTTAGTCAAGGCGATTAAAAATGGCCATGTGCTTGTGATAGATGAAGCTGACAAGGCCCCTACACACGTAACTTGCATTTTAAAGACTTTAGTGGAAAGTGGTAGGATGATACTCAGTGATGGTAGACGTATTGTCAGAAGTAATGAAGAATCCTTACCAAATTATATTAGAACGCATCCGGATTTCCGAATCATTGTCTTGGCGAATCGACCTGGTTTTCCATTCCTTGGTAACGACTTTTTTGGGTCGTTGGGTGATTTGTTCAGTAGTCATGCGGTTGATAATCCTTCCAAACAGTCAGAGATTGATATGCTGAAGCAGTATGGGCCGGCTGTCCCTGTGGATGTCGTTAAAAAACTGGTTGCGGTTTTCGGTGAGTTGAGAACTCTTGCTGATCAAGGACTAGTTAACTATCCGTATTCTACGAGGGAAGTGGTTAATATCGTTAAGCACTTGGAGAAATTCCCTGGGGCGGACTTAGAGGACGTGGTATTCAATGTGTTTGACTTTGATCGTTACAGTCCTGAACTGGTCGACACAGTAGGACAGATTCTGCACAAACACGGTTTTTCTTCTAAAAATGTTTTTACCAGCGAGTATATTAAAGCTAAACGTGCCAAGGAGTATCTTCAAGTAACAACAGAGCGTAAATCTGGGCTGGACACTAGCGCGCCCAAACACGGCAAAGTTGATGAGAAGAATGAGCCTCATGTAGGTGGAAATACTTGGGCGGGTGGTACTGGCGGTCGCGACACAGCAGGTCTTGGTGGAAAGGGTGGCCCTTATCGATTGGATGCTGGTCATGAGGTACATCAGCTTTCCGACGAAGAAAAAGCTGCCGTTCCTGAGCATATACAAAGAGCAGCTCGAGAAATGGGCAAGAAAGCATTCGAAGCAAAATTGAAAGAAATTGGCATGACTAATTATGATGCAAATTTGTACGGACAGTTTTCGAATGCAGTCAAGAGACAGGTGCAGTCTATGCGCATGATTTTGGAGACTCTGCAGGCGAAGAATAAAGAAAGACAATGGAACCGACATCAGACTACAGGCGAACTAGATGATATCAAGTTAATTGATGGGATTCTAGGAGAGAAGAACATTTATCGTCGGCGACGAGAAAATGATCCGGAGTTGGGTACACCACAAATGAAACCGAAACATTTCAGGTTGGTTGTGGATGTTTCTGGGAGTATGTACAGGTAAATTTTTACTATATCTCTAACAAGATGTATTATTAACAAGCGAGTTTTTAACTTCTGTTAGATTCAATTCATACGATGGAAGATTAGATCGGGAATTGGAAGCGGTTGTGTTGGTAATGGAAGCATTCGAAGGATTTGACGATAAAATACAATACGACATCATTGGACATTCCGGAGAGACCGACAAAATTGATTTTGTTAAGAAAGGAGCTCCTCCCAAGGATAATAAAGAACGTTTGGATATCATACGCGTATGTTACCTGTAGGATTCCCTGAATATGTTTATAGTTTTATGATATTTACAGGTGATGCATGCTCATGCTCAATACTGTTGGTCTGGCGATAACACACTAGAAGCAACCGAGTTAGCAGTTAGCTCATTGGTGGACGAAGATAGTGACGAGAATATCTTGGTGGTGTTGTCCGACGCGAATCTAAGTCGGTACGGTATCCCAGCTGCAAGATTAGGAAAGGCACTGACTGCCCAACCTAAGGTCAACGCGTATGCTGTTTTCATTGGCGGTTTGGGCGACCAAGCGGACCGGTATGTTCACAACTACTGATTTTAATCAATAATTAGACATATACATATTTATAACATTATTATTGTTTGTAGTTTGGTGGCGAATTTACCTGCTGGTCATGGATATGTTTGCACCGACCTGGCCAAACTACCTCAGATTCTGAAACAGATCTTTGCATCGTCATTGATGAGCGTCTCGGATTCATAATTAGCTAATTTGTAAAATACTTTTATAGGATGAAGTATTCAATTGTTCTAGTTCGGTTAGTTTTATATTATAAATAAATTAATAGAATTATAACCATCTTGTTCTATAAATATAGTCTGTATAAAATTGAATATCGTTTCAAGATTTAACTTAAGTAATAAATGAAAATGGCCTTGAAAACCTATCATTATTTGACATTAGTTTAGAAAGTAAGATGCGAATCCGAGTTGTGGTTCAATTTACTTAATTATAAAAATGATTACGGATAAATTGGTAATACGGAAATTAATAAGATTAGTGAATAAATCACACGCAACAAAACAACAGCAAGTGTACTTTATTTTTATTTTACCACTGTTCACTAATTATATTAAGTGGGTTTGTGAGTGAAACTATTGAAATATATTTTAGATGAAAGATAATTCTGTGTATATATGCTATTGCAAGGAAATAACTTATCTTACTTAAATTTATAATCTACGCTTCTTTCTGAGTCAAATTTATAAGACACATTACAATTGTATACGTCATTTTGAAAGTCTATAAAAATTAAAGTAATTAGTATTGTCCAACAAATGTTATCATATATTCTTACCAATAAAACTTGTTCATTTGAATGAACTGCAAAGTTAACAAGAGGAAGGGTGAATACGTTATGTAAATTCATGTTCATAAAGATAAGAAACTTGGCGCTCTCCACATCCCCATCCCAAGGTATAGCATAAAACGTAGCATGCCTAAATTCTTCACTCTACAAAGAACTAAACATTAGCTATTCTTTGGAGTTGATTGTTTAATACACTGATTACATATTGTTCCATTTCCGTTGCAAAAAAGCCACACGTAACTGTCCCAATAATATGAACTAAGAAAACCGGAACCAATGGTAGATTATAATGCTAAAAATAATGCTGTCTTGTATTTACTTAACTATGACTAAATTTTGCGTTAATTACATTTATTTCTGCGGTAAGAATTAAAGCAACCGTCACGCCACTTGTCAAATATTGTAATAATAATGGCCATTTAAAAAGATCAGTAACTTTATCCCATCCTCTAAAATATAATACATTGTAAAATATACTAACTCCAATCAGTCTGTGGCATACACACATTTTTATATTCTGTTGTAATTTGTATGCTTCTATTAATTTATTCAATCGCATTTCTTTATTTTGTATGTCTTGACTTTCCTTTAAAATTAATTTGAATTTTTTCACACAAACTTCGGTCAGTAACATTAAAGTATGTAAAAAACTACAACAAGTAATTGTAGCTGCAAATAAATACCAATATGTGATCCAAACAAAAATGTGGTAAACCTCTCGATAAGGCCGTTGACTCAAATCAATAAACAGATTCTAAAAATATAATTTTGTTAGTTGCCACTTAACATTAAACAATATTTAGTACGGTGTAGCACAATATAATATTACACTTGGATATATAAGTCCGCAAACGTTTTTCCGAGAATTTTCATCACAACTTTCTTGTTCTCTTGCAATAAATGCACTAACAAATCCCAAAAAACCCAATTTTAGACCTGACTTAAAAACCGAATTGGAAATGTTAACCATATGCTGCAAGTCACTTTGCAAATCCACGAATAATTGTGTTTCCATTAAATACCAGACATAGTTCCCAGTCTGAACAGCAAATTTGAAATGAAGCATTATTATTGTTCCAATTAGTGTTGTACCAAGCCACGATAAATTTAAGACAATATCTGCAAACTGAGCTTCCACATCTTAAACAGTTTTAATTAATTTGGCTCTTTTAATTTGATTTTGGTTTAATGTTGTTTTACAATAAGCTGTATGCAAGTAATTCAAATTGGCAAATGTGGTGATCAGAGAGATTAAGATGTAGGCCCAACTCAATAAAGTTGTCTTGTAATTATTTTCGGTGAGCCAAAAATACTTGTCAGCGACGTAATAGCTCAGAAAATCTGCTCTAGTAGGCGTCATTTTTGGCAGGAATTTGGATTGGCAATAAGTTTAATTGATATGACTTGTTCAACCACCTACTCGTTGAAGAGTGAGCCGTACTATTTTATTGGTAATAAAAAAAAATAATATAGGTTTATTTATTTAATCATATCGTACATTATAGGTGAACTGGAGGTCATTTTTGAAGATTGATAAGTATCTATCATCATCAACTTTACATTAAGTATTAGTCATAATTATTTTTGATATTTACTGTACTTGGAATGATTTTATCGCTAAAGAATAACTTTCTTTTCACTTCGATTTATATTTTACAATACTGCATAATTTGGGCAACTTACTACAGAAAACATAATAAGGAAACACAAGGTTTTATTGTTTATTATCAAATGACATCATTATATAGTGTTATTATTTTAATGCATAATTGTCTTCAGACAGAAAATTTAAAAGATATCCAACAAAATCGGTTTATGTAATTTTAGAACCAATATTATTTTTTCAACCCAATGGTGAAAGCATGTTAAAATATTTTTATTAAAAGATATTATTCAAAATTCATAGTTTGTTTAGAATTCGTAAATAGGTTTTTAAAATTCCAACTTTAGTACTAGTACAGTCATTTGGTGCTGAAAACGTGTTTGCTTGGAAAATAGTGCGGGATTGTTGAAAATTAGTATTTATATAGATTTCGAGGTGCTCTTTATGAATTTCAACTTTGCCACCTTGTATCTTGTTCGCTCGAGCCACCATCTTGGAAAAATGGTGTCAAAAAACAGTTTTTTGACCATATTTCCCTTCCGACTCATTTTACGATAAACATATCTATATAATAAATTAAACTAGAGAAAATTTCCTATAATTTATGTAAGTACCTTTTTCTTGTAAAATTAATAGTTTTAGCGTACGGGCGCCACAAAGTCTACTTCAACATTCGTTTTTGTCAAAAACTCATTTCCAGGTCATCATGACTGCTATTTTTGCTTGCTATGATTTGAGGGTGCTCCTGCTCCCCCTCGCTTGTTTGAAAGTTTCGCCGGCCGAGTTTACTTTTGTTTTATTAGTTCTTCATTGAGTCATTATTTGATATTTATTGTTCTGAATAGTCGTGTTGTTAGCAGTTTTGAAGCCATGGTTGATAACGTAAATTGTTTTATTTGTAAAACTCCATTGCAAGATAGTGAAGTGATTGAAGTGAAAGAAAAAGGATTTGAGACCTTTCGTAAGTCAAGCATTAAAAGAAAGGATAATAAGGGTAAACTTTTAGAGGGGTTGAGATCGGTAGTTGTTCACGAGATATGTCGGAAACGATATAATAATGAGAAACTAATCATTGCGTTTAAAAAAGGAAGTGTTGTCACGACTTTTCAACCACAACTGCGATCCACGTGCCTAACATTCTAATTTAAGGATCATTGTTTTTTGTACGCTGCTGAAATAACAGCAGAATTTATAGCGAAATAAAAACGACGCATTTGAGTGATCGAAATATTGTGTATAGCGTACATAAATTATCGATGAAAAACACTATTTCAGAACGTCCTAGAGCACGTAATGATGATTGGGGTAGAGCGATTGTTGAATATCTCGAGCGTGTTTATGATTTGGTCGCAGCCAATGCACAGTATCACAATTCGTGCATGTTATCGCCGAAGAAGTAGATCTTCTTATTCTTTTAACGGCGCTATCAATGTGTTCAAACATATATTTGCTAAAACCAGAAAAAGGAAAAATTTTGCAACAGATCTATTCAACCAAAAGCATCATCGATCAAACAGCGGCAGATCACATATTATTCTTACACGCTTTTAGTGGCTGTGATACAACATCTGCACTCTTTCATCAAGGAAAATTAAAATATATTAATGTACTCCGCAAAAATCCAGATTTAAACGAAGTTATCCAGGTATTTAAAAACCCAAAGGCTGGCTTCCTTCTTAAATTATACAGTTACAGTGATATGAAAACTATGCAAAATATGTCTTCAAACATCTTCAGCTTCACAAAATCAGCATTCAAAAATAAATCACAAGATAGCGATGAAGAGGGAGGAACGATTACCGTTTTTGAGCACACGTACGATGAACTCGAGAACCAAGATAGCATTGAAAATGATAATCCCATCGCGGATAATATGGAAGAAATTTTTACCTGTGATATTTCGATCGGTCCTGAAGACAATAAACGCAGAACACTTGGTCTATCGCGAAGAGCGTATCGGAAGACAATCCATTAAATTTTGGAATAGTGCGTGTGGATTAGGCCTACTGGGAATACCCCGATAAAAAAACAAACGCGCCACGTACTCTACCTCATGGTGGTGTGGAAATGAGTTTTTGGCAAAAATTAATGTTGAAGTAGACTTTGTGGCGCCCGTACGCTAAAACTATTAATTTTACAAGAAAAAGGTACTTACATAAATTATAGGAAATTTTCTCTAGTTTAATATAGATATGTTTATCGTAAAATGAGTCGGAAAGGAGATATGGTCAAAAAACTGTTTTTTGACACCATTTTTCCAAGATGGTGGCTCGAGCAAACAAGATACGAGGTGGCAAAGTTGAAATTCGTAAAGAGCACCTCGAAATCTATATGAATACCAATTTTCAACTATCCCGCACTATTTTCCAGGCAAAACTACCAAATGACTGGGCTATTCTAATTTTAGAAATATCATAGAGTTGCAAAATTCATTCAACATTCAAGATTGGTAAATTAGTGAATGAGATACCGAGTATTTCTAATTTCATGTTTTTCTGGTGTTAGATATTATGTTAGGTTAGGTTAAAAACACTTTTTAACGGTTAATTGTATTAACTAATCTTGCTAAGTTAATTGCACTAAATTTTAGATTTCTAATTAGGTAATTTGTAAAATATTTATATGAGATGAACTAATCAAGTATTTTTGTTAGGTTATTTTAATGTCATAAATAAATTAAAAGTATTTCAAAAATTTTCCAAGTTAGATTATGCGGTGTATTAAAAACCATTTTCAACATTCCTTTCACCTTCCTGGCCGATAAAAACTTACTTGCACTACTAGCGTTCGTGAAGGCTGAACATAAAGCATTATAATGACTACTACTAGAACATTGATAACCGGAATCAGTGGATTTTTGTTCATTTGTTGTGTTTTCATCCAAAGCCAAAGTGCACAACAATGTGGTAAAATAATGACTCGCCCGAATTCCGCCAAACTTCAGGCCAAAATCATCGGTGGCTATGAAGTGGGCTACTTCAAATATCCCTGGTTCGCAGCCCTGCAAATTGATGACGATACGTTTTGTGGTGGTGCACTAATAGGACCCAGTATTGTACTCACAGCAGCGCATTGCTATAATGATGCTAGAGGAAGGTATCGTTCAGAATTCAATTAGTAACACAATATTTCAAATTATCTGATGATCGGTAGGAATTTAGAAAATTATTACCAAGTGAAATTAGGCATCTATCGCCAATGCAGAAAGGAACCCACACAGAAAAACTATAAAGTCTCCAAGGTGTGGATTCATGAGAAATATAAGGATAACGATCCATATTATGACATTGCCTTATTAAGATTAGCTGGCGATACAACGCCATATATGCCAATATGTCTTCCACCAAAGAGTGAATATTACCATGAATCAGCTATTCCATTGCCTAAAGTAGAATTTACTGTTTTTAGTATTAAGTGATATTGAACAAGAATTAGAGGGATGGATTGTTGGTTTTGGCACAACAGTCGAAGGTAACGAAAACTCGTATCCATGCGAAATGCACGAAGGCCGTATTTTATTGTATAACAATGCGACTTGCCGGGCAATGGTAAAAAGACAAACGACGGATATTAAATATGTTCGGTTCATCAAAGCACTTTGCGCTGGATATCAATCAGGAGGGGTAGACACATGCCAAGTGAATATGCTAATCCAACCTGAAAGAGAATAAAATATTCATAAGTAATATTTATAGGGCGATAGTGGTGGTCCTCTAATGACGTTTAATTCATTAAGAAATACGTGGCAAACAGTGGGCGTCACTGCGTTTGGCTGGGGATGTGGTGAGAAAAACCAAATGGGCGTTTATACAGACGTTTCGCGATTTCTCGACTGGATTGAGCTGAAATCAGGCATCACACCTTCGGATTATCAAAATTCTAGTGATAACAAAGACGAACCTCCGCAAAACAATCAAAATCAAAACCCCAGCACCTCAAATGACATTGCAAATACATTCATTAGTGTTTTCGGTGCGACTTTTATTTATTACTTGCTAAAAATTTAAGCTACGTTTTTAATTACTGTTTGTTTTATAGACCACGTCATGAATAGTCCACATCGTCCGGTTGAGATTACGATTCGATTCAAAAATAAACCGCATGCGGATAATAAAAGTCGAGGCGAAATTACAAAACCGAAACATAAGCGAAAAGTGAAAACAAAAAAACATTAAAGTTTATTGAACAAAAAATATACGATAAATATAATCGCTTGATATGTAATTTTTTTATTACCGATCAACTTTCCTAAAACTTTTCGCGCTTTTCTATAACGCGACATTTACTTCTAAAATATATTTTTATGATAGGCTGCTCATATATTTAAAACCAAACTTTTAATAGTTATTAAATCGTGTTTGTCCTTAACATTCCAGTTCGTTTGTATATTACCAATGTACTTGACACAAAATGCAAAACTATTACCGATATTGTCGTGTGCAATATGATAGCGTCCAGACGTGCACATCAAAGCAATGGCTGTTTATATTTTTACGTCATGTTTGTGATAATTATTGTTATTTTATGCGGGTGTAGAACGAGTGTTGGTGAAAAACAATGCGGCAAATCATTGTTACGTTCACATACCAACAGACAACCGACCGGAAGAATTTTCGGAGGGTATGAAGTTGGTTTTTTAAAATATCCGTGGTTTGTAGCCCTTCAATATGATGAACAAACACTGTGTGGTGGAGTTTTAATAGGCCCCAATGTTATATTAACTGCAGCGCACTGTTTTGCTCCATTTAGCGGCCATGGGTAAGTAAAAGTAAAACCAGCACAAAAAACTCAACAAGCAACCGAACAGTTTGTTACAAGTCGGAAACCAGAAGATGCTTTCACAGTAAAACTCGGAGTGTACAATCAATGCAAACGAGAGCAGACACAATCAGTCTACAAGGCGATTAAAGTGGATATTCACGAGAAATACAATGACTACAAACCATACTACGATATTGCTTTGATGACCATATCTGGGGACACATCAAATTATTCTTCTATATGCCTACCATCAAAACGTACCTTTTACCTTTTTAGAATAAAAGTATAAATTGTTACGGTAAATTAATCTTGTAGCATTAACAGATAAAGAACAGGAACTTGAAGGAAAAATAATCGGCTTTGGTAGCATGATTGACGGTGGTGGTCCGGATGCATACCCATGCGAAATGAGAGAAGGACGAATCCTCATGTATGACAACGCCACCTGTATTGCGATGGTTCGGAAACACACAAGTTTGCGAAAAGAATATGCATTCACGAATGCTATCTGCGCGGGATACAAAACTGGCGGTGTAGATTCGTGTTCTGTAAAACCAAAAACATATATATTCTACTATAAAACATAAACAAAATATTTATTTGCAGGGAGACAGTGGAGGACCTTTGATGACACTTGATCAAACAACAAACACATGGACAACTGTAGGTAGGTTTATATTCTAAACTTGCTTCTCATAAAACAAATCTTCTTCCTGCACTTCTTTACGCAACTGGCGGCCATCTTGACGTATCTGCCTTGCAAATCTAAGCATATTTAATCCGTCCGCATAGAGACCTTTAACCGCCTGCGTGCGAGTTCTCCCAATTGTTTTTAAACGTATTGCAAGTTCAGGACTAAGTTTAACAACTCGATCTAAATCTAATGCGTCCACTTTGTAAACCTCTGTGATGGTAACTGCGGTAGTGGTGAAAAAATTAGTGCCTAAAAAATATCCGGTTGCACCAATAACACCGCCATCTTCCAAATGTTGCACTTCCTTGCCTTGATCTGTGTAGATTGCAACCGTACCATAGGATATAATGTATATACCATCAAAAGTACTGTGCCAGTTGAAGATTACATCATTGGGAAGGTAAACGATCGGTTTAAACGACGCAACGATTCTTCCTACAACCACTTTGGGTAAAGCACTCAACAGAGGCGTATTTACCATGAGATGACTACATGCATGTAGCTGGAATTCATACTGTAGATGCTTCGACAAGCTCTTGATGATAAACTCCTCTTCAAAGAATTTAAACTGGAATTTATGCTGATAGTACGTGAAGATCTTGTAACGCAGTTTACCACTAATATTTCGATGTTTGAAGAAGGCCTGCACATTATTCCACATAATACTATATTTGTATTTTGATTTGTTGGTGTTCCTTGCTGCGACAAGCACGAATACCACGACGTACACATGAAGAACGGAAACCACCACTGAAGTGATACACTCGATGATTTCATAGTAATCTTCTTCTACACGTTGGAAAAATGGCGCAGCTCTGTACAACTTCATAAGGATAAGATGAGTATAAGTCAGATAGTCTTCCAGTAGAGTTTTGCTTGGAGGTGGCATGTCACCCCAGCATACCATGAGTAATCTCGGCATTCCGTACCGGAAACAAGACAAGTAGTGCACACAGATTGCAATAAATGATAGAAAAGAGACATAATCCAAAGTCATGTGACTCATGCCAAGCAAACTGTGGAGAAGCGCTCCTACTGAAAAATGTCGACTGATGAAGAAGCGATGAATCACCGAAATCATAAACATGTGAAACACGATGTATTCCAACCATATTCTCACTGGCTGATAGGGGATAAGAACAAATAATATTCGGCACAATTCCAAGACGTCCAGAAACAAATATCGCTTGACATTCCATACGGCGATCTTTTTCAGGCAAAGTGTAATTGTCACTTGCTCGTTTTTCGTCTCTACATACCCGATGAGGAATTGGGTTACAATGAAGAATCCCATGATTATTTTCAAGAAGATATCAATCGTCACCACGTAGGGAGGCATATAATACAGTCGGAATGTATGCATGATGAAATATATCAACATGAAGAAAAACATTGACAATAATCGTATCATAGCCAGCATACCGTAGGGATGCAAGACGAAGGGGCTGCATTGATAGATCATACGCGTCTTCACCGCACGGAATGAAGAGATAGATCGGTAAACGTACTTGGTCTGCGGGTGTATGTAGCTTGGCAGGGTGTATATTTGCAGGGACCGGATGATGCGTTGAACAATATTCGCACGTGGGGTCAGACATGGCCAGCAATCATTTGGGTCATCCACAGGGGCTGCTATTTTACACGGGTGGTCACCAGCACTTTTATAACGGCGATTCATTGAAGAAATTTTTGTTGTTTGTTTTTACTTATAGAAATTGATTAATTAATGAATTGTTTTGATATTGATAAATTGTCTGTTGCTATGTTACCAGGTATAACATCTTTTGGTTGGGGTTGCGGTGAAAAAGATGCAATGGGTGTTTATACAGATGTTTCAAAATATTTGGATTGGATCTTTGAAAAAAGTGGAATTACACCTTATCAACCAGATAGAATTTCAACAACAGAAAAACCTACAGCTAATATTGCTTCTAATGCGTTAGCGGATCAAATAAACAGCTTATTCGGTAAATAATTACTTAATATTGCATTTAGAAATAAAACAATATTAAATTATTGATATTTTTGCAGATCAGCTGATGAATAGCACAAAAATTCCGCATGAAATTGTAATTCGATTCAAGAGTAAACAACGCGGTTCATAAACTAAAATTTATTTGTTTTGTTTCATATCGATTGTTGTAAATATAATTAAGATAATGATGATGATATAAACACATTAAAATAAATTGATACTAATTAAGATAATATTGATTGTTTTATTTCGTATGGCAAGCTGCAAGCTATGGCGTTTTAGTAAAAATGAGCTCCTCGAAGAGTTGGTACTATTTTAAGCAATGGCTTTACTATCTGCTTATATTCCCCAAATACAATCAAAAAACAGAATCGTTCGAATACAGCCGCTTGAAATTGTTTTTCCTAATAACACTGTTCATATCGTTTGAATCTGCTAAACAAGCTGGAAATTATTTTTATTCGGACGACTCTTCTCTTTATATCATAATTGGAGAGATCTTACTGTACTTAATGATACTTGATCATACATCGACCAACACACAAGTCAAGGTTGACAAATTAACCAAATTATTTTATAACTTGGAGAAATTAAACTATGATCAGAAAAACAAAGATTGGCGATTGAAATATTTCAGTCTGATCTGGAATTTATTTTTTGCTGGTGGTATCATGGGAATGGGTCTCTTTTTTGTCGTAAAAGTATCCATAATATTCGCAATTCAACGTGTGGCGGAGTTAAGTCTATTGTATTACATGCAGTCGATGATGATATGGCGCAACTTATTTTGTAACCGTATGAGGTGTCAACTTCAAGGACTCAACACTAAATTGAAACGAATCAATGTTGTGGGTGGTTGTTCGACGAATGCGCATGGGTTAATGGATCAGTTGACTATACATCACAATTTAATCATGAATTGGGTGGACGTTTACAATGCTCTTTATGGACGCGCGATTTTTTTGGTCAAAATTTTCGAGACGTATTATGCGCTTGTCATTATGGAAATGTACCTGAGTCATTATTTAAGGAGTTACAATCTTGAAGATCAAACTGTTTGGCTTATATGTGCAATGACTTTCGCGGTATTAGTAAGTGCTTAAATGTTTTTGATTTTTGAATCAAACTTGTCTTGATAGCAATTTTCTAATTTTAGGGGCAAGTATTTATTACAGCGAATATTTGCGAAAAATTTAGTAACGAAGGCAAAACAACAATGTGTATCGCTAATAATTTAATGCTAGCTTGTCATCCGAAGGATTTCATGGCAAAGAGAAAGCTGGAGGCACTGTGGAAACAGGCTAATGAAAGATGTCCTAGGTTTTCAGCCATGGGATTCTTTGATGTTAATCATGCCTTGATTTTCACATTTGTGAACATGACGATTTCATATGTGATCGTTATTATTCAAACGCATCAACATTCAGATTCTTTGAGTTATTTAAATGACACGTGCAAGAATTGTACAAATTAGTATCAAATAAATCAGTTTTGCAAATAGTATTTAAATTGGGTAGTAAAATTCACATAAAATGAACATAAATAAATTATTTTGTTACAAAGCAAATTACATGATAAAAATTAATGACTTTTGAGGAATTCACGGCAGAACTGCAAATTTATATATAAAATGGGTTATATTATTCAATTTTTTATCCGATTCGCCAACAATTACGAAATAAACCCGAAATAATTATCGCACAAGAGGCACCCACGCAGTGTAGTCCTACAACAGCGAATTATTGTCGTCAGGCACGAATTACGCTATATAAAGCAGCTTCTACTAATCAATTTTCCGTGTGCCATAAAAATTTAATCTCGTATTGTGCGACTGCATACCGTCAACTCATGTAGATAAGACATTGTGGGGAATATTTCCGATCACTCCCAAAAATGCAGTTCAATGTGGCAGTACTAATTTATTGCGCTGCCCTTTTTCAGGTATGTGAAGTCAAGTTAGAACATACGGGACAATAATAATGCTGCGATTTGTTGTTTTAGGGCGCCATTTGCGCAATTCGACGAGATTGCGGTAAAATGCTCACTTAAAGTCATCTACAGACAAGTTTACTCAATTATATTGTTATTATAGAATGTGGAATTGGAAATGAGGAGGAGATAGATACACGAATTATCAATGGTATCGTAACCTATCCCCATCAGTATCCGTGGATGGTGTATTTGAAATACATGGGACGCGTATTTTGTGGCGGCGCCATCTTGAACGACCGTTATGTGATCACTGCTGGGCACTGTTTGTACGAGTAAGTATTGTGTGAGAAACACTTGTTCAGCATACTTGTATAAACATGGTTTACTTTAGCATGCAACCACAGTACATGCAAATCGTTGTTGGTGGACACGATTCTGAAGTTGAAGACGGTATAACCGTAGATGTTGAAGCGTTGAAATTGCATGAAAATTACACACGTTATGCAGCCTATGACGATAACGATATAGGTATAATCAAATTGAGTAAAACATTGCATCTGAACAATAATATCAACCCAATTTGTCTGCCGAATCCGGGTAATCATAAAAACTACAACAAAAGTATACATTATAAATTAAAAATTACGTTATATTATAGCATCCGACTATACCAGAGCAAAAGTGGTGATTGCCGGTTGGGGTATAACAGAGAAGAAGCAGATGTCTAGGTACCTCCTACACAACTCTGTACGCATCCTGTCACAGAGCGACTGTAAAAATGCGAATCGTATTGGATCCAAATTCAGAGTTTTGGAGAATCTGTGCGCATACGGACATGCTACAGATACCTGTCAAGTATTTAACAATTGATTATAAACACTAAACAATAATAATGATTCACAATGTTTGATTTCTTAGGGAGACAGTGGTTCTCCATTGGTCTACGAGTCCTCACCGTTCAAGTATGAACTGGCTGGTGAGTAATCGCATACGGATAGTTTAATTTTGTACTGAATAATCAACCACAACGTGTAACAGGTATTGTTTCTTGGGGCGAGGGATGTGCTCCTAAAAATACACCCAGCGTATATGTAAGAGTTACCCACTATTTGCCGTGGATCGAGCGTCACAGCAGAGATGGCCATTATTGCCTCGCCCAGCGCAACTAAGTATTGTCTCACAATAAACACTGTTGAGAACGCACTCAGAAATAAAGAAGTCTTAAATCATATTATATTTTCAAATTTCGCCATCAAATTAAAAAAGAAACATACTTCTAACGATAACATTGAGGTTATGAAGAAAAAATGAATCATGACATTAATATATATGAAAAGATAAATTAAGTAGTGTTTTGTCCGTCTTTCGAAAAATGAACCGAAAATATATATCACACAATCAAATCAATTTTGAATGCTTTAAATGCATTTCGCTCCTCAATGAATTCATATTGCGCCGGGTACCAGGAATGAACATTACCACATAATATATATACAAGTACATCAATTATACTAGTAAATCACGTTCGACGTCGTCTTGTCGCACGACGAAGTCACCGCCTCTTCGAGATTACTATCCAGCTTGTGATAGTTGGCCGAGTTCGGGCGACGACGTGGCTGCCTTCTTCCGCGTCTTCCTTCCAGGACTAAAGCTAGGACCTACAGAAACCAGAATATTATAAAATCGCAATTTTTTAATTTCTAATTTAAAAAAAAATGCATACCTTTTGTTTGTTGTGATACCCAACATAGCCCATCACAAACAAAATGCAAAACATCATGAAATACGAAAAGAAGTACGAATCATTGGTTGACAGATCATCGTTAGTGACGCTACGATTGAAATCTTCGTCTTCATTAGTACTTAACGGTTTTTCTTTGGGTAGTGGTGGAAGGTGTTCTTCATCACCAACGGAAAACGGTGGATCATCGTCATCCATTTCAACTCGATTGCCATACACATCATCATCTTTTTCAACGGGTTTAATGGGCTCTATCTTGGAATCAACCACCACGTTGCTCTCGGCTGGTTGTTTTACTTCCGGTTCATCAACCACAGGTGGAGGAGCTTTAACTTCAGGCAATTGAGGCTCAACCTGTGTTTGAGTTGCCTTCGTAACTTTACCCGGCGGCGTTTTATCCGCGGTATCCATTATATTCTCAGTGGGTTTCGGTGCAGCGCTTGGTTTTACAGGATTCCACAGCTGGCGCTGATTGAGAGCCTGATGCTGAAGCTGAAGGAGGCAATTTGTTTGCAGATTCATCTGTTTTCGTCTGTTTGATGGAGCTGTCAGAATTTGATTGAATCTTCTGTTCAACTTTGAGTTGTTGAACATTTGACTGTGGAGCTTTATTAACTGCAGCAACTTGCACCTCTTGAGAGTTCTTTGTATTCTTCTCTATATTCTTATTGGGGACAAGTTTTGGTGCATCTGTGACTGTATTAGAAGGTTTAGGTACAACCACTGGATGAATTGCTGCTGTGTCAGCTGGTTTATGAACATTTTTTGTCATGTTATTCACCTGTAACTTGGCAAATGCCATCAATGCAGAGTAACTGCATGCTTTCACCGAATGATCATCAGAATTCAAATCTATACAAATCCGTTCACAAATATGGTTATTTAACATTATACTTGCAGGTTTACTTAAATTATATATGGTGTAAAAAGCGCGTAGATCTTTGCATACATTTTCCACAGATGCATTGTCAGCCAGTTTAATAGCTGCCGGACTGATTAACTTGGTCACAAACTCACCATTTTCAATCAAACACAGCTGCTCAAAGGTATCATAGTACAGCAAACAATGCAATTTTTCAATGTTGTGCCACTGGGTTAAGTTTGCATTGAGGGCTTCATCATAGCTGCCACATTTTTGAAGAAACGTTGGAGTGTTTACTTGAAGAAGTGTTGTGTTTTGTAAATAAGTGCACTTGTTCTGAGTGAGTTCAATCAGCTTATCAAGCACACTCGTTTGACTGGCTGGCGCGTTTTGCACAAACGTGATCAGCAACAAGAGCAGGCAGGATACAACTAAGCAGTTTCTCGGATACATTTTGTAGTTTTCGTTTCGCAAAATGTAGAACTTCGATTCGCAACTAGGTTAGGTATCGGTAGTTTAGTATTACGTGCTCTGGTCCTACATTGGTGATATTTTACGTAGTATCTTGAAAGGCTTAAAATCTACGTGGATAACAAAAGTCTCAGCCGATCTAGCGTGATGTAGATAAAATTTGATATAAAAGAGTATGCGCTTTTTTTTTATTCACTGCGTTATGATGACAAAACGTATTTGACCAATGCCATTGCAGCATTTATCCGTGGCAGCCGAGGCTTTCTAGATTTAAAACTAGCAATAAATATCGAAAGTTTAAGCGTTAATTACGTTAAATTTAATAACTGCTGTGATAAAGATGTAATTTTTTACTTGATTTTAGTAATAGGACTCTTTAGTCACTTTGGGGAGGCTCCGATTTGAATTTAGCGCTCAATTAGTTATAAAAATCAGCTGTCAGTTATTTGACATCTATCATAACCTAGGTTTATATTCAACAACGTGTTTTTGTGATTTGTGGGTGAAGATCCCGGATTTTACAAAATAAAAAATCCAGTGAGACAAAATGGAATACATCCAACAAACGGCACAATTGCAAGATGCAAAGCGAATGTATTCATCGCATATCTCAAAATAAACTGTCTTCTATTAATCTTTTTATGTTTTAGATTATGTTGTGAATGTGGAATTGTCATTGAGCCCAATCCATCAAACATGTGCGTTGGTTGTCTTCGCTCGCAGGTGGATATCACCGAAGGCATTCCGAAACAAGCCACACTTCATTTCTGCCGCGGATGCGAGCGCTACCTGCAGCCTCCAAATGAATGGATTCAAGCAGCATTGGAATCACGCGAATTGCTTTCGCTCTGCTTGAAAAAACTGAAAGGTTTGAGCAGAGTTAAATTAGTAGATGCCTCATTTGTTTGGACTGAACCTCATTCCAAGAGGCTTAAAGTCAAGTTGACAGTGCAGGGTGAAGTGGTTGGTGGAGCAGTGCTTCAGCAAATATTCATTGTTGAATATGTGGTTGCACATCAGATGTGTGATGAGTGCCATAGAACTGAGGCACAGGATTATTGGCGTGCTATGGTTCAAGTCAGACAAAAAGCTATTAACAAGAAGACATTCTTTTATCTTGAGCAACTTATCCTGAAACATAAGGCTCATGAAAACACTCTAGGAATTAAACCAATTCATGGTGGGTTGCCTAAATTATATTTAATTATAGTTGATATTATAAAACCTTTATAACTTTTAGAGGGTTTGGATTTTTTCTATGTGTCTGAATCGCATGCGCGTAAAATGGTGGATTTCGTTTGCGCAGTTTTGCCGTGCAAGTATCAGCACTCCAAGAAGTTAATTTCGCATGATATCCACAGCAATACTTACAACTACAAGTTTACATATTCTATTGAAATTGTACCCATTTCTAAAGACAGTGTTGTATGTTTGCCCAAAAAATTGAGCAATCAACTTGGTGGAATTGCACAATTGTGTTTGGTTAACAGGGTAACCAATGCTATTCACTTGATTGATCCATTATCTGGTCAAAGTATGATATATTATATTAATCTACGTTTTTTTCTTATATTTAAATTACTTTTGCTTTTGTTTAGTGGCCGAAATAAACAGTACTCTATTTTGGCGCTATCCATTCTCCAGCGTTTGCAACCCAAAACAATTGGTAGAATACATTGTGATGAACCTAGAAATTCTTATGGATAAGGACAGAAAGACTTTCCCCGGCCAAGGCGCAGTGTCTATGAAGCATGTCATCGCAGATGTGTGGGTCGTTAAAGCTTCAGAACTGGGCTTGAACGATAACCTGATACACACGCGCACTCACCTGGGGCATCTCCTCAAGGTGGGCGATTCCGCGTTGGGCTACAACTTATGCGACAGCAATGTGAACGACTCTAACTACGAAAAGTTAGATAGCAGTCGGGTTGCCGACGTTGTTCTGGTGAAGAAATTCTATCCGGAGAGGGATAACGCCAGGAGGAAACGTGCTTGGAAGTTGAAGCATTTGGCCGAGGAGACGACAGCGCTCAATATGGAAACTAAGTTAGATATTTTGTGCTTTTAAGTGAATTAATAAATAATCGATGTTGTTTTTCAGTGATTATCATGAGTTCTTGGATGATTTGGAGGAAGATCCAGCTATGCGACAGAACGTGAATATTTTCAAGGACGCTAGCAAGATGATTCCAGTTGACACGGATGATGAGTGCGATCCGTCCATGCCGCGGATTACGTTAGAGGAAATGTTGGATGACTTGGTGATCGATGATGTCGATATGGCTGAAGTTATTGAATAACATATTCAAGTCATGAGCGGAAGCAAATAAAAATTCATTTTGTTGGGTTTGTAATTAATGGTTTCTATAGGTTTGTAAAGAGCAACCTAAACCTTACAACTGTGGCTGTCAATTAGTAATTGGTCATTCAAAAGGATGTAATATTGTGAGACCTGTTTATTTTAATGATCCTGTATTCGTCAGGACTTGACTTACTACCCGATATTCGGTCTGATAGCCAATTTGGTATGGAAGCGCCGAATACCGCGTTATAATCACAAATTCATTCAATCGCTAATATGTACATTACTACTTTTTCTGAAGTGCCTCCCAGTTGATTTTCTTTTGCGAGAACAATTCATCATGTGAAATGTTGTCCAAATATCTAACTTGTTTTCTAATGTATTTCACCATACAATCCAGATGCTCTGGATTGGCTTCCTGCTGCTGGTAGAGTCTTCTCCAAATCGCGCCAGCAAGAGTAATATCGTCGCTTTGAAGACCTTCATCGTATGCAATTAAAGCAGCTTGGAACTGCTCGGAGAGTTGCCGTATTTGTTCTCGAACTCCGGATGGATTGTGAGCCTTACATAAACAGTTATATAAACAAAATGCAATTATTTAGCAAGGTAGTTACTTACTCCCAGTTTTTTTGCCCGCAATGCGACGTCCGCCCACATGGCTTGCACAACCGAGTTCCTCATAACGCGTCCATCTTCGCCCTCTGCCATACATCGCACCATCAGCATCCATACATGAATCTCGGTAATCACAAACCAAGAGTAAAACGTGTCGGGCAAGGCAAACTCGTCAAAGAATTCATTATAATTAATATTATCTGCTACAGATTCATATAATAAGTAACCAGACACACCAAGTTTCTGAAACAAATGGATTTGGTATTTGGATTTTACTGGCAGATAATTGAATCAAACTTACATGCCTTTGAAGATTTATAAAAGGGATTTTCTTAAGGACCTTAGATATTAGTGACTCATTATTATTTGTTGTAAGAAATTTAGCATCTTCTCCAACTTTGATACTAGCACAACTTTGTGTAGAGGTACTCAAAGTTCTTTGACTACAAGGAAAATTTAATTTATATTTTGTTCGCAATACGCTGTTGCACCAGTAGTATTTACTACAATGCAAGATTGATATCTAATATAAAAAAAGAATGATTAGAGTAACATTTATTGTAGTTGTGTAATCATTAAAAGTTACCTTGGTAAGTTGTAGACTTTGCACAAGACTCATATTGATTTAATTCTTTAAGCTGGAGGAACTAGTGTTAGGTCGTAATTCACGTATTAGTTTTGCTACATAGCCGCATTGTTATGTTTTAAACACAACAAATTTAAGTTCATGCAGCACGCACTTTATTTTTCTTAACTTAACCTATTTTCACTGGGTCGGAATAATAGAAATAGCTTCAAATGTATTTATTATAGCATTCGGGTATATAACAATAATCACAAAGAACATAATAAAAAAGTTAAATTCTCATATGTTTATAAAGAATAATTTTATGTCATACACATACTAGAGCATGTTATTTCGTCAGAAGAATTAAACCGGTCCTTACCAAAACCAGTTAAAAGACAGCTGAAAATTTTTGAAAGTAAAAAGTTGTTTAGAATTGATTTTAACGAATTTTTGTGTCTTAAAGTACGTATTTTTAGATATAATTGGGTAATAACAGAAGTAAAAGTATCAACCAGTATCAACATCAACGTGATTAAATTTACATGTTCAATATATCGGGGGTTCAGTGAATAGTAAACAACAAATTAGTGAGTGCACTACCCACATAACCTGAAACTCGAGTCTACAGTTGGTTTCTGGCGTAAATCTCGAGCTATCAGTCGGCTACATAGGTTACTTGATTTATTACGCTCGTAATTGGTGGTTGTTCCTTGATATCTGATAAAAACGCTGCGTTAGTTAATTATGCGAGGATTAACAGCATTACGGACATTTTGGCTTTCATTTATCCGAAGATACAAACGTCTGCCATGCCTGTGGAACACCAAGCATCCTTTATATAGGGATGGCAAAGCAAGACAACAAGCTATACAAGAACTTATAGATCTGTGTCGTTCATTAAATCCGAAAGCTAACCGGAAAACGGTTCTAGGACGTTGCCGCTCTTTTCATCAATACTACAAAAGGGACAAAATGTTATCTAAAATACATGGGGATTGCCACAAACCAAATTGGGCTTATCCTTATTTGAAGTTTTTATCTAGACATGTGGATGATCCAGATCAATTTAAAAATACTAGAGTAAATTATGTGAAACGGCGAAAACGATCACATAAACGTCACCATAAAAAACTCCACATGAAGAAAGAAACTGAAGCCTATATTAAGCCAAAAGAAGAACTGGAAACTAGTGAGACAATTGAAGATGCTGAGAGTATTAAGACAAATGATGAACATGAAACATATATAGATACACATATGGATATGATTGAGCCTGAAATACATATTGAGGAGAATAGTCTTTTAACACGCATTAAAATAGAGCCTGGGCTAAATGATAGTTTAACTGCAACCACAATTGCAAATCATGACCTAAGAAATGATTTTGTAAGTACAAATCACTGTACAGTACAGTTCTTTGAGTAAATTATACATCTCACAATTTGTTCCAGAGTATTACATTAATGGATCCTGCTGATGTACCCAATGCCATTGAATCACCAAGTCCTTCCTCACCTACCGATGGTACACAGGATTTCACAATGTCACCCAGGAGTAGCTCACATGATTATTACTTTCCAGTTGAAGATGATGAATCAATGACGCTGGCAAGGGGTTATGCCACAAAACTACGAAAATTGACAAGAGAACAACTAATTTTTGCTGATAAACTTATCAATGAAACATTATTTAACGCGCAACTGCAACTTTTGACTAGAACTTGTGTGATTGCTGTGTCGGATAATACCCAAGACGTGTATGATGTAGTTGAATCTTCATGCAATGACAAAATCTCAGAGATTGAGATTGAGACAGAAAACTGAAGGGGCAATTAAGTACTAACATGTTATTTATAAGTACAAGTTTAATATTTTAGTACATCAAGTATCAAGTGCGCTAAATGATACTTTTACCACGTTGTGTGTGTTTAATATCGTTTAGCGACGTGATGCTTACGCTATTTTTTCTACTTCCACCCTATTTTCCATGTTTAGGTTTTTGTATTTCAAAATTTCGAACTTCGTTCGCATACTACTGGAAAATGTAAGAATACCTGGGTGTCACTCTGGGGGCAGGTTTACTAAGGCGCATATAGTCTTGTACTGCACCGTACGTATACTTTAGTCACGGTCCGTGATTAAAAAACCACTTATCGTGTCTCCAAACCGTGAAAAAAGTGGCGCTTTAAAGGTGGAAATGGAAAAAGGCACTTTTAATTCCTAAAATGTGCTGCCTGTACTACAATTAATTTAATTAATCAAGTGAATTATAAAGATGTGATTTTATATTTAAGTTTTCCACAACAAAAACACCCAATATTTAAATGCAATCTCCTGGCAATTGATTTGAAAATATTAATCATAAAAAATAATTTTATATGCGGTTGGATTAACTATGTTGGTATTGACTCCATTCTAAGCTAGGGCTATCCGCTGGAAGAACCCACCCAAGCGGAATTTTCGACCCAGTGTCCGTATTGGGCGTTAAAAAAGTGTCCCAACTCTTTCTGATTGCGATGAACTTCTCCATATCATGTTTCGCTGAAGTAAGCGCCCAGTAAAGTGGTGATGGTACATAACTAGGACCGAAAAGCACTTGGTCCCATTGCTGTGCCACTTCTTTCTCTTTATTTGCAATCGTTTGTTTATTATCTTCGGACGCGTTCCGCTCCAACATCAGTTTCAGCCCTTGCTCTTCAATACTGTACGTTTTGGACGAGTTCTCCCACATTTTGATCAACGCTTCGGTAGTTTTACAAAACGCGGCATTATCTTCGGCTGGAATCTTCTCCCCTCGAGCTTTTGCTGCAGTTTCACGGACATTCCGCAGTTTAATCAGCGACGCCACAAGCGATAGTTGTTTCCGCGCTTCAGTTTTCTTCTTGGTAACTTCAGCAAGCACACAATCGGCGTCTTTCTTCATAATCTCTTCAGCTTTCGCTCGCTCGGCTTCTTCCTTCTTCGCGACAAGCCAAGAATCTATCTTTTTATGTTGTGCTAGGTTCTCTTCCTTTTTCTTGGCCATTTGCAGCTGGTTTTCGTATCTGCGGCGTTTCTGGGTCGCACGTTTTTTGGCCCTCTGTGCAAGTTCGTATTTTAGTGTTTTTAAGGTCTCAGGATTTTGATACTGCGCCATTAGCACAGTCAATTCATCTTTCAACGAACCAATCACGCTTGTGTGTCGCTTCCATTCATCGGTGCTCATTGTGGACATATTTTCTTCTAGAATCTTTTGAGTGGCTTCAAGACGTTGTGTTATTTCTAAACATTTTTTCAATCCTTGTTTAGCAGCGTGAATACTAACATGCCCTTTACTTTTCTGAGGTTTTATCTGGGTTGTTTTAACTTCAACTGTGGTTGATTCCAGGTTCAAGTTGATTTTACCGATTTTCGACAGCCAAGTTTCAACGAAGAGCTCGTCGTCTGTTTTAGCATCAAGTTGTATAGGTGGAGGAAGGCTTAGATCATACCTGAATGGAACTATTGGTGGTGGTGGTACATTTGGAACCATTATTGCAGCTGTATTATAATAGTTTGAACTGTATAGTCTTGGATCTTGGACAGACATTGTTGCTTTAGCTGGTGCACTATTCATCTCAAATTATTTGAATATACTTTTTAATTAATTAATATTAGATCAGTAAAATTATAGGTAGTAAGGCGGTCTTAACACATTTGTGCACCCTCTTCAGGTTTTGGTAACTGTGCCTTGGCCTCCTCCAGAGTAGTCAACGCAGTTTGATAATCTTCAGATTCTTTGAGATCTGTCTCCGAGTTAAGAATTGTCTGCAATTCTTCATATGCTTTTGCAAGACGACGTTGGCAATCCGGGACCATCATCACAGACTCTTGAAGGACTTCCTCCTGTTTACGGATGTCATATTCATCCTTACCTTCAATACAAACCAAATGTAAACGATTTAAAATTTACAAATTTACAAATAGAGGTTATATAAAGAGAAGCGAAAATTATTCTAAAAAAATGTAATATATTGCATGATCATACCTTCAGTTTGGTACTTCTCAATGCGTGTGCGCTGCTGATCAGCCTCCTTTTCGTATGTGAGCTTTTCTTTTGCCAATCTGCGAACAACGCCGGTCTTGATTTTCAACGTGCGAATGCGAGGATCGGCCATTATGGGATAAAGTTGATTTGAAGTTGAATGACGTTGTGAAATTAAATTTGCGTATAAATATAAATGTAGAGTAAATGCGTTGCCACTGCTACGTGTCGAAAATAATATTTGAAGAGGTATACTAGTTGATAATTACGGATTAGTCATTCGCGTTATTATATCCTTTTATGATGAGCGATGATTCACGAACAAGCACGCCACTTTCACTTTTTTGCAATTTTCTTCAATACAAACAGAGAATATCAGAACAACTAAACTCTAACTTGTTTGTATTTTTATGCAATGACTAATTTGATTATTTTAAAATTCAATTCTTACACATTTACATTGAACTTCTATTATAACCGGGGGTAATTTCTAATTAAGAATCGCAGTTGGCCTTGTTTATAATATTTGTATTACCCGCTCTTGAAATCAAAAAGAAACCAGCAAAAGTCCCTAAATTCCCCTAAATATTAAATCCGTGGCGCCATCTTCAAATTTATCTTTGAGTTCAACTGTGGTGTAAACAAGTTCTTATGAAGTCCTGCTTGCGGTATAATAGTGGGTTTAATCGATCGGTCATTTTCATCCCAGCAACTTATTTTATACTAACTTAAATTAATTTTCATGGCAAGAGGAAACATGCGTGGACGCGGCGGAGTCGGTAGAGGCATCGGTCGGCACCCATTTAAACCAAAGATTTTCCTGCCGAGGCACCCCTTCGACCTAACCTTAGCGGAGGTAACTTTCCCCAAGTTAAAACCCTCTCCAGATGAGACTATGTTTACGAACGCGTTGCTCAAACGCAATGCTGACTTGTCTCCAACGGCCGCCGAACAAACAGCTATTCTTAACTTGGTAACAAAGATACAAACTGTCTTAGATAATTTGGTTGTTGCACCAGGGACATTTGATGCTTGTGTAAGTACACAATACTTTTAACATAACTAAAACAAATATTTATTTTATTATTGATTATATAGCAACTGGAAGAAGTGAGGCAAGTGGGTTCCTTCAAGAAAGGCACAATGGTATCTGGCCACAATGTAGCAGATATTGTTGTAATTCTGAAAACATTGCCAACAAAAGAAGCTGTTGAAGCGCTCGGCAACAAAGTGCGCGACGATTTGAAAAACCTCATGAAATCTGAGGTGATCAACAAAGGCGAATCTCTAAATCATGCGATAAATGAGCGTGGCATTGAAATAAGTAACTGTTTTGCAACGGTACGGGTAATGGTTACTACCGTCCATCACAACATCCGCAAACTTGATCCGGAAATTCATCTGGATCCCAAAATCATGATGAGCCACTTAGCGGCAATCCGACACAGCCGCTGGTTTGAGGAAAATGCGCATCATTCGTCAATCAAAGTACTTATTCGATTATTACGTGATTTACGCTCGCGATTTGAAGGTTTTGAGCCTTTAACACCGTGGATGTTAGATCTTTTAGCGCATTTTGCGATTATGAATAATCCTAGTCGGCAGGCAGTGCCGATTAATCAAGCCTTTCGACGTGTTTTTCAATTGTTAGCCGCAGGACTATTCTTGCCTGGTTCGGCGGGCATTACTGATCCTTGCGAGGGTGGCAATTTACGTATTCACACAGCGATGTCTTTGGAGCAGCAGGATACTTGTTGTCTGACTGCGCAGACACTTTTGAGAGTACTTTCACACGGAGGCTATAAGCACATTCTTGGCCTGGAGGGCAACGCGACGATTGCTAAGGAAATGTCGATTTGGGACGGCGTCGTTGTTTCACCCTTGGAGAAAGCCTATGAAAAACCCTTAGAGAAGAAGGACGGCGAAGAGGGTGAAGATGAGGACATGGAGGGTGAAGGCGAAGAAGGCATGGAAACAGCTGAGGTTTAATTACTTTGACTTTTAATTGTTAACGATTTTTTTTTTGTAGATTTTTCGTGAGGTTATGTTCGGAGCTGTCAAATCATTTTTTGCGTGATTGTATATTATTTTACTTTTCGTACATTAAGTGGCTGTAAAATGAAGAATAATTGATTTACATTCAGGTTGTGCTGAATATGTGCTCAAATTCTGAGCAAGATTAGCGTAGAGAAGGTGTTTTTGTTTGCTATAATAAACAAAAACAGTAGTTTAGTAATGTGTCAATCCAAACAATGAAGTTAGCAATATGATCTGCTTTGATTTTGACACTGAAATAAACACTGTGTTCACTTTCAAGATATTATAACTTTTTTTATTCAATAATTATTCAACAAAGGAGAATTGCTTACCACTAACAAATTCTAAATATTTTTTACAACGAATTGTTTACATGATATGATTATTCATTTTCTATCAACTACATTAATTATCAAATATTCATAGTATTGTCGGTTAGTCTTGTGTTATATGTTTATATGCATGGATTAAACTGCTGCATATTGATGCGATCGCAGTAAACTCTTGCGTTGTCCCTTGTCACTGGAATCTTGAACAGTTTCCCCTGCGGCATGCACACGCAAACTTTGTATTGCATTGTCAGCTTATCATTGATCTTCGGCAAGAATATCGGCAGTTTCTTATGATCCAGTCGGACGCCATCTTTGCCAACGAGTACAATCGATCCGTTCAACGATTTGATATAAATGTCGCGATCAGCGGTTATTACAAGGTCGCGGCCTTCCAGTGTCGTCCCTTCTGATCCTCGCACATGTACACTTTTACCCTCCAGTAGCAAATCATCTTTTAGCGGCGCGACAATACGATTGGTATGTATTGTAGTGGTGTTTAACTTTCGCATTGCATGCGGAACATTGAAACTCGGCGCGTTTGTCGTAAAGATCTCATTTTCTTCATCATCTTTGACAAGAAAGTTGTTAGTATTGTTGATGATGGTTCCGTTCTTGCTCATTTCTAGTTTCTGCACGGTGCGTCCGTACTTATTAGTCAAGTTGAAAACTAGGGGTGCATCAATGCCGTCGATCTGTATCGGATGGTCCATGTAACTCTCAAGGCGTCCGTCGCGTTTATAAATATCATTGAGATCGGTGTTACCAAAGAGCTTGATGGCAGAGTACTCCGGAACTAGTTCCAAACTTTGCATGCCTTGTCCTAATTTCAACACTCCAAGGATTGTCATCGTCAGGACCAGATTACCGACGGCTAGGACGAATAGCAGTCCTACCAGCGTCCAAAATGCAAAAGTTTTACGTCCACGCAGTGCGGGCGGCGCTTGTAAGTCGGTATTATGAGTGTTCACAGGAATGTAACTGGCGGAATAGTTATTGTTTTGATTTTTGGGAGCTGCACGCTTGGCTGTAGATGAGATGCCCTCCAAACCATCTTGGAAGACATCCGGCGGGGGAGTTGCACGTACCTCCGACATAATAATCAACTGTATGGATATTAATAGTGCTATAAACACTGTAGCAGTATGAAGCGACGTCGGAGGCGTCGTACTCGATATTCTACAAACGACGCGCGTCGCGACGCATGTGCAATGCCTAAACTTAGTCTGCCTACAGTCAGTCCACCGAAATTCATAACAAATGTCTTGTTTTTCAAAACTATCAAGCTACCTTTGCATTTTATCGTTAATTACGAAGGAAGCAGGCGATGGCATTAACAAATCAACTGTAAAGTCGAACATGTTGATTTTAACAGAGATAATATTTTTGTGTGAAATATTTTCTTGCTTGAATTATGTCAGTTGCGGTGAGTACAACTCCTTTTAACAATTTTTACCTTAAATTAACTTATTGTTGCATTAAAGACTGTGTAATTTCTACAAATCGTGATCTCACCGAACTGCAACCGCTCCTCTTGAAACCCGGCACTTGGTCCACGTTCGGTAATGATCCCTACTACCTACCCTCAAACCGTGAGGGCGAAATAATCTTTAAACCTGGCGACGAAATAATACTTCACTGTCCTGGTACCACGATCCGTGCAGACGGCGTTACAATCAACTCCGGCATCCTTACAATCTCCTGTGATTCCCATAAAACTTTCAAAATTCACCCCGAAGGCAACATACTCCCTTTTAAACTAATTGAATGTACCACGCCAGCGAAACACATCGTTCGTCGAACAGAAGAAAAGTGCAATACAAACAACGACCTCCTAGAAATTGGTTTCCCTTTAAACGATGGCAGATTCATAACGCAAATCTCCGTCTGTTTTGATTCCGAACAGAAACGTACATTCTATACCAAATTCCAGATGACCTCTAGCATAGAAGGCTTTCAAACTCATGTCGCTCGTCAGATGTTCAACGAAGGCGGAAGTTTCTTCAATCTAGGGGTACCTGTTGAGCAATGTTACTATATCCCGAAGCAGAGGCACACCATCAATCGCCAGTTGAATCTTGCGGAAAATTCTATACAATATATTGACAAAGGTACAACTATTTTTACACGCGGACATTTGGCTGCAAAAGGTGATTTCGTGTTTGGCCCGCAACAGACGGCGACGTTTTACTGGGTAAACGCCGCGCCACAATGGGCACGATTAAACAACGATAACTGGAACGAGCTGGAGAAGAGTCTGAGACAATATGCGAGTAATATTCATAGTGATTTTCTAGTTTACACCGGTACACATGAAATTGCTCATGTGGGCAATGTGGACCTGTTCTTGCATTGTGATTCAGTTAATCACATCCCTGTGCCGAAATATTTCTGGAAGGTGGTGTACGAACCGCAGTCCCAGGCGGGTGTAGCGTTTATTGGATTGAACAATCCGTTCGACCACAGTGAACAAACATTCTGTAAAGATGTTTGCGATCAATTGCGATGGCAGATAACGTGGGAGAGGAAAAATCGTAATTTAGGATTCTCGTTTTGTTGTGAAGTCGACGATTTTCGACGAACTATTGAATTTCCTAGATTTACAACAAAAGGTCTATTAAGTAGACGTGATTATTAATACTTATTATAGTAATGAAATAAAATTAAATTAAAATACTTTTAAAACACATTATTTTGATGGATCTGCAATAGCTTCTAGAATCCAAGGATGCGACATAACTTCAGCCAATGAAAGACGTTTATCTCCGGTGGTTTTCAGCAACTAAAATCATAAGCAGTTATTTTAAATTGAGCAGAAGTAAATTTTATGATTGTTACTTACCCCACTAATCAATGCCTTAGCGGCTGAAGGGATAGACGACGGATACTGCATATGCACACGCCGAATTTTCTCTTGGGTTTCTTGGGCGGTTTCGCTCTCAAATGGCGGTTTTCCCACTAGAAACTCATAGCAAAGCACGCCTAAACTCCACAAGTCCACATGGCAACTATATTCTTTCTGTTCGACCATTTCCGGTGGGAGATAATCCAACGTACCACACATGGTCTTGCGTTTTAACGACGGAGCATGCACCGACCAGCCAAAGTCGGCTAACTTCACATCACCGGTGAATGTTAACAGAAGATTTTCCGGTTTTATATCACGATGAATGACATGATTGCGATGGCAATAATCCAGGGCATCAGCTACTTGATATGTGTACTTAGCAGATCTGAAAATACATCAGTGAATTAAAATGAATTTTTTTTGCTAAAAATAAATTGTATGTAAATTTTTTTAATTACTTACAAATGTTCATTGAAATGCCCTCCTGGGCTGCTCTTTAAAATAGTATACAGTTCTCCACGTGCGGCATATTCTAACACTAAATAAATTCTAAAATCATCATGGAACCATGTGAGAAGTTGAAGAATATTAGGATGCCTGAAACATTCATAATATGAATTTTGCACTGTAGATTATGTATGTATAATAATTACTTGAGATGTGTTTGAATTTCAATCTCACGTAAAATCAGTCGTTCAACCCGCTCCTTTGCAACCTCATATTTAGATAAAGTCTTGAGGGCCACAACATAATCAGTGTTCTTAATTTTGGCAGCATATACTCTTCCAAACTTGCCACGGCCCATCCGCTTGCCAACGTCAAAGTCATCTAAACTCCATGAATAACTTGGAAATAAAAACAAACAACATATTTTTTGTTCTACGGGCAATAGAAAAAAATGACTTACTCTTCATTGCTGAATGCTGGATGATTTACAATATCTGTCATCAGTTGCTCGGTACGTTGGTAATATTTGGAATCTATTACATTTTTCTTCTCGGTCATGTACCGTTGCACATATTCATCGGACATTGTGATTTAAAAAATATGATGGTTCTTCAAAGCTTCGTATAAGAATGAGCGGCAAGGTGCTCGACGACACCACCAACGGTTTTTGTAAAATTTCAAAATTCTAGGTTGTGTTGGTTCAGTTTAAAACGGTTTGACAAGTGGCGCCCCCAGTAAAGATCAAAAAAGTTTTAGGCGTACATTGATGCATTTTAAAATGAGACTTTTAATAAATAAACACCAAGTATCTTAAACATATTATTTTAAATTAAAACTATAGTTTAACACAATTATTATATATAATACTTTGTTATTACGTATAAATGTTTATTGTTATTTTAATTTTTAAAAAGTTGCTGGCAAACAGTGCCCTCTTGTGGATAAATGTCAAAAGAACCGCCATACGTTTTCAGAATGATTTGCAACCATTTTGTAATTTTTCTTGTCCGCTTCACAAATCAAATCTCGTGTGATCCAGAATAGAAAGGAGCGCCATCGCCAGTGTATGATTGCGATTGTGAGTATTGTTAATAATCTAAGATTAAGATTAATTATTGAGCATCAACGATTGAGCATACAAATCAAGATTAAGACTGGCAATCAACAACGATTGTTGCATTCGTACTCTAATTTACTCGAAGATAAAATCAGGACAAGGGCATTCCATGTAGACATAAACCAAGATGAAAGATTTACATTGTTAGAAGAACACAGTAATTTATTTATTTGTTGTTCGTGGAAAATTTCTTTATTCAACAACTTATAAGTATTAACATCAAACATCTTAAACGTATTCTTTGCACATTCTTTCAACACAGAAGTTCAAAAACCGAAGGAAGCATCTAAGAAAGTGGTAAGTTCAGACCCACCCGACCAACCACTTCTTTATATCGCTCGATATAACCACTCCGATTGGTTTTCGAATCGTTCGTTTTTTCATCACTCCTCGTTTTTTTTTTCTCTTCTTCGACTACGCGCGCGCCGCCGCATTATACTTGAATGCATCAACCATCAAAGTAATGCCCTTTAAGCGTACGAAGAAATCCGCCACGATAAAACGATTATGGCGTGCGTTGTCGCCGACTTGTCGTCTTCACGGTCTTCATCCGCGGTCGTTGCGTCTTTTTTCTGCTTCTTTCCCCTTTTATACGATCGAAGTAAATGGCGATTTAACATCTTGCATCGTTTCCTTTGCTTTTCTCAACTGCGATGCCACAACAAAACGGACGAGACGACTTAAAACGACATTTTCGTATAAAATTGCATTTATTAGTTGTGCTACGGCGAGAATGAGGAACTCCTCAACCGCTGGCATTCGAATTCACGCCAACGGTGGTGGAGTTACCACTTCTCACTGTTTTTCATCCAAAACCCAATCGGGAATTGTTAATTATGTTTTTGTGCGTTGAAATTACATCTTGTAACATGTGAAATGCTAAAGTACTGACGACCATGAAACCGAGAGCCTCCTCTCCTTTCTATTACACAAATAAATCTCGTCTGACGGTAATTAACAACACTTCTACACTTCTCTGAGTCGCTGACGTCGGCCAGATGGATCCAACGTCTTCACAATCTGTGAAGAACAAGAAATACCATTATTAATCATGAATTCACCGCAACAAATGTAACAATAAAACTGATAATTTTAGATAAATCAATTCAGTCGTCGCTTTGTGTCTTAATTACGCGCACATTCAAATAAAAATAAAAATTGAAAGTAATCTATCTGCAATTGCCCGTAATGTCGTAATTACATACAGACTGCGCGGCGTGAATATAAAAATGGCATTGACAATGATTGAATTACATTGAGTTACGAATTATGTACGTCTCCGCAAGACTTCGCACGGCTACTAATTATTGCTAACATAATGGAGCAATAGACCAGGATAACACCACAACACAAGAAATAAGAGCAATGAGCGTGAACAAATACGTTGCGCATTTTTTTATGTTGAAGCGACTTGAAAACGGCGATAATTATTTGCAAACATTCGCACGTCGATTGGCATATAAGAAAAAACCTGCGCGGCTAAATCAAATGTCAAGACTATTACAGTTCGATTACCTTTTGGTGTGTTTTTTTTTTCTCGCTGCAAAAATTAAAACAATAAAAAGAATTTTTGGAATGTTTTAAATTAGAAAAAGAAGGATAACTGGTTTAAAAGGTTTTTCTCATTAATTGGCTAAGTAAATTGTAATTTTCGGTAAAGTCACTCATGCAACGCGCATTATTTCGAATAAAAATTCCCACAACCGACACAATGTGATTCATTGCGCGGGTAGCATCATCGCATGTGTGCATGCACGAACGGCAGCCATGAAGGTATTCGTGACAGGTGAAAAAAATCCAACCATCATACACAACCGGGTATCTTCAAACCGTGTGCGTCCCCCTCGCGTTCCTCCTGGATAGCGATAGGTGGAAAAGTAAGCACGTATGCACGTAATACCTGGCGAACATATTTTTAAGCGCACGCATAATGATAGGAATGTGTTACTACAGGATACTTCGTAGGCGCATGTGAATGCAGACGCCCTTTTGTGGCTGAAGACCCTGTGCGTGATGGTATTGTGTGTGCGTGCTGGGCATGGGCACGCTGCTATCCCACGACAAAGTCCGTAAGTCAGGCGCGACGCGCAAGCGAGAGCGCCGACCGGCATCAGCCCCCCTTCGACCTCCGGCAGGTTATTGCCAGCGCGCACCTGACCTTGGGAGGCCAACCCCACCTGTATGCTACTTCTTCGGCGTCTCGTCTCTTCGCCGCGGCCGGCGCTTTTGTCGGTTGGCTTCGGCGTTTCTTTTTTTATTAATAATTCCATAAATACGTTACACCGGTCTTTTTGGAAACTACCAACGAGTGTATTCAAGCCGAAAACGTTAAAAGTTACGCCGTCGTCAATAAGCGTCGTTTTATATATGAATAAAATTACCATTTTAAATTTGCGACGTGTCCTCCAAACTTGACTTATTCCAGATGCAGACAACAGAAAAATAAAATAATCGCGACACTTGAAAAGTTGATTCATCGAGAATAAAATGACGCTGGGCGACGAGAGTATTTTAAGAATTTTAATTTGTGCTCACCCTCTTTGTTGTGGATTTAATCTCAACTTGAGTAATTTCGTTTCCTTTGTGCAGTTGAACGTGGGAGCACACTTAATACACTTGGATAATTTTTGTAATGAATGAGATGTCCAATTGGATGTAGATCGTGGTGGCTGGCGTATCGAATGTGTAACATGGACGCCGCTGATGAACTGAAGTCGACTGTCCGGCGCGATCCGCCGCCGCTAGACTCGCGAGCGCGCGCGCGCCCGACTCAGCCGGAGCGCGACCACAAAGCCGAAGAAGTGGGGCTGAAAGTCGCGTAACTGTACGCGCCGGAGGAAAGAACCGACGCGACCGCGACCACGACCACGACCATGGCCGCGACCGCGCGCGCGCCGCGACCTCGCTAACGCACTTGCGAAGGGAAAATAAACGACAGACAGACAGACACATATCCCCACAACCCCGTGACGTCGCGTCGCGTCGAGCTTGCGCATGACTATCATACACAAGGCCCTAAATCTTGAGCCAACTCTGATAGCACACACGACCATTGTGTGTACTCAGCGCATTCTGATAGATTAAACACCCAATTCATGAACACCGAAATGCTTTCACAAGTCTACTGGGGTAGACACAAAGGTACCACCAATTTTCTACCACCAGGTCATATATCCACGTCGATCCTAATATAAACCGATAAAAGTCGGGTCGCCGCTTTGCAGAAAGATACTCGGATGCGATTATAAGTTTTATATCGCGGCGGCTGTTCGGGAAAAGGTCGTGGTGGAAGCGAAGGCGACGAATTTTCTACCTGGTGGTAGGTACACACGCGCGCGCGCCACGATGCCATCCAGGCATGCTTTTTTTTTATTGCGATCGACACAACACGACTGAGGGGTCACAATGCAACAAATTGTGACCCGAGAAACTTTAGATTTATATACTTGGTAAAATCCAACAAATTCATCAGAAATATCTTACGAGTAAGAATTTTCCTTATAGGCAAACGACAACCTGCGTTTAGAAATTATTACTGGTAGTAATTTGGTCGTACATTAATTACTGCAATCATGTGTATTGTTTTAATAGCCGTAATAGCGTCTAATGAGTCTCGCTGGTTCCCACTGGTGGCTTCTCATCAAGATGCAACGCGCGGCGCGTCGAGTGCGAAAAACCGGGAGTCGTTCTCGATTGTAATTTGACTTCTTCGGCCAAGTGCGCAACCGGCCCGCGGCTATTTTATTTTTGTTATAATAACACCGCGCGCGCACATCTTCGATGCATCGGCAATGACCAATCAGCGCGTCGGTAGTCAACAAGCAGCGCGTTGTGAAGAGTGCCCCGGCTAATTTGTACATTTTGAAGACCTGAAAGTCAAGGTAATATCGCTATATGTACAAAGAGCACAAAACCAACGGAAAAATCATCGCAGACAGGCGCAGAGGGCCGACCACGCAAACGACTTGAACAAATTTCCAACAAGTTGATCCTCTCGTAAGAAATAGTGTTTAGACGCAGACCAAGATCAACACACACTCATGACACACAAGACTAACACCAAGGTGCGAGTATTTAGATGCTGTGGATGAAGAATTGACCGGCTTGGAGGCCAAAACGGCCGTATGCATATAGGTACCCGCGGACCGGTTTACAAGCGGCGTGCGCGCGCGCGCCCCGCGAATGCATTCACGCATTGTAAAATGTATATTTATGTGCAGGACGAGGATGCGATATAAAATACATTTAATTAATTTCGTTTCGTCTGGTTGCTGGCCGAGTCCCTACCCTCTGGATTTAATTACATGCAGGTTGAGTCGCCATCGCGACTAAAAATAACTTTGTCGTTATTAACGAGTCGTTAATAGCCCTTCGATTAATTCATCCGCGGGGCTTTGAAAAGTGAACAAATGTTACATTTTACATGCGTCAACCATGCGATACTGCATTAAAAGGCTTTAGAAATTTAACTTTAAAAGAAGAAGAATGAAAAAAAAACACGAAGAAAGAGGCATTTCATTGTTTTTGATGAATGCTGATAGCACCTGCTACAAAGTCACAAAGAAAAAGAAGGGTTAGCGTTGCTAGGAGAATAAAAATGAGAAGGTCGGCATAAAAATGGTTTTAAAGGCCTCGGATTCTCATCTTGGGCGTGTGGTAAAAAAACGAGGTAATAAAAAGACCACATCGGGTAGACACACCACCAGTCCAGCGAATGACTCAAAACTTCTTGGGATTTCGTTGTTAGTTCTTAAGAATTTTAATCAGAACGAAATTTTTCGTAAATTTTGAACTCGCTTTATGGTTTTATGTGCACTGAAGTACTTTTTACTTGGAAGTGTTTGATGAATAGTTGAATAGTGTAGTTATAGCGTACTGAGAATCTATTCAAACATTTTTCTCGGTTCTCATTGCATCTTAAAGTAATGTGCGTGGTTTGCAATGCTGTCGGAGACGACAACGCCAGTTGTGCAAGTTTTTTAGCAAGCGCGCCGCAGTTTTTAGCAAAACTTCTTTTTTCTCGTTGAGTCCGGTATCTCCGTTGGTCTTCAATGTGTTCGATTGCCGCTTGAAGAGTTGAAGCTGACTTTTCTAATTCGCAAAAGCGGAGAAGAAACAAAAAATAAAACAACACACGCACACGAGACAAATATGTGCGCTATGAGCTTAGATGCACTTTGGTCTTGTGGACTCTTGAAGCATCCAAACGTGTGTGCCTCGCGCGCTAAGTACTAACAACTTGTAAGTACTAAGAAAACATTCCAAAGACAACGTCCGACGTTCAGCGAATAGGGTGGTCGTTATGTTTCTACCTTTGTTCAGGCAGGAATTTTTCGTCTTCTAATGGCGTACGCACAGAAGCAGACGCAAAGACAATGCAAAAAAACAGAGGAATAAATGACGTGCCCAAATGGGTTGATGTGAGCGTATGCGTTTACGTCCTAAATGGTAACGAAGAGAAAAATGCAAGCAAGACCAGTAATTATCATCCTGCCGGCTGCTGCTGCCTGCCATCGACATCTTGAGACGAGCAACCAGTTATGTCGTGCGCGCGGCCATCGTTCATCGCTATTTGGATGCTGCGGCTCTTCGGCGGACAGCAGCAGGAGGAAGGCATATGGCTAGTCGCTAGATGACTCGTCCGTATTTTCCGCGCGTCGGATGAAAGTGTTGGTGCGCGTGCGGCGGCGCGGTCCGAGTTGATTCTTCAGGTGTTGTCTTCGGAGCGCGAGCGCTGGACACCGCGCGGATAATGCGATGCGATGCGCGCATAGCAACAGACTCACTTTTCTGCTTTCTTGATGCGAGCGATTCCAGTGCGAGTTATAATCTTGACTTGAAAACTGACCACAAGTCTGCCTACAAATGCAGGCGTACAATTCAATAAACTAAAATCATTCTAAATTTAGATTTAAAAGACACGCATTACTTATTACATCTTTCACTACATTATTTTTATCTGCACAATTTTGTTGAAAAACACTTTCGAGGAATTCTAACAAAAGTGTCTATAAAAATGAATGTATGTTATTAATTAACTTAATAATAGGTGTAATTGTACTGATATTTTCTGGAAACCTTCAAATTAGTCCAGCGCATAATCCTGTAAAGTTTAGCAGCGATAATCCAAGTTAAAGAGAGTGAAATATGGGAAGAAAGTTGATAATGAATTTCATTCATTTTTAAGTTGTATAAGTCTAATCTAGATGGCGCTTAAGTATTTGCATAAAATTCAGAAAAAATGTATATCTATCAATATATAAAAATGAATCGCAAAATCTGTTGGTAAGCGCATAACTCAACAACGCTTAGACCAATTTGGCCGATTCTATTTTTAACATGTTCGTTAAAGTCCAATGATGGTTTTTACGGCGAGAAAAGTTCGAATAATTGCCGGGAAAACACTAAAGACAACCCTTTTCTATAGGATAAAAGTTGGCATTGAGATTCAATCATAGTTATAGTTAAATAGTTGAATCCGAGATGGCGCGCTGAGGTGCATTATTAGCAATTCTTTATATAATTAATTTCGTTAAAATAAAATTGCGAATCTTATTGATAGAATTAACACATAGTATGTCTAGAAGAAGACAGTAAAAACAAATCACATTTTTATTAAACACTACCGGGACAAAAAATCGCGGGCAAAAACTAGTTGTATATAAAAATCAATGTATGTTATTAATTAACTCAATAATAGCTGCACCAATTGTAATGAAATTTTCTGGAAATCTTCAGATTAGTCTTGCACATAATCTTGTCGAGTTTGGTAGCGATAATGCAAGTTAAAGGGTATAAAATAAAGGATGAAAATTTATATTGAAATTCATTCATTGTTTTAGTTCTATAATTCTAATCGAGATGGCGGTAAAATCCAATATTTGCATGAAATTCAGAAAAATAATTTATATTACCAATAATTTTGGTAACACCCGGCACAGCGCTGTCCTTAAACATTATACAATAGCAAATTATTGTTGTATAGAGTTTATAGACGTAAATAAAACACTTTACATAGTTCGGGTGGAATATTAAATGATATTCTAGTATAATGAAATATTTTTGGCGTAAATATTCATGTAAAATAATAAATTCTCTTCATAATACCCCACAAAACTGTGCAAATATTTCAAATTAGCATTTCATTTCATGCATTAACTAATTCTTGTTGAGTGCAGCGCCGTGGTGCACTTTGCTTGTCTTGAATTAATGCAGTGATGCGTCTGTTGGTTAAATAGTAGTTACACAGTGTAACAATCGCACTCAGCCCGACGCACTCAACTATGCAACGGTACAAGATAAAACGCTAGATAAATCTAAATTGGTTATTCTTATGCTAATTCACCTGTCTTCCACGTAATAAAGTACGAGCACGTCTTGAACGTAACAAACCAAAACCGTAATCAAACCGAACGCACCATGCTCATTCGTTCGATCCTTATTAAAATCTACATTAAATTATTAGTCAAAACAAAACACTCTTGCTCAGAGTCTCACATATCAAGTAATGTTAATGACGTCTTTATTATAAATTGCGAACTATCAAGGTGTACGCTAATACCGTCTTCTCTCGCGTTTGTATAAATTTTATAGCTGGGTTTGGGTCATGTGAATTGAAGATTTTCCTGTTGAATGGTGTAATAAAAGATGCTTTGTGCAAGGCGTTATCAAAGTTTTGTAATGAGTAAAATTTATGTGCGTCGCAAAGGCGTTGCAATTTACGCCCTTCGTCGAGTGTGCATTCGGCGACGATTGATGTGTTTTACGTGCGCATCGCATTTGCTTTCTCACTAATCAATCTTTCGCACTATGGGACTGCCATGGCGCATTAGGATAAGTACCAAGTACAAAGGTAAACGTAAAAGGATGGGTTATTACTCATTATTTGCAAGCCATTGTCGCGCCAACAGTGCCTTCAGTCGTAAACGTTGAGTCAAGTTTGAGTTTCATGCTTTTTGTGACGAAGATGTACTAAATTCTTTAGCCCAGACCTTGGTAAAGTGCATAAATATTATATATGTAAAAACTGCACAGTGTCTTATCTTGAGATTATAAAATAGCAATTTTAATGCAATAATTTAAAATTAGAAGCAAGGGATTATACTCCATCTGACGCCATCTGATGCGGGGAAACTAAAGGTAACACGGTTAAGCACGCTGTAAAGGTAAATTGAGTGAAACTGATTACAGTGGTTTGCTATTTAGCTTGTTTCTACTGATGCATTAAATCTACGCATGCGTATTGCAACGAACATAACCACAACTGATTGCTTACAACAAATTTTAACTTTAAAGTTTGAAGGTGTTTTGGCTGCAAACAACAAATAGCATATCTGGCACAACAGGGATGTAGAATGAAATAACAATCATATTTGGAAATTATCTAGATGATATATATAACAGTGAGCATGAAACCTAACCAATGTTTCGTGGACTATTTTAGAATAGAGCAGAGTGCTGTAAACAGTAACCATACTAATACTGCATTTGGAGGATATTTAACTAAATCTCTAAATAGTGAATCCAAAGAAAGGCAGAAATATCTCTATCTACAAATTATTCAACCTCTGTAGGTGAGATTAACAAAAACAATAAGTAAGATTTAAAAAAAACTTCTTGCCTAACTTTTGAATCAAAAAACTGATTCAAGGATCTGCACTTTTTAAATTACAAACATTTTTTTAACACAAAATGGAGAAATGATCCCACCGAAATTGATTTACAATAAACGTAGTTTTCGTCCGTAGATTTAAACAATTGACTAACACTTGCATTCTGTCAATTGCAATAAACGGATTAGGCTTAAAGTTTGGATCAAAACTATATATTTGTTATTATGTATACCAATTTAATATGTCCCTATTTTAATAACAATTAATAAGAAATGACGAACCTGCGCTAATTATAGTGATAAAATATTAATAAACATACAAATAATCTCAATCAAGTAGCATTACTTAAACATTAATTACTCGTACGAATTGCGGAATACATGATACTTCTCGATTCCATATGAATACTAACATACATCCGTCCAATATACGTTATTTAACCGATCATTTATTTTCTGTGTCTATTACATATTGAATGTTGCGTTTTGGTCTAGCTATCAGTTTATATTATACACGTTTCTGGTACTCTTATACCTTGTTCACCCTTTGAAACGCACTAAAATGTGTTCTATGTATGAACAAAGTGCGATAATGGTCCCACTAACACTCTTCGCGTTGATTTGGCGGCGATTATTGCTTATACAGGCATGGAAAATGTATTTTATGTGTGTGTGTGTTTGTATTTATTAATTCTTTAGTCATTAGGCAGTCGCGTAGAGTGCATAATGTACAACAATGCAAATGCAGCCAACGAATAAAAAACTACCGCAAGTTAAAAAATAAAATGTTTATACAAAACGGAACAGTGTTACAGAGTAGAGCACATCGACGAGGTACTACTACGATGCGAACGTTAAGCAGCGCAGCGCGCTCTCGGTAAATGCGTTATGAATTTTTTGTAGTTCGTTTTTGTTTGATTTGAAAGTGTGTTATCTCATGCGCTCCACGACGTCGTACGCTTGTATCCCAGTTAGCTTTATAATCTGTATTTTCTGTCCGATCGGAGAATGCACTTCTAATGCGCTTGGTAGTAACAACGGTAGATGATCGTCGCGATGACGCCCAGGGCAATTGGCATCAGCCACGACATCAATGAACTGAAAAAGAAGATGAACATTAACATTTTTATAAACACAATATAAACCATTAGGTTTTCAACATCAACATTCCTATATTTATTGCCTTTTTATGGCAAAATTCCATTGAATCATGAATAGAATTAAATTGGATTCAAATTTGACTGTAAAATCTAAGAAAATTTTGCTATCACTGAAATATTTACCGGACCACGAATTTAATAGTGGTGTGATTTATGAAAATATCATTATCATAACACATTTAGTTTTGTTGTAATTAACAAATAACTAATGCTAAATACCACGCTCCCACTTCATGAAAACGTCGATTAAAATTATATAAAAGTATTTTATAATATCTCATCATGAATGAGTGATAATAGATGGTGATATGCAGCTTGTGACACGCGACCTCTACGCAACACAAGGCAATTATTATTCCCGCAATCAGTAATCAATGTTTGTGAATTTCATAACGCGATCCGTGAACACAATTATTTCCATGCGTGTATTAAAATTGCATGTCATCCATTATCATCACAACGAAAGCCATATGTTCAAAAAACAGTTAAATACAAAAACTGCAAGTTGCAGCCATTAAAATGCAATTTTACGTGAAACTTGAATGTCTTGCCATATTATCAAATAGAAAGTTAGCCAACATAGAAGTAATTTACGTTGTTATCAATACAACGATAAAAACAAATGGGTCTAAACTTTATATCATAAATGTTTAGCCTAGTTACCTGTCTTTTTGTGTAGTTTGATCAGGAGAGGACCAGTTGTGAGTCTTCTGTTTGACAGGGATCTTTTCCGACTCGATGATCTCCGACCAGGTACTTTTGCATCATTTCCCGGGCGTCAGTTGAGTGACCAACATCTTCAAAAGCTTCACTGCACTCCTTACCGCCTTGTTCCAGCAAGACTTCTTCACCTCCCGGGTGCTAGAAACACAATAACACGTATACATTAAAAATCGATTTATTATGTCGCATGAGGTAATATTTATTCATTCCGTTGCTCATTCAGGAAATGTGTCGACCTTGGTGCCTGAACAAATTATTCGTATGAACTTGCCAAACCGCATACAAAGTGACAATCGGTTTGCACCTTACATATTGAAAAATATTACGGCATTTGCACATATTGGCTTTCATTAATTAAATCCAACCTGTTCAGTCAACTTATCTCCCCTTGAGTAATACACATATATCAACAAAATCAAATAAAGCTGACTCAACATATTTTTTTAATAAATACCAAGCTAGCTGTGTAGATTCTTTGCCTAGTCATGTTTAAATGTCGAAAATTTTATTCAAGGCTAATACACGTAAATTATTATAATGTGATTAATTAACGAATCATTATATTCTATATTAGCGCACTTGCAAGCATAATATTTGTTTCAAATGTGAGAACAACGAATGTTTTAGTATGGTACTAAACTAAACACAAGTGGACTTTGAAGTATCGTCGTAGGCAATTACGCTGTATTTTGTTAGTTGAGTACTGTCGCTCTCGACTTTATCGACATTATGAAGTATTTTCTATATCAAAAATATTTAAATAAAAAAGTGCGTTCGAGAGCATGATTTGCGTGTTTATTGCAGTCAAAATCCGATTTATGTAACTGCAATGATTCAGCGAAACAGGAATTACTTGACAATTAATTACTAACTAAAACATGTTGAGATGATGTAAATGATGAGATGTTAACTCATTGGTACATTGATATCCATCGATAATGTGTGTAAGTTGTAAACGTGGAACATTTCTAAACGCCTCATCAGTTTCTCCTCGTTAATTAAGTAGAAGCAGTTGATTGGCACGCATAGTTATGCTTGATGATGTGTAAAGTAATGTACTGATTATTGTACGACGTACCTCGTTCAGGAACTTTGTTACATCATAGATGTTATTGTGAATGACGAGCCAGCAACTGCTGTTGTCGTTGTGCTTCTTCACTTCCTCAAGACTGTAGGTCTGCACCATTTTGTCGTTGTTGTATTGTGTGTTCGCGACTGATTGCTAGGAATCAAAGTTGTGGTTGTTTGGCGGTCTATTCGCGACACGTTGCGTTCGTGTGCGTCTCTTAATAATCACTGAGAATTTGATTCCGGTCGGCTTCGGGTAGCGCGTCACGACGTGGATGACTGGGGGGCCGCAGGTTGTTTGTTCTAGAATCAGGCACGAGAGGCGGACAAAGCGCAAAGTACGCAAAGCAAGCTGTTGCTCTGCCCCCTCTACTCGCAAACATCATGTGACAATCAACTTAACAAACGTCTACAACCAAAACTCCCCAGATTGGTAACAGTGCCATCAACATTTTTATTATTGTTACAAAAATATTAACCGCTACGTACAATACAAATATTAATTTATTTGACAGTTAAAACAATTATTTACATGATTTCTATTTGAATTGTTACTGAGCCTCTTACTGAGCTTCCAGTTTTATAATATTTTAGTAACCTTTCAGTAATACATAATTTAAAGTTTGTTTTATGTGGTGGATTTTAATATTAAATTAATTCTAAACAGAATATTTGGTTTTTAACACATTGTGTTGTTAAATAATTAAGAAGAAATTAAGCAAATTGTGTTTAACTCACCAACAAATTATCAAGTCATGGATACTTTACAGTTGGTTAACCTGCATGTATTTTCAACTGACATTTGAGACTGGAAAAGGTGTCAAAATTAAAATCGTTCCGCAGGAAGCAATGCACGGTTTTTTCTTTGCTGGGTTTATTCAATTTAATTTGTTGTAATTTTGGAGGTTTGCAAGTTTTAATTTTGAAACGCCGGTACACTTCATTTGCAAACATGTCCGAGGTGGAAAATTGGATCGAAATTGCCAAACAGTGTAAATATCTGCCCGAAACGGACTTGAAGAAGTTGTGTGATATTGTTAGCGAAATTCTTTTGGAGGAGTCGAATGTGCAGCCTGTCTCAACTCCAGTGACGATATGTGGTGATATTCACGGACAGGTAGGCTTATCATACGAAAGAAAACGCTTGCAAAAACTAAGGTTATTGCGATTTTTAGTTTTATGATCTGGAAGAGCTGTTCAGATGTGGTGGCCAGGTGCCAGACACAAACTACATATTTCTAGGTGATTTTGTCGACCGAGGGTATTACAGTCTTGAGACATTCACCCGATTGCTAACTCTCAAAGCAAAATATCCAAATAAAATTACTCTACTCAGGGGCAACCATGAAAGTAGACAAATCACACAAGTATATGGCTTCTATGATGAGTGTCTTACAAAATATGGCAATGTGAATGCATGGAAATACTGCTGCAATGTTTTTGATTTGTTAACTGTGGCAGCTGTAACTATACAAAGCAATACATTTCTGAAAAATATATTATTATAAAATTTATTTCAGTTAGTAGATGAAAGAATATTGTGTGTACATGGTGGACTAAGTCCAGATATAAAAACAGTAGATCAAATCAGGTGTCTGGAGCGCAATCAGGAGATTCCACATAAAGGAGCATTCTGTGATCTGGTCTGGTCTGACCCAGAAGACATTGATGGTTGGTCAGCAAGCCCCAGAGGGGCTGGTTTTCTATTTGGTGCTAAAGTAACACATGATTTCATGTGGATTAATGGCTTGTCACTTATATGTAGGGCACATCAATTAGTACATGAAGGTTTGTGCAATAAAATTGTGTATGTATTTATTTTAATCTTTGTATTTAAATATGTTTGATTTTAGGTTATAAATACATGTTTGATGAGAAGTTGGTGACTGTATGGTCGGCGCCGAATTATTGCTATCGCTGCGGGAACGTGGCGAGCATATTAGAATTCCAGACGCCCGACAAGGTGGAGGCGAATTTGTTTCAGGCGGTGCCGGAAGCTGAACGCGTCATACCAAATCGGACTGTAACGCCGTACTTTTTATAATTCCGATCAATGTTCAACATACATCCTTTTATTGAATAGGTGACACTAATAGGTTTTTATTATATTCACACATGCAAAAAGAGAACTTAGATGCTCATGTTCATTATGTAAATGTAATTCCTGTTTTATTATATAAAAAAATTTGTAACTTGACAAATTTTCTATCAACAATCTCGATTTCTCCACGGGATTATCATTCATGCCTGTTGAAATATGTTAGTTAGCAAATTAGTTTAATTTTTTTGTTTTCTTTACTATTGATATTAAAGATAAAGTTATTACTTTTACCAAATGCGAGAAATACAAAAGCACAATGAGCGCAAAAATAATGTTAATGCATCTACGAAGGAAGATTTCGATAATCACAAAGGTGTAATTATCAATTGAAATGCAACAGTAGGTGAAAGATTAGTTTAAAATTTGGGACGATTACGCATTTGACGAACGACCGAATAAATTACCATTAATGGCCAATGACATACCATTGTTGAGGGAATCACAAAATATATTAGTGTAATACTTTTGGCAAATGAATTTTATTATCTTAAGCAGATTTAACAATTCAGTGCTCATCTGTATATAAGAATGAAATTCCATTAATCGAATTCAACAAAACAAATGAAGTCTGAATTAAAAGCCAATAACCATACACATAACAATATAAATCATTTTGATTTATCATATTTACAAACACAAATTACAATTTAGTAAATTCAACCCAGTGACCACCAGTGGGTAAATTAACAAAACTGGCAGGAAGAATATCCAAAGGTTCCTTGGTTTTTGAACTTGGCGAAATTTTATAGTTTTGAATAATTGTAATGAGTGTAATTTTTGTTTGCAAGACACCAAATCGCATGCCTAAACAAGCGCGTGGACCATCGCTAAAAGGCAGATAGGAATTCTTCACATGCTTGTCCTTATTTTCGCGATTCCATCTCTCCGCGTCAAACTTTTCCGGGTCTGGAAAGAACAGCTCATCCAAATGCAGCGCTAATAATGGAATAATAACAGGAGTTCCAACTGCTAGTTCAACCTGCGGTCCGGTATTATCCTCCCTCATTGGTTTCATAGTGTATGGTTTTGTAACACGTTTGGTCATGAACATTAGTGGAGGATGAAGTCTCAAACTCTCTTTGAGTACACAGTCCAAATATTCCATTTCCTGTATACTTTCGTATGTCAATTCGCCATTATGCTTGCTGAGCACGTTTTCTATTTCTTTGCGCAGTTTATCCTGAACGTCGGCATTTTTTGCAATGTCATACAATGCGTGGTCTGCTGTAATCGAGCTGGTTACGATACCATCCAAGAGAAATCCGCCAGCGTGTCCGAGAATATCAAAAAAACTGAACACTTTGTCATCGTTGACTTTTTCCCTGATGCGTTTCATCTCATCGAGAAGATCATTGCGTTGTACGTTGTTGTCTTTGCGGTATTGCATGGTTTGTTCAATTACACCTTTCAGATAATCGATTGTTTCTTGACGGAAGAACTTTACTTTGATAATGCGTGCTAACGATGGACATACAAATATCATGAAACCTTTGATGATGTTCATAGTGGTTGGGTTGATGGGTTCCTTGGCAAATTCAACAAATCGAGGTTTTTCTTGTGTGAAGCTACCACCCTCAAGACCAAATGCACAGCTTGCAACATTATCTGCTGTGATTTTGTTGTTTAATGGATCCAATTCAACTGGAACACCTTCAAATTTCTTCATATAGTTTAACAGAGTTGTGTTTGTCTCTTTTATAAGTGGCATCATTGCTTTTATCTGTAAAACATTAGAAAATAAGACATTAGAGAGAAATCTAATGGAAATTAAGATAATTATACCTTTCCAGATGAAAATGAAGGTGTAGATTGTGCACGGACATGCTTCCATCGCTGACCCTTAAGTATAAATGGATTTTTACCGAATATGGGATCCATTTCTTCATCAATATCGAAATCATTATCAGCGAACGATTGAAAGTCTTTGATGAGTATATCACCGATTATTTCCGGGTTTCGCACCACTATTGCCGGTTGCAAAGCGTTGTAATATCCGAAATAATTGTATCCTTTGAAAGCACTGTGAATTGGTGATGTTTATTAGTATATACAATATGTTAACGTTGTTTATTTACTTGTATTCATCTTGCAAAACTAATCCAGCGTTTTTCTTGAGTGTTAATTGTTTCCATAAGTTTCCAACAACATAATGGAATGGTGGTGTGTCTACGCCGCGCTTTTTCCAGTAGTTGTAGTTGTTTTTCAAGTATAAATAAATTAGGCCAATACTAAGCCCGATTAAAAAGAGCCACATTGTAACCCGGTTTAGAACCTACTGAGTTGTGCGGGATAAATGAAGGTTGCTTTGTCATGCAGCGGTATTTATTAACTAATAACAGCAGGTCAATTGAACGTTGTTTCATTTGATAAGGCTAAACATGTAATTGAAGTGTTATTGCGTTTGTTATATTTTTAAGTCTATCACTTGAACTCTGTAACGTTGCTTATTTGTAAAGATTAAGGAATCATAAAGAGTAAAACAAAAGTTAATATTAAAGAGGCACTCAGAATTTTCAAAAATCGATTTTTGAAAAAAACTGATAAGCTCTCGTTTATGTGTTAAAATGATATTTTTTCATTTCAATGATATTGTATGAACTGTGGGCGAAAACTTTTCATAAAATTAATATTTTCTTTTCAAATTTGGCTGAAATCAAGTTGAGACATGACATATTGATGCAGGTTTGTTACTTTATTAAATTAATATAGTAACTGATAAAAGAAATGATTTAAAATACTTGATTTTGAGAGTTTTTAACGCTTGCCCTTGTCCCTTTAAGAGTTTCGGGAACATTCAGTTTAATTTTCCTTGAAATTTGGTGTATGTTGGGTTGCACGCACGTTTAGAGTAAAGTTGTGTTTGTAACCGTCGTGTAGTTCTGTTTTTAATTCCTGTTTTAATAGACCGAAAACAACAAAATCATTAATGTAAGTACAGTTTTACGATAAACAATTTACTATTCCTTTATTTAGTATATAATTCCGCATGTATTTGTTTACTATTACGTTGTAAACAAGAACTTAAATATTTGTAGCAAATTTAAACTAACTTAACCTCAAAATGCACAAAACTCTTGCAATACAATCAAATAAAAATTACAACTTTGTAAATTCTAACCATTGGCCGCCAACAGTTTGATTAAAGAAATTGCCAGGATCAATTTCTAAAGGAATCTTAGTTTTACTACTAACTTTCAGTTTATAGTGACTGATCATTGTGATAATTGATATCTTTGTTTGTAAAACGGCAAATTTCATGCCCAGACATACACGCGGGCCATCACTAAATGGCAGATAAGTATTCTTAACAATTGTGTTGTTATTATCACGATTCCAGCGTTCAGGATTGAATCTTTTCGCATCGGGAAAATACTTATTATCCAGATGTAAAGCGCACACTGGAAGAATCACAGGAGTACCAAGTTCTAACTCAATTCTCGGCCCAGTATTATCTTCTCTCATTGGTCGCATTGTATATGGCTTTGTAACACGTCTAATCATAAACATTATTGGAGGATGCAGTCGTAAACCTTCCTTTAAAACACAGTCCAAGTAATTCATCTCTTGAACCTTCTCGTATGTCAATTCTTCGTTGTCAAGGACACGCAGAACTTCTTCTCGGAGTTTGTCTTGAACTTCTTGGTCGTCTGCGATGTGAAAAAGCGTATAACCAGCGGCTATAGCACTAGTAATCACACCATCTAAAAGAAATCCACCAGCGTGTCCGAGAATATCTAATGAATTGAACGCTTTATCGTCGTTGATCTTTTCGCGGAGACGTTTCATCTCATCAAGAAAATCATTCCGTTCGATGTTATTATCTATGCGGTATTTCATCGTCTGCTCAATGATATCATGCAGATATTTGATGGTTTTCTGCGTGTAAAAGCTAACTTTGAATATTCGGCCTAGTGATGGGCATATGAATAACAGTAAACTTTTGAGGCTGTTTGTCATGGTTGGTTCGACTGGTTCGTTGGCAATTTTCACAAATTCAGCATCTTCTTGTGTGAAACTGTTGCCATCTAGACCGAACGCACAACTTGCCACATTTTCGGCATTTATTCGTTTGTTCAAAGCGTCTACTTCAACTGGGATATTTTCATATTTTTTCATATAATCCAAAAACTTAGCGCTTGTTGCTTTGAGCAATGGCATCATCATTTTAACCTAAACACATTTATTTTTATTTAACTTAAACAATTATTAAATATCATCTATATTACTTTTCCGGCTGTAAATGACGGTGTTGCCTGTGTGCGTACTTGCTTCCATCGTTGTCCTTTCAATACAAAAGGGTTTTTACCCAAAATCGGATCGGCCACCTCATCTAGGTCGAAATCCGTATCGCCAAATGAAGCGAAATCTTTGATGAGGATTTCACCGATGATTTCTGGGTTTCGCACAACTACAGCTGGTTGCAAAGCATTGTAATACCCAAAATAATTGTAACCCTCAAAGGCTCTACGAGTTATTTTTACGAATTTTATGATCACAGGAGTTTATCTAACATTTAAGTGACTTACTTGTAATTTTCTTGTAAGAGTACCGCTGCATTTTTCTTCAGTGTGAGTTGCTCTAATAAGTTTCCTGCAACATAATGGAATTTTGGGGTGTCCAAACCACGTTTTTTCCAGTAACTATAATTATGCTTTAGGTAAGCAAAAATTAAGAGTATAATTGCTAAAATTAATATTAGCCACATTTTGCTACAGTTCAAATGTAAACTATAACGCAAATTAAAATAACTTGCGAATGAATATTATTATATTGCCGTTTGAACTTGTTATTGCGTGTTATATAATTTATCACGTCATTATCGTACATTTTTCATCACCCATGTTTTTGTAAGATAAGAGTTATAACCAGTTAAACTGACTTAAGAATACAATTCATTTATATCTTGTATTAATTTTATTATCTATAGATATATACACATTTACCGTAAATCGGCTTTGGTAAAAGTGAGTTTAAAATTACTAACGGAAAGTTTATTTAAATAAAAAATTTAAATAAATTTTACATAGTAAAATAATTACAATTTACTAAATTCTACCCAGTAACCACCAACAGCCGTATTAATAAAGCTCACTGGATGAATCTTCAAAGGTTCTTGAGTTTTTGCACTCAAAGTTAATTTATAATGATAGAGGATGGTAATCAATGTCATTTTTGTCTGCAAAAGAGCAAATCTCATTCCCAGACACACGCGTGGCCCTGCACCGAATGGCAAAAAAGAATTTTTAGGAATTTTACATTTATTCTCAGGCTTGAATCGATCCGGGTCAAACTTTTCTGGTTCCGGAAAGTATTTCTCATCCATATGTAGACCTAGAAGTGATATTTTGACAGGAGTTCCAACTTCTAATTCAACTCGTGGCCCTGTGTTATCATCTCTCATTGCTCCTAAAGTATAAGGTTTCGTAACTCGTTTGGTCATGAACATCAACGGTGGATGTTGTCGCATAGTTTCGTTCAATACACAATCTAAATATTCCATTTCTTGCATTTTTTCATATGTCAACTCTTCCATATTGTTGTTAAGAACTTGGTGAATTTCTTCTCTTAGTTTTTCTTGAATATCTGGATGTTTGGCGAGTTCATAAAGTGCGTAGCTCGCTGTGGTCGATGAGGTTACTACTCCGTCTAGGAGAAAAGCACCTGCATGTCCAAGAATGTCATAAAAACTGAATAATTTGTCATCGTTAATCTTGAGTCTGAGACGTTTCATTTCATCGAGGAAATCATTGCGTTCGATATTGTTTTCCACGCGGTATTTCATCGTTTGTTCCACTATACTATGTAAATATTCAACGGTTTCTTTTTTGTAAAAACTTAGTTTAATAACGCGACTTAATGATGGACACATTAATAGAATCAAGTTTTTAAGCCCGTTCATTGGTGTGGTTTGCATCGGCTCATTGGCGAATTCAACAAACTGCGCTTTTTCTTGTATAAAACTACCGCCATCTAAACCAAACGCGCAACTTGCGACATTTTCAGCGTTTATTCTTTTGTTCAGAATGTCTAATTCAATTGGAATGTTTTCACGTTCTTTTAAGTATTCAAGAAGTTTAATACATGTTTCTTTGACATGTGGCATCATTAGTTTTATCTTAAAACAAGTAAATAAAGTTTTCAAGTCAATTCAATGAAATTTTCAATGAATAATATACTTTTCCTGATGTGAAAGAAGGTGTGGATTGTGCACGCACATGTTTCCATCTTTGACCCTTTAAAATAAAGGGTGCTCTACCAAATATTGGGTCGGTTTGTTCATCAATGTCGAAATCATTATCTGCGAATGATGCAAAATCTTTGACGAGAATATCGTTGATTACGTCTGGATTTCTAATAACAATAACGGGTTGCATTGCATTGTACAATCCAAAATAATTATAACCTTCAAAGGCTCTAAAATTGCATTAAAAATATTGATATTGTATTACTGATTAGTAAATTGTACGCACTTGTAATATTCTTGCAAAATCACTCCTCCATTTTTCTTAAACAAAACTTGTTCTAATAAGTTTCCAACAAAGTAATAATACTTGGGTGTGTCTACTCCTTGATTCTTCCAGTAGTTATAATTATGCTTTAAGTATAACCATATTATCGTAATAATTGCAATTAACGCGAACCACATTTTGCCACAGTTGGAATAGCACTGGATTTAATAACAACTTCAACTTGTATTACGTTTGCATAATACAGGGATGTTGTTTGTTGTTCATTTATAACTTCAGTTTAGTACGCATTTGCAGAGACACATTTCTAATTTTATGTGCAGCAATATAGTTATTTGTTATTGTCGGAAATATTTCATGAATGTTTCTTGCCATGTAAACTAATGAAACATTTCTAAAATTACTCATTTTTTTCGGGTAATAGTATAAACATGCAATAAATGACATTTTCTTTGATTTACAAGTTTTAAAAAATGAATAAACAAATATTATTTGTCTACTTCCATCTTTAAAGCGCTAGTTTTTCCATGGTTTATAGACACAAAAAGAGGTACTTATACACGAACGCTTATGACCATTGTAGTAACAAAGTCTTCAAATACAAAAACAATGTTAAACACTCGAATCTCGTGACAATACGTCCCGTGCAGCCACTTGATACTTGATACATTTGATACTATAAAAATTACAAGTAGGTAGTTTCACTTGCATTCATATTGCATCACCTTTTATATTTATTAGAGACTTTTTACTTTTTTAAACATTGATATTATGTTTATTTGGCTTTAATTTCTATATCGTACCCCTATCACTACTACTACAAAAATTAAACGAATTTTCATGAAGGTTTCCTTAGTTCCAGTAAACATAATTTTTCATTAATTCCAAGGTTAAATATTTTTCACGTGAGGATTTATTACCATAACACGCTGTTTAAACATGGTCGTTAATGAAAGCCTTTAATATCAGAGGCATTATCTGATATAGTTTGAGCAAACAATAGATAACTACGTATATTAATAGAACTATATTATAATCCAGCAAATTGAACCTACGATAACAAATCTTTGGTTTCAAAATTTCTATTTTACAGTAAACTATTAATACATGTAATAAAATTTGTTTGTTTCTCGAAATACTTAACATTTGCTAAGTTACCCGAACAACAATTAAATTTGAAAACAATAAAAGATTGCTTAATGTATAATTTACAACTTGTAAACAACATAGAATCATTTTTGAAACATTGTTAGTTATAGCCTAGTAAACTCAACCCAATGTCCACCAACAGGCAAATTCAAAAAACTAGTCGGATCAATTTCTAATGGTTGTTTAGTTTTTTCATTTACTCTAAGTCTATAATTACTCAAAATTGTTATCAGCATCATTTTGGTCTGTAAAACACCGAATTTCATCCCTAAACACACTCGTGGGCCATCACTAAATGGTAGAAATGAATTCTTAACAATTTTTTCTTTGTTTTCGCGTTTAAAACGCTCTGGATCAAACTTTTCCGGTTCCGGAAAATATTTTTCATTTCGATGTAGGGCATAAGTTGGTATCATTACCGGCGTACCGACTTCTAACTGAACACAAGGGCCGGTATCATCTTCTCTCATGGGTTTCATTGTATAAGGTTTTGTTACTCTTCTAGTCATATACATTAAAGGTGGATGAAGACGTAGACTTTCTTTGAAGACACATTCTAAATATTCCATCTCATGAATATTTTCATATGATAATTCTTGATTGTTGTTTTGGAGCATTTCTTGAATTTCTTCACGAAGTTTTTCCTGAATTTCTGGATTATTCGCAACTGAGAATATTAAATAGGCCATTACTGAGGAACTTGTTAGAATTCCATCGAGGAGAAATCCTCCTGCGTGGCCTAAAATGTCTAAGAAACTGAATTGTTTTTCATCGTTGATTTTTTCTTTAAGGCGTTTCATTTCATCCAGAAAATCATTCCGTTGTATGTTATGTTCCTGGCGATATTTCATTGTTTGCTCAACAATATCTCTAAGATAAGCTACGGTTTCTTTTTGGAAGAAACGTACTTTTACTAAATGCGCCAATGATGGACAAAGAAATATCATGAAGCCTTTGAGGACATTCCACGCTGTAGGCTTGATTAATTGATGACAAATATCAATAAATTCGGCGTCTTTTCGAATAAAACTATTGCCTTCCAAACCAAACGCACAACTCGCTACGTTTTCGGCTGTAATTTTATTCGCCAGTGGGAAAAGTTCAATTGGAATATCTTCATTCTTTTCTAAGTAGTTTAATAGTTTCGTACAGGTTTCTTTTATAAGTGGCATCATCATTTTAATCTGAAAATATTCAACATATTTTAAATTATGTAGGAATTGGTTTTATTATAATAATTTCTATACTTTTCCTGCTGTAAATGATGGTGTAGCCTGTGCACGTGCTTGTTTCCATCTTTGTCCTTTTAGTATAAATGGGTTTTGCCAAAAACCGGATCTCCTTCTTCGTCTATGTCAAAATCATTATCGCAAAATGATGCAAAATCTTTAACGAGAATATCTCCGATTACATCAGGATTTCGAACGAGGATAGCTGGTTGCATAGCGTTATAAAAGCCAATATAATTATAACCTTCAAAATTTCTAAAATTTTAAAATTTTAGTTATTAAAAATCGTGAAAAATATTTTTTTTATTTTGACTTACTTGTAGCTATCTTGCATGATCACTACACTGTTTTTCTTGAAAAGAAATTGCTCCAATAAATTCCCGACAAAATAATAATACTTTGGTGTGTCTAATCCCCGTTTTGCCCAATAGTTATAAATATGTTTCATATAGATATAAATTAGAATGATAATTATTACTATAAGCATCCACATTTTATAAATTTAATTTAGAAAAAACTTCACTGAGCTAAATTTCGATGCACACTACTTGTAACTTTTATTTATTTTCTGTTTTTAAACAAAATTTCACTGATTATTTACCAATTTCACTTTTAAACAAACTTTATTAGGTTCAGTATCATTTAGCTGCTTTGTATCGAGTGTTAAAATCTTTTAGTGCGCGATTCCGAACTTTTATACTTTGTGCGATAATTATTATTGCGATTATTTATTGTTCAATTTAGTAACGCTTAGGTACTACAGTGTTGGATTTTACAACGTTTTTAAATTTTTATTAAACTTTAACAAAGTTATCTTTTTACTTAAATATATACTTAAAAGTTTCAAAGGTTCAAAATCTAAATTTTAAATTGCGATTTTATTTGGAAATAATTCTTTAAATTTAAATGCAACTCTGGCTAATAAATCACACTTTTGTATCAAACGTTTTGTTATTTACTAAATGTTTACACATTGAAGGAGTTAATGCTAATAATTACATGTTGTCTTGCAAAAAATGTTTATTTTCGGAATTCACTGATGGTAGTAAATTGTTATTCCCACTTCTCGAGAAAGATGCATCTGCAACTTTTGTACTCGTAAGCTAGTAACTTTGTGACGGATGTGCACGTGTAATTAAACTGACGATTATCGCGTTAATCGGTGGTTTTGCGGCTACCTCAAGGTAGACGAAGCCTCGAGGCAATGCGAAAATATATCAATTTGTTGAAATCCATTAAATTTGGACTAATTAAGACAATAATGCACCTGATTTGGCATAATTGACAAACATAATTATAATTTCAACATATAAGTGAGTTTTTTTGGGTTTTATTTACTGTCTGTTAAAATATAGTTATGTTGTCTCTAGATTAATAAAATCAATCCAATATCCATCTCTAGGTACATTTACAAAACTTCCTGGATCACTTTCAATCACTTCTTTGGTTTTGTTATTTACACGAATTTCATAATGTTCTACAAGAGTAATTATAACAAGTTTTGTTTGCAGTGTGCCAAATTCCAGACCTAGACACTTTCGAGGACCGGCACCAAATGGTAGAAAGGTAAATTTTTCAATTTTTTCTTTGTTACCGTCCAAAAAACGCTCTGGATTAAAATTTTGCGGTGATTCATGATAACTTCTGTCTGTATGTAAACCAAGAATTGGTATCAAAACACTCATTCCGACTGGAAGCGTCACTGATGGTCCTGAGTTGTCTTTCCGCATTGGTCCTAATGTAAAAGGTCGTGTTACACGTTTAATGAACACCGAGAATTGAGGATGCAATCGTAAAACTTCTACAAATAATTTATTTCAGATTTAAAATGAGAAAAAAGGTTAATATGTACTCACCGTTAAATACAGCGTCCAAATATGTCATGCCTTGAATCATTTCATAGGACAATTCTTGTTTTCTAGACATGTGTCGTTTTGTTTCATAAATTTCCGCTCGTATTTTATCTTGTATCAGCTGATTATTACCTAGCTCGTATAAAAAATGTTGTAACACGATACAATTCGTGTCGATACCATCGGTGATAAACACCGAAGCGTGACTTCGAATGTCCGCCAAGTTGAAAACACTGTCATCGTTTATTTTTTCTCTACGTTCTTGTAGGAAATCCAACATATCGTTTCTAATAATTTTATTATCTCTACGATATTTCAAAGAATCTTTTATAATATTTGTTAAAAATGCATTAATATGTTCAGTTTTGGTATCTTTTAATAGTATTTTTGCTAAAAACGGAAAGATAGAAATTAAAAACGATTTAATTTTATCTTTCGTAGATGGATTTAATAGAAAATAAGTTGCGGTGAAGAATGTTAATGAACTAGAAGATGAATTAATCGGTTTTTCTTCGGGTTTTGTTTCGAAACTTTCTCCTTTTATACTGAACACACAATTTGAAACATTTTCAGTTGTGTATCTTGATATCAAGTCTTTTGCATTGATTCCAATCGGAGGAAATGTTTTTAAATAATCCAGAAATTGTCTGGATGTTTTATGAAGCATTGGTAACAGTTGTTTGGTCTACAAAATAAATAAACGCGTTAAAATTATTACCGACTTTATTTCCGAAACTATACAAACTTTATTAGTCGTATAACAAGGACTAATTTGTCCTCGAACTGTTTTCCATTCTTCGCCATTTAATAAAAATGGATTTTTGGTTGTGATTAAATTGTTTTTGTCGACATCGATGTCATTGTCATGAAACGAACTAAATTCTTTCACTAATATTGTTTCAATAATGTCTGGATTTCGGATGATTACTGCTGGTTTCGTCGAGTTATAGAAACCTACATAGTTGTATCCTTCAAATTCACTGAATATTCAAAATTATAGTCGTTTATCTAATGTTATTTCGGTCATTTTCTTGTTTTTTTTTTTCTTTCCTTAATTTAATTTAATACTTACTTGTATACGTCCGTTACAATTGTCCCAATACTCCGTCGATGCAGAAACTGATCAAGGATATTCCCCACAAAATAATAATATTTTGGAGTGTCAACACCGAGATTCCCCCAATAACTATGCGTTTTTTCAAAGTACTTAACTACGTAATACAGTAATAAGAATAAGCACAAAAATAGCACATTTATGAACATATTAGGTTTAATTTAAAACATTTATAGATATCAATTTGAGACGCTGCCTTCAGCTGAGGTTGTTATTAAGAGAATAACAAACATTCGTTGTGATGGATCACATTCACGTTGTATGATGTGTTCCTATGACATTGAATTATGAAATATAATTGAGAATTACATGTAACTCTTGCCACTTGTTACCTAACGCATTGTTAGATAAGTTTTTTTCTTTAATATTCTATTATTGCGAGACAAATGTAACCATAATTATATAGTGTTTTTTGTTATTTCAATTATGAACCAAAAATAATCTGCACTTTATTTTATATCGCGTTGGTAAATATTATTCTTTTAACTAAAGAAAACTTTGTGTATTTTTTAAAAATTACTTACCGATGACATTAATAGATGGCGCACTAAGTAGCATTTACGATTTTTATGGTATAAACGTTTTTTATATTGCAAGTATGTATATTCGAATAGACTAATCGCAGACAAAGTTCAGTGTACTTTATTACAAGTATGAACTGGAGAAACTTAGTCCGGTCAAGTTCAATGTCAATATTTTTGCCGCATTTGCATTTTGCGTATGATGCGATTGCATTTTTTTTTATCACATTCCTGACGTAAATGCTGACTGCACTTGTTAAGTTGCACAATATGCAAAATTATTTATTAATACACATGTCACTATGTATCCTCCATCAAAATATTTATTTGCTTACCTTCGATACTCTAAAAGGGTGAAAATAAAAAGCGTTGAACAGAAATGTTTTGGAAACGAAAACATAATTCTCGAGTTTGAATTTATTTTTACACAAGCTCATTATTTCATTATCATTTTTATTTATATAATAATTCCTTAAAATTTAATAAACTTCTCTTATCAATTAATAACGGTAACTCAAATATATTTATAATATTTATAATAATAATTAATCAGTAGATAATAATAATAATAATAGATCGATTCCTAGTCTACACAATAATACAAATTCAATAAAAAAGTATTCTTCTTCAATTGAAATACGCTTCAATCTTGAAAGAAAATCGAACGAACATAGAGGACATAGTCATCGTGTGTGGGTGTGAGTGTGAATGTGAGTCGAATCGAGTCGCTTGATTGCAAGAAACAATTTCATGTCGATGGGGGATGTAAATGTCTCGTGTGTAAAGCCGGCCGAGAAGAGGGACATATCAACATATAACGATGTACAATAGTAATATTAACTAACGAAATAATTAATTAAAAGAATCACGTGAGCGCATCGCAACTCGGGTGTAAATTAATGTAAAATGTTATATAGATACAAATGAAACGTAAACGTAGGTAGTTTTATGCGAAAAATATACAGTACATACAATACAAATTACATACGTACAAAAAATAGTAGCATTTAGGATCAGAATATAATAAAAAAAAAACAGGTAAAACAAAAATGTATAGACAAAAGTCCAAATCAAGGAACAATCAAAGTCCAACCGAAAGTGTAGATGAAAATCCGACAAGAGACAAAAGTTTACAGTTAGAAAATTAGCAGAAAGCAATAAATAATTATTTCACAACTCGATTTTCGTTTTGCATATTCATCGAAATGTTGATTGTAGTTTTTACATTCTCATACGAGTAAGAAAGGAAACAAGATTTGTTTGTAAGTACAATACCCGAAAATGTTGCAAAAATGATTAAATCTAAGGCAGTAGTTTACTGGTTTGTGTCTAGTGGTTTTGTGTGAGTTTGTCTTCATTGTGGGAGGTTCATAAAAGTTGAAATTAATAACAGATAACGTATAGTATAATATAGATAGTGCTTCTTACTTAAACAATATACATACTCACATCAGGTAGCTCATTATTGGACACTTAGTCAAAATATTTATAATTGTACAGCCTATAGATCTCTTTTTCTCTTCATCATCGTTTCCTATCAAGTTCCTCGTTCAAGTAAGAATTCACACAATGTCGAACTTTACAAAATATCCGTGTTAGTAATAGATATATACACATTTTTCTAAAAATTTCCTTTACACATATCAATATCGTACCATTTATATCATATCATCTCAATTGTTTACAATCTCAAATATCATAGCTTGTTGCTGTATATGTCCAACATAAATTCTAGTTTGATTAATTGACCAAGAAACGTCGTAAATGATCTTTGTACTAATTTTTCTCTTTTCTTGTAGTTCGTTTTTAGCTTCAGATGGTAACTTTAACTCAAGACTAAAAACGTGCAATTTTCTTTTGGTAATCACGGTAACAATTTAATGTGTTTGATGTTTTGTGTAAAATGTTTTGTGTATGTGGGTCAAGAAAAACGAGAAACATCGAAAGTAACCGAAAACGTAATAAAGCTAGTACTTCATACTTCATATTCCGGTAGAATTTTTTTCCTTCTCATCTTTATACACATAATTTATATAATATATTTCACAATCATCAATATTTGTTATTAATAGTAATTTTGTGTGTCTTCGTGCATCCGTCGCGCATTCTTTCATTCGCTTGCACACTGTTGGCACCTTGCAGGTGCACAACTTGTCAACTTTGTTGTGTTCATTCACCCATGGATTGATTTCGCCGAAAATTTCCATTCGCTCCGACATACAGACAAGTATAGGTACACGTTGCGCTTACAATTTGTGTCAAATTTTCATCGTCAAAAAGTCGTTTCATTGAATTTAGTTGTCGTCGATTTTAACTTGCAAGTTTTTTATTCGTTCACTATTTCCTACTCGTTCATATCTGCATATTTTCGTCATTTGTTTCATCACCGGATTTGCTCATTAAATATATTTTCATCTTCTATAATCTAGTCTTCTCGATCTATGTTGTATATTATCTGTAATGTAAGAATGTATTTATATCACGCGCCGTTCACTGCCCCGCGATAATTTCCACACACTCTGACGACATTGCAACTTATAAATTATTTGGTAATTGTATTGGTAACTATATATGCGTGGCAATGGGATGAATTGTCTTGTGTTTGCGTTAAGGATAGAAGAGTTTTTAATAGCGACTAGAGACTTGTTTACTGGCAGTGCTCGTGGTAATCAAAAACAGAAAATGGCAGTGGTGGAATTTAAGACTTGTCGCCAAATTTGCTGGAAATTATCACGCGCGTAAAGAGCAGCGCGCTTTTATTGAAGGCAACGCACTCAGACTTTCGTTTCGGAAACGATTTATATTTATTATAATATCTTCTTATGTTATGTACCTCGCAATATATTGAAATCAACACGATCGTGTCCGTGTGTAAACGTGTGTGTGACGAGATTCCGAACGTAATGTGATTTTGTTTTGCTTCGCAATCGACAAACGATGTTTTTTTTTTTGATAATGAACATGAAAATATGAGTAATTTGGTTTCGCCTTGATTTGCATCCGTAATAATTTCTTTTTCGTTTACTTATTCGCTAAAAGTACAAAATTACATTAACAAAAAATTGGTAACTCATTCAGTGTTGGACTCGCGCGGCATGGAACGATTACAGCTCGAAAATCTCACAACGAATGAAATGATCAACGAAATGAAGCGATGAATTTAAGAAACATTTCAGCACTGTAATAATTCCACTGGTAATTATAAAACTACAATAACAATTAAATCGTATTTACCTACAGCATTAAAAAACTCACTTATTTTCATATACACACGTGAAAAAATGCGCCATATGCATAGATTTACGGACAATAAATTAGAAACAAACAAAAACAATCATTCGCAATCGTTTGCATCAAAAAAATGCTGCAACTATATTCATTTGTTACTCGTCGCGTATGTAATTCCATCACTCTTCACTCATCACGCAAATTATTCGTATTAGTTCAATTTATACAAACGAAAATTCTATGTACAATTACTTACAAATACTTTTATTTATGTGTTATGTGTATTCCGGTATAGTAATCTTGACAGGTGGTTGTTTGTTTTTCTGTTTTTAACAATTACGAGGCATCCGCAGGTGCCTCTGATTCGTGTCTGTGTAGTTGCACTATGTTTATTGTAAAAGTAGTCCTGGGGGGTAATCGTCGGGCAGTGTTTATTTGTTTATGCTCTTGCTCAATGGCGTGTACGATTGTAACTCAGGCAGTAGGTTTTTCTGTTTTGTACAAGTAATCAATTGGTAACTAAACTCGTTGCAACAACATATGTGCAATAAAGGCGTATAAAAAACAACGCACATTCGCACAACGCAACGAAGATCCTCCATCTTGGTAGTGAATGAGCTGGCAGTATATAAACGCTATCATTATATAAATTCAATAAAACCTATAGTAGTAAATTATGCATACATAATTGTATAAATTCTGTCGACGTACGAAGAGAGTGGTGCGCGGGCATTCAAGTTGCGAATAAAATCGTTCAGTCGTTCCGTTCAAGTAGTACATAGTCTTTGTCATCGCAAATGTTCGCTTAATCAATCGAATAACGCATCAATTAACCGATATAAATATATCAAATATATTTCCATTTTTTTGTTCAATGCCCTCCACGCTAGTTTTATTGCGATGGTGGTTGGTTGGTGAGAGATTGTTTCGTTTTGTGGATGAAACGTGAGTGTACTTGCGTTTGCGTCCGTCCGGATGCCGATCGTGTGCCTACTTCGTCTACCTCGTCTGTGTTTGATGCCTTGATGAGAAGTTGTTTGCGAGATCGCCACTGCTACTATCTCTGGATCGCCGAATTCAGTAAGAAAGGAACATAGAACATTTTGCTTTCGAGTAGTAGAGCAGCTGCCGATTGAACCTGCCGAATAAAAAATGTATATATTTTTTATTGTTTTTAGTTGAGGATTTGTTTTTATTTTTTACGTACTTCCGGTAATCGCACTAGTAATTCCTGGAACCTAGACGGTTGTTGGGGACAGATATGTTGCGTATATGCCCGCAGGCAAGTCATGTATCTCTCCTGTATATTTTCCAATTCTGCTGCACCTGTGGCTCCACCAGGTCGAGCTGAAATTAAAATAACAGAATTAGTCATTAAATTCCATAGTTGTTGATTTTTTGATAGCTATACCTTGATTAAGCATGGTGATAACTTTAAGGCACACATATTCCTCCATCGTCAACTTTATCCGACGGAACATCAGGGTGACATGGGTGATCTTCTCGACCATTAATCCCACGTCCTGTCGCAATTGGTCCATCGTGATCTGCCTACCCATCATTGAGGTGAGGCAGTTCTGAAGTGTACACAGATTCGTATTCACCTACAAATCAATTTATACAAAACATAAATATCTAGACTAAAATCATTGAATTTCTATATCGTACTTCCTGACTAAACGCCGGCGGCTCACTGCTAATGTCACTCATCTTGTGTGGCTGGCCGTGTATCGCCTGGTACGCGCTGGTGGTGAGTACGAGCAACTCGTGCCACTTGTGCGTGAGCAGGCGCGTGTGCACCTCTACGGGCAGTTCTAAATAGAAGGGCAGCCGCTTGGTCCACTGCACCAGTTTGTAGACGATGGAGTCGCCGATCTGGCAGAGCTTCTCGCTGAGGTCGGACTTGTGGTCGAGCAACTCTTCGAGGTTTTGCAGCGTGGCAATGTCCTGGAACTCGTCGCAATCGATGAGCGTCTGTATCATCGAGAGCGTGTACTCGATGCTGAAGTTTCGGTCACGCGAACTGCTCACAGCACTGTCGAGCCGTTGGCGCAGATGCACCACCTCACTGGGGTTCGTCAGCGCCGTCTTGAGGATGGTGCCGTTGACGAGGTGCGGTGGGATAGCCGCCTGTGGAGGTTCGGCTTTCACCAGCGGCGAGAGCATCGACTTTTCGGTCGCCATCTGCTTCGCTTGCGCTTGTTTGTTGGTCGTCTTCTTGTGCTTCTTGTACTTCACCTTATACAGGTTGTAAACAGCGCCTGAATTACGTCCACCCGGCATTCGGTCCTCTCTGACAGCTGAAAGCGTTAACATATTTAACATTTTTTCTAAATAAATAAATAAATAAAGTATATGATAGTTTGTGCGAGCACTTGGTATGATTGTTGGAAATTGCATTTCGTATAGGTTGTTGCGACGGTTGAAGGTCGTCGTGTCATTATTCACAAATACAAAGTTTCTATTAAGGTCAGTCGTTACCTCGCGTTTTTTCTTTCAACTCTGCAATCACCGGCTGTGTTTTCATATTCTATTCTATCAATTGTTTTGTTTTTCAGCAAGCAACCATGGTCACAGACAACTTTTTCCCTCGCGGTTGTATTGTTTGCGTAAACGATACTAGATTAAATGTTTATTTTAATGCTTACCTTGAAGCACCATGCCTTGCTCGATGCACTTCTTAAACCGACAGTACTGGCACCTGTTCCGCTGCGCCTTGGTGATCTCGCAATTTCCATCCGCCACGCACGTGTACACCCGCCGATTTTGTACGGTTCTCTTGAAGAAACCTTTACACCCCTCGCAGGTGATGATACCGTAGTGCAGTCCCGTTGCTTTGTCCTCGCAAATCATGCAGATCATTGGTTGTTCTTCCTCCTCGTGGTTTTCCAACACTACACCAGGGTCGATTATACCCTGGGGCGCCTTCATCTCCTGTTTGATGTTTCCGTACATCATGGGAGGTGCCGGTGGTAGCGCCGTCGGTGAGGATAAATTCAGCGCTTGTATCTGTTGATTCGCGGGTAGTTGTGTAAGGTCGCCCGCCCATAATCGCTCCATGTTTAACGGAACATTACTAAAATGGGACGTTGGTGACCGCATGGTGGTGGTAACATTTCTCGAGATTACCGCGCTGCGACTTCGCTCCTGGCCCAGGTTGAGCAGCATCTGTGCGGCGCTCTCTTCGGGATTCGTAGCCGACGAGTGGTTCGAGTTGCTGCTGTTGCTCCACGTTGACGTGGTTGCGTGCAATTGGGGTTCGACCATTGGAGATTGGGCTAGGCTTGTGGGTTGTGACCAAATCATGGTGCGCACACCTCCTGCTTCGCCCATAATCACCGTAGGGGTTTGTCGAATTGGTGGATTGGAATTCGCGCGTGCACCGCCAGTGCTGCCGCCTCCACCACCACCACCAGGACTAAGCATGGTTTGTTTCTGCTCCTGATGCCCAAGCAACACGGAATTGTTAAAGTTCCCACCGATGAGTTCGGGCTTCACGCCGTTGATGCGAGAATTCTGAATCCACAACTGGTTTTGTATTACTGTCGCCTGCTGGCACATGATAACTCCTTGGACGTTACGTGGGGAACTTGATGGATGTTGCTGATGTTGCTGTTGTTGTTGTTGATGCTGTAGTTGCTGCTGTGCTTGCGGGGATAGTTGATGGTGCGGTTGATGCTGTGGGGATGTCTGTCGCGCATGATGCGTTGGCGGTGAATGTTGTAACTGGGGTAGTTGATGAACTGGACTTGTTTGATGGGCGATCTAAATAAATACGCGGTGGTAATTAGTTTCCGCGTGAATGTTTGGTGAGTGTCTGATTTACCTGCGGCGAAATGATCAGCGGACTGTGGCGTATCACCGGGCTGGCATTCGCTGGTCGGCCGGGTGAGCTGTGGGGACGAGGGGGTAGCGTCGGCGGCGATGTAGCAGGCGCTGGCCGTAGCGGGGGCGACTGAGCACGCGAACCAGACAGCAGGCGGATGACGCTCGTGGTGCCAGCGCTGGCACCGCCACCGGCTCCTCCGCCATCAAACACGCCTGGCTCTTGTAGCCGACTGGAGACGACCTCAGCTTCTGCTGGATGCTGGTGATGGTTGCGACCGGGCGGCGTCGAGTCGGGGCTCGGCGGGTTTGGCCCGGCATCCGTCATCTTCGGCGATGGCGGACTCACCAGATCCGGCGAGGATGTGCTCGTGTCGGCTACAGATTCGCCTAACAAATCACACATGTTCTAAACCACCACATATATACTTCACCAGTGAAGCACTTACCGTCACTGCTACAACGTGAATCAACTTTTCTCCTCTTGAGCTTAAGGTCTTGAAAGAGGCTCATCTTGTCGAGCTCACACGGGGTACGCGTAAGGGTCATAATTCCTGTAAGAGAAAACAAAATTCAATCATCTAGTAAACAACTTCTCGTTTCAATGAACAATGCTTCATCATTAATTAATTCTATGCATGAGATGCACACGCGGCTGAAACTGCAAATAGGAACGTGGAAGCAACTGCGAAGATCCGACGACGCAAATTTCCTAGAAGGTTACTTCCTAGTTTTGTTTATTCCATTTTATATTTTCATTAACATAACTCAACCGGGAGCTATCGAGTAAATCGCGCGCGTCGCGCTAAACGATGCACACAACAAGTGCGAAGTGCGACGTTTTCAACCAATAATTTACGAACCGTTTGTGCGGTGGATGATGCATTTGATTTGTATGCAGCAGGAAAAGAGCAGAGAAAAAGTCAATGTCACAGCGCCATTTTCAATCGGTCTCGATTCACACACCGACAGCCATGACTCGACGACTTGCCAATCATAAATTCCGTTAAATCGCAATTAATAACGACGTTAACGACAAAAAGCCAACAACAACAACAAATTCTCCATCCAATTTGCAGTTTTAGCCGCTGATCGGCGTGGAGAGCAACCTTAGGCTTTGATTTTTCTAAATCGAATTATATTCAAATTGAATTCACGCTCAATTCTAGGATAAAAGGCCAATGTCAAAGTTTTTGGCAATGACGATACTTTAATTCATTGAACCTTGACAATTTAAAAATAAGAATTTTAATTTAAAATTCTCGTTGCGGTAGGAGCATTTTACAACTTTGCTTGATTTTTTTGCGCGTAGTGTGAGCTTCATTCATTCATATTGTTAACTGCACGTTTCATACGCGTGCAGTATTGATCGTAGGAGGACAGCTACTATATCTATTGAGAATTACAACTCAAGCTCATGAAATGTTATTGTTTTTATTCGCAAAAAAGTGAATTTAATAAGAGTTGAGCCTGAGTTAAAGTGTGTACTGTGTTGTTAGTTAACGTCTCATGTTGCATGTGCTATGACTTACGCAGCAGTGCAGTGCAGCGGCGAGTCGCAGGAATCGCAGGAATGATTTGCCAATAGAGAATTTGTTATGGCGTAACCTTGCCGGGCGCTCGTCGCGTTTTTTTCGAATGCATCGCAGTCCGCCGCCTGCCGCAGCCTGCGAGCCTACGCCGTTGCATGTTTTCGCGCTGCTGTTTATTCATAGAACTTGACCTTTTAATAATATTATTAATAACAATACAGCGTCTAATAAAGACGCACGCATGAATTCACTCTAGTTCATCACTTGCAAATCGCGAATAATCTTTACGGCAATAATAGAAAAATCGCTTTTTGGACACGTTGTTATTGAATAACTCGAACCAGTTTGGTGTTAGTTGTGTCGGCAAGCAATACATATATCGATAAAGTGCGGCTCGCAATGATGATAAAATACTGATTGCACATTGAGGTGGGTCTGCGCCGGCGCCATGCTCGCGTTTCGAGTTATCGCGACAGCGCATTTTCCGCACACGTGGTCTCGCGAAAATTACGCACCGCGCACTGTGTTTATCCGTCTCGGCGTGCGCATAGTATTCCATTCTCTCCGCGCTTTGCACCACACGCCGCCAGTCATTGCCGCACCATTGGCGTATTAATAGGTCGAGCGTAGTAGTAGTACTACCGCTGCGCAGGAGCAAAGCAACAGCTAGGTGAGTTAAGCGCGTAAGCGCACTTTGCAACCGCGCGCACGGAAGCGAATTGCGAATGAAACTGGTGATGCCTGGCGATGCATTCCGATCACCTAAAACGTACGGAAAACAACGCTGTTCGAGAGTGTGTGAAACGTGCGCGTGTCACAAAGCGAGCGTAATTTGTTTTTTGATAAGAACTAGCGTGAAATTCGCACCGAATAACAACTTAACCTATTTCTACAGGGTGGGGCAATTGCAAGCCCACTCAATGATGCAGAATTTTAGACGTTATTAGAAGCGTTTAGTTGTGTCAATTTAGCAAGTTGATGCAAATGATTTTTCTAAACTGCAGCGTTTCTCTCAATGAGACATCCTTGGACATTATGCAGTTGACCTTACTAAAATGAACTTTATATATTTACTATTGGAAAAGCGAGCTGTGTGTGAGACGGTTGCATTACACAACTGCGGCAGTTATACTAGCATTATATTTTTAATGAATAATCGCACTGTGAGCGTGTTTCGAGTGTTTGCAATTGCAGCAAACGGCAACAAATTATTTTTTATTGTATTCCGCTCCTCTCCGCACAAGTACTCCTCGTCTATAATTAGCATCCAAACACACGTTCTAAGAAATATCATTTCACTAGTAAAAATATTTTCATACTTCACTTACTTAACTTCCTACTTATTATTATTTCTAGTAATATCTGCTTTGAATTCTATAAAAAGAAATTCCCTATGGTTTTTGTTGACTTCTTGCCTTGTGTTGTGTTTTCTTTCCGTTCTATCTGATGGTAGATGCTTGATGGTAACGCGGCAGAAAGAAGCACATTACGAGCGTCATTATTGGAAAGTAAAATTCGCACTTATATAACGCCGAAGCGAATGAACGCTCAACTTGTCTGTAGATGTGTTGGTGTGTGCCACTCTTCGACACGCCAACGAGCACCATAGAAATGACGCTTTTGTGTGTGCCAGAGAAAGTTTTCTGATGTTAATGACCTGCCGTAATTCATCAGCAGGAAAGGCACAACATTCGTTTGTTAACAACAAATTAAAACGGATAAATATAATCAGAAGTTTCGGTTGATCAATGCAATCAGACATGCAATATTGCAATTCCATTAATTACACGTTGTAATTGTGCGATAATTAAGTCAGTTATATGCATTGCAAGCATATTTATAATATGTCACATAATAATTTTCCATTTAAGCAGAAGAATTATTAAGTGCATGCACAGAAAGGAGAGCTTGCGAGAGTGTAACAAGTGGATTTTATGTAACTATCTAACGACTTCTTTCTTAGACATGCAATTTTGCTCTGTGCAAAGTCGCGCTCGCGCGCGTTTGTTCGGTAACCAGCTATGCAACCAGATTTGACTAGCAAAGCGCTGACTCGCCGCATTATGATGTGTTGCACTTATTGAACGGTGTTATGATAACAAGCAATATGTAATAATAATTGGCGTGCGCAACAAATTGTCTGTTATGTAATTTAACGATGCAAAAAAGAAATAGATATTGCGCTTTGGTGCGTATTTTTCAATTCATGCAAAACACTTGGTATTATGATTTGAAGTACAATCGAACGTGCCGATCGCGCTGTGTAATTTTCGCGTAAAATTAAACGCAGCGCTAATGTAATACTCGTTAAACGCTTTGTAAGAAACGAAATTAATTCGCTGGCGTCGGCTGGAAGGTCATGAATGTGTTATTGCTTATCAAAACTTTAGAGAAATTGTCTAAAATTCCGAACAGAACAAATTTTGTTGAACAATGCACACGAGGTATGATAATCAGCGGCGAAGTGAAAAAATAAAAAAAAAATTGAAACTGGCACATTGTACCGTTATGTCGGTGCGCCACAATCGGTATATTAAATTATGACATATAGTAGATAACAAAGTTAGAAATCAAATTAAAATAACAAAAATGCAACCTCTGTTAAAAAATAATTAATACTATCAATTAAACTTTGGTAAGAAAAAGTATAGTTTTAAAAAGTGGCACCTAGTACCGGACACATATTTGTGCCATACCCCTCTCACCGGACATTTCAAATATGTCATATGGTTAGGTAGGCTACCTTGTTTGGTATTATTTATGGGGCGGTGGGGGGTGGGGTGATAGAATTTAACGATTTAATCAACGGATTTAACACACTGACTAGAAGCAGCCCGTGAATGCATACATCCACTAGCTAATGTGTTCATTTCAGTTACAATGAATACTTTAACTACGAATTTTAGCGAATGTATGCATTGACTAGTAAATGTATACATTTACTAAATGTATGCATTGACTGCAACATAGCCATCTCCTCACTCTCTCGCTCTCACAAGAAATATCAATATGTTTACTGTCCGGCGCTAAGGGACAACTTAGTGTCCGGTGCTAAGGGACAGACATTTTCGTTCATTTGGTGGTACCTACTAAAATTGTTTAAAAAATCTAATAATATTCTACCATTTTACGGATAACAATCAAGTACTACTTGTATCTTTGAATACCACTCAAATGTAAATGCATAAATATACTAGAATTAATTACATTGATATTTAGGTGACGTCGTGATTTTGCGCCTGAAACAGCAAACGGCTGCTCCCGCCGTGGCCGTGTGCGTTACTGGCGAGCCACGACGAGTGATCCTGTACCTGTGAGCCCCCCGCGCCCCTTTCACTTGTTTTTTGAAATGAAAAGATTTAAACTAGCTTAAATAGTACGAGTGTCCGGTGCTAGGTGCCGTCCGGCGTTACGGGACTTCCCCCTACGCTTAATAAACGTATGATTAATTGTTTTCGCATACTGATCGGCTTGTTTTGCAAATAATGTATCTTTTCAAAAAAAATTTAACGATATTTAGAAAATAAAGTTTTGTGTGTTTTGCGATATGTGTAGAAAGTAGGCATATAACAATAAGATATAAGTGCTTTCTTATTATTGACGTGTAGTTTATGTCGTGTGTGTCATTTAACTTCCTGGTTGGCGTTGCATTCAATAAACTTCACGTCGTTTAACTTGACTTGCGCGCTATTAGATTCGCGTTGGCTGCGACGTGCGCAATTGTGTATGAAATCAAAATGTGGGATGAATCGTCGATCCGGTCACTTCCTGCTGTTACATATCCACATCGCGGCGAGTTCTTCTATTCTCATTCTATTCATTAGCGTTTTGCATGCGCGCAAGCGAGCTAGCCGCCGAAGTGAAAGTGACTTTCACATTACGTGTGCGCGCTCGTCACCAGCACGCGCTGATTGCGCATTTCTAAGACGCCCGAGAGCGCTTTATTGTTTTGATGCAATTCTAATTCCGCATTGGATTTTTCCACAAATTTACGTGTGTAATGTGTTTGAATTCGGTAAAAAAAACATCGACGTCAGAGCGCGCCACTTGTTCGCGGAAACTTTTGACTCACCTAGCGAAGACATGTCGCCCCATTCACAGCAGGAAAATTTCAATGCGCTTCAGCAACACTTACAAGACTCTTATTCACCAGCGACGTAGTAAAATCCATGGAAAACTATATTTAACAACACTTTAATTTTTAAGTACTTGTTTAATATGTTTAAAGCACACAGCATCCAAAAATGAGGAACTTTGTTTTTTGTTTTGCTTCAAATCCAAAGTATTAGTTACAATATTAGTCAACATGTAGTGATGGGGTGAAAATTCGCCCGTGGTGTAAATTTTTCAGTCATCGTTCTGCCAGTCTTGCGGAAACGAAACGCGCGCGTTTTTCGAACGGACAGACGCGCGGCGATCGCGCACCGCTCGCGCTAACTGTATTCGTAGTACTACAGATACAGCTACGCCGTGAAGCGAGCGGCCTTTGGCGCGCCGCGGACTCGACCAGGTACCAAAGTAGGGCACAAACTAGGCGCACACACTCGCGGTTGGTAGGCGGGCGCCGCAGAGATAGAGAGGTTGAGCGCGCGCGTGTGCGTTCCGCGGAGTCGCGAACGACAGTGCCGCGGCCCGGCCGGCCAAAGACATCGCCGAACACACCACCAGTCAGTCAGTCAGTCGCCGAAAAAAGCGCACACCGCCACCGAGTGTGCTGCGGAAATCTCGTTCTTTCGGATACTGAAAAAAAAACTTTCACCTTTTTTTTTCGGATGATTCTCGCATCATCAATTCATCATGTCCACAAAATCACCACTTGCACACTCACTGAAGTTGTTGAGATTTTCTTTTGCTTACTTTGCTTACTTTACTACTGCAACTTTGGTTATGTTTACGATTGTATATCTTTAGAATTTCGGCAAAAAACATTTCGCATCCAATTCAGGAAATCACCTCGCATTCATTCGATAAAAATACACAAGTTTAAGTTTAACTCGATTTCGCCTGCGTTTGATGGTTTTTTGATGTTCCGGCTGTTTGCGTCTTTCGCTTTTTTCGTCGCCGCGGAGTCATCGTACGAATTATTCCATAACAACGCGCGCGCGGCGTGTAACGGGGGGGGCCAGCCAGAGTAACAAATTTCGTTTTCATTACTAACCGTTTCGGTTTTTTTCTGCCGCGCATTTCTCGCGTCGCCGAGTGCGCGCGTTTCTTTTTAATTTCGTTTCGTTTTCGTTCGCCGCAAGACATTGGCCTCTTGCGACGCAATCGTTGCATCGCCGAAATTTCGGTTCGAGGTGAAAGTCAATCCTTTCACACTTGAGACTTTCGGCAACCACGACACACCGCTGAGCTTACTTTTTGGCCGTTTTGTATTCACCTTAAGTTGGTATACCTGTTGTTTTTATTTTTATTTCGTCGGTTACGTATTAACATTTATTAGCATGCTGTTGGTAGGAAAAGAAGTTGGTGAGAGTGCATAGCCCTCGTTTTTGCGTCGACGCTCGTTAACAAAATTTTTTTTTTGGTGAACTTGCCCTCTCGCGGTGTGCTGTGTGCGGTGTTCGAGGAACGTGAAATCGCGCTCGCGCTTTCTTGCGACATCGCGGTGGGCCGCCGAGCGTGCTGCCGAAAAACGCTCGCTGGAAGGTCTTGGGCAAGAGCGTTCGCAATGAATTTTAGCATTGAAATCGCTGCGCTCAGCGCGCAACGCGCGCGCTTTGCTCCTCGAACACAGGAGGTCATGTTTGTTTTCGCTGCGGCGAGCGAACTCCACCAGCTTTCAACTTTAACACCTTGGTTTATACGCACGTACGCACTTTAAATATTCACCTGTATTTAATAAAATCAATTGATTTTGTGTAAAAATTTAATTGCTGACCATAATTTGCCTTGTTACCTAATGGCACGGTTGACAAGTAGGAAAAGTGCACTCTAAGCACTCATCATTTGCGCATCAAGCACCTTTCAACTTGCTTTAGCACACTTTCGATTACGTTTTGGATTTGGTTGCGTTGCAGCGCAGTTGCTGACTTTGTTTACACTTGTATCCACTGGAATTATTGGATTTTTATGAAAAATATTGTGATATAAACTCCACGAAAACTCCACTATGTATTCCACTAAATGATATGTTTACCTATTCGCTACGAAAGAATGCGTAATATATATTGCGCAGTTTCATTCGTGTTGTTGTCTCTTCTACGAAGCGTTTCCTCGCGTATTTTTTGATAGTTTTGCAATGCGTCCGCCACGCATAAATAGCGCATAATTTCTTGACGCATGGAACCAACTTTTTCACGCGTTCACGCTGAGGTGAATAAACGTTTTTGAGCGCATGAAAACAATATTGCAACAGTGTGTCTATTTTTACATTAATTAGACACACACGTATATTTTATATTTTCGGGGAACGTTTAGTCAACATGTAGTTCCGCATTAGTCTACTAGGGAAATCAAAATGTCAAACAAATATTACTCACACTGAGCAGGAGATATTTAAAGAGCTGTCCTGGTGAAAAAATGCGTTTTTTGCCTAATCGTTAAAGTCACTCGTATTTCAGTCGGACTTTTACGACGCTTTTCAAAATAACCGCATCGGATATCACAAGTGTCGACGTGACATTCCAACATACCGCATGCGTGCATTCATTAAGGAAAATTCATCACTTCAGCGAAAGTTCGTCAAAGTACTCGAACTTGCCCCAGCATATCGCATACGTTGAATAAAGTACAGTTACTTTTTTTCGGCGCTTGGCATTCACACGAATGAACTTTCTATTTTTTCGGAGAGTTCGGATGTCCGAATCGAAATCCTGCCAACCTCCGAAACGCGCAACAATGGAAAGAAACTGCTCTGCGGGTTGACGGAGAGAGAGTCGAAATTTCAAGAGTACAAGAGGCGTGCCCGAAAAGACAATCGAATAACGCACACGTTTTATATTATTACACGTTTGTAAAACGCCAAATATATAAAATCTGTGGCCGAAACTTTCGATTCAGTTCGCGTTCACTTTTATTTCATATTTGATTGTACGTTTTTGGGCATTCTGTCCAACTGCTGGCGTGTTTGGCGCGTTTAGGAAAAGTACTTTCCAATTTTATTTAGTTTTTAATTCTACCGTTATCGTATCAATATTCCCACCGAGTGGCCAAAACAAACTTGAAAAGACCAACTTTAACAAAAAATATACCGTTAGTTAACATACGATACTAATTGGCGCATAATTTGTGTATTTTTTTAACGGACTGCTCGTTGATATGTAAATTGAAATTCAGGAAGCGAGTTTTCAGAGCGTAACACACCGCAGCCTGAAAATAACGTGCGCCGGGCGTTTGCCTCAATTCGTGTCCTACGAATGTGTCCATGCTGAACTAAATTTAAAAGCCAACCATCAAAATCAAGGATTTTGCGGTGCATCGAGAGGATGCACCAGTATCCAAAGCGCGCTTCAAATAGTTCAATGCGTTTCTATTCCGGCGCCGCGTGACGGCCGATTTTCTTGGCCTATCTTAATAAAACGACCTCGGGGCGGCGAATTGCCAGCGTGCCAAAAAATCGCAATTTGCAATTGCATTAACCATCATCACCTGTGATGCCGTAACATAGGGTACAAAGTGTATTTCATTCTACACTACTTAATTTTATATTGATAATTCAGCGTTTGATAAATTGTTAGTGGTCTGATAACAACGGCCATGGGTATTAACGCCATTTTGTGTTCAATTTTTCATAAACCGATGCTAGATTATATGGCCTCAATGCAACAACTGATACAATCTCTATCTATGTCAATTGATGCATTCGAATGTGTTTGGATATGTTGTGTTTGTTTGTTTAATGTGTCGCCGGTTGGAAATAAACGCCACCTCATAGTGGTGCCGTTAAATGTCGACGCTTCCGCGTGCAGCCGTGGCAGTAGTTTGGTGTGATAGTTCCGACCTAGGACAATGTGGATCGATCGTCCCCGGAGTCGAGAGAGTCCCTGGCGCTTTTTAACGCTGGCTGCGATTCGTTTGCATTCAAACACGCAAAACACAAAAACACAAGTTTTAATTGCTGCTATTCGAACATATTTTATCTTGATATATAAAAATATAATGCATAATCCTGAATATCCTAAGAACCACCCAAACACTTGATGCGCACTGCTGGAGTTTTCTGGCGCTGCGGGTTTCCTAGTGTTTTGATGGTTTTCCACTCTACAGGAGTAATGTTTGCGTGTGTTGGTCTTGCGAACGCGTGTGCAGGATAACGTCGTCGACAGCTTTACACGCTGTATTCGTGTCGGTGTGATGTTTGTCGGTCGATGTGTGTGTGCGGCGCACGAGCGCCAGCTATATTTACGAAACTCGGGGGCGTCGGCGACGACGACGTATCCAGGCAACGTGCGCGCAAGGGTCATTGGCACTAAACGTCCCAATAACGACATTTCCGCATTACTTCCATCCGTCGACGGCGTTCGGTGTGTGTGTGTGTGGGTTATCGACTTCTTCGCCGCGAAAAGGATCGATCCTTTTGCTAGGTGTCTTTTTATGTCTATTTATCAGCACAACGTTTTTAAATTATTTAAATTTTCTATGGTTTATCCATTATTTAACATTAATCATGTTTAATGTATGAATTCTCTTGATTTTTATAATAATGCTGAATTACAATGAACTTGAATTTGTTTTGTTTGATCACGGATCGTTATCGAATGCGAATTTTCCGCGAGAGTCCTGAATCCTGAATGCGTGGAGAATGTAGTCTGAAGGTCTTTGACCTCCGCGGCAGCCTGGCAGTGTGTGTGTGTGGCGGTGGTGCGCGCCTCCAAAATAATCAATAATCGCCGCGGCACACTGCGCTGACTGTGCCGATGTGCGCCGTTTTCCACGACGCTTTCCCGACCAACTTGTGCGAATGTATGCGAGTCGTCGACTCCGGGGCGCGCGCGAGTTTATCTCCGGACATCCACAACTTCAACCTTCAAAATTACACTCGAGGCGAGCTCTGGAAGAGTGGCGGTTGAAAAACTAAAATGAACCAGGCGCTAAAGGACTGTTGTAGTCAGCAGTAAGCTTTCCAGGACTCTCAGCGCAAACAAACAAAGGACTCTTTTGCGCGGCCGGTTATCAAAAGTTTTCATCAGGCTAGGATTATCGCGATGTCTACATCTTGAGTAAACAAAATGCACACGATGAAAGAATAAATTATAAAATAATAGGAGAAGAAATAGAAATATTTCTATTTACAAACAATAATTGTAGAAGGATATAAAATTAGATTGTTTGTTTTGGGTGGGAGAGTCTATTTCCGGTTTTGTACATTATTTTCTTCTTTGACTCGACAACTCTCCGGGTCTCGCCAGGTAGAACGGTGTGGAAAGGTGGAAACACGGAAAACCCGAACACATTGAAATGTGCGCCCTGGCGCCGCCGCGTGTCGAGACGCAGCCGCCCTTGGCCGTGGCATTTACCCTAATCGATACGCACACACCACGCACTCAGTGGGCCAGTCGGGCCAAGGTTTGGCGCGCCGAACACCCGGACAGAAAGAACCGCATCGCTGCACAACTGCTGGTGCTGAGCTGCAAGAGCAGCAACTTTATGATTCCCTTGTTTTATAAATTATATATACAATATTGTGGAGGCGCCGGGCATAAAAAATCCAAGCAACTTTTCTCGCATTGCGTACATTTGCAAATATAAATAAATTAACTAAAGAAGTCTGAGTGTCTACGTATCATGCTGCGTAGCATAAATAATTATGGTATTTATTTTGTTCTAGGTCTCTCTGTGTGTAACTCTGCGACGCAGCCAAGGACGCAAGAAACCTCTAATCGACTTAAGGACGTTCGTTTGTTGGTTGAGCAAGTCTCTCACCGAGTCAAGTCAACTGAGGTTGACTTAAGCCATTAATCGATAGTCAATGGTCGATATACAGTGATGAAATCGTGAGTAGATGATTCATTTTTGGGTTTAAACTTTGCTTTTTGCTCCGATTAATACTCGCACGTGTAGACGGGAGACAAAATTAGGCAGACGATACTCGTATTTTTAATCTAATCAGACAGACAGTCTGACTAAGTTGTTTAATTGCATCCACTCGAGTGTATGATGCGTTTTTGTCGAACACTTTGTACACGTTGTGTGTGCAGCAATAAATCGGTATGCAAGGTTACTACAAATGATCCTGAGCGCATGACGAAAGACTCGGGAAAGTTGCACATGTCGACGATTTTTAAATTATACCTGCAACTGAAAGAAGAAACAACGAATTTCGCAGGTGTTTCGGATGCGTACGCGTAAATTTACATAATTTTCGGTTTCGACAAACATCTTCGCCGGTTGTCTTGTGTTGAATATATAGCTGATTATGCATTGTTGGCGGGCTTTTGGATTGAATGATGCTCTCTCGCGTTACCCTAGCGCTTCTGGCTGATTCTTCTGGTTCGCGCCGAGATCAGCGCCGACCGTTTGTCGACCCAATGCGGACGACAGCGAGCGAACGCGCGCGCGGACCAGAATCTAGGTCAACTTTCTCTTTAGAAGTGAAACCGCCGTTTGATTTTTTCGCACCGAGTTCAGGTGAATAACCTGCACATTGTGTATCCACTGGCATCGTTGCGTAACGAGTGTTGCCCTCGCATCGAGCGTTCGCTGCGCTGGCAAAACTCGCCTCACGAGCGTGGTTTGTCCTTCCTCCATTCCTCCGCAAATCCACGACCGAGAGATGCGAATCATAGCTATTTGTCTATCATATACCAACATGTATTCAAAAATATTCAAAACATTTTTTAAAATTTTTGTTGCTTTTGTGGTTATATCTCATAATTGTTATATTATTATTTGTTACATCCTGTATAAATGAGTAATAATTTAATTCTCATTCGTTCGCACCGCGCAAATATAAGTTACCTCTCTCGCATCTTGCGAAATCTCTTTTGTATTCTGGAATATCAATGTTAAGGTGTTTAAGCAACACGGTGTTGTTGTTACTTCGCGCGTTCGCACTGTACCTACGTGCTAATGCAGGCTGCAGGCCGTTGGCGCTCGCGCAGAAATGGTAAAAATCGAAACGCATATGGCGAGCGATTCGATTGCAGGACGCCGTTCGACGTGAATGTCAACGAATTGCGCAATTTCCTGAGAGCGTTACCAACTACTCTCAGGCAGGCTTGCATCGGGCGATTTATTGCACGGGTTAGAAAATTGAAAATTGTTGTATGGTTTCGAAATTTCTCATGTAATATTTGGTAAGTCAAAACATAACACGTTGCACACGCACCACGCATGATTTATTGTAAGTGAAAAATGTGAGTTTGAGTCGCGACGAGGCGCGCACAGACAGAGTCATGGTCTGTATTTGCATTTTTAAGCCTTTATTTGCGTATGGTTCACGTCGCTATGGCAACTTGACGTGTTTACGTTTTTGGTAACCCAATTTCGATTTTCCATTGTTTTCGTGTGTGGCGTACATTGAAAACTATATGTCAAAGCGATTTTAAAATGAGGTATTTACTAGTTTGCGGTTGTTTTAATCCACAAAACACGCCAAATGCAGCAGCAATTAAGGTAATAAATCATTATCTAATCAGTGTCATAATTCGATTAGGTAAGAGCATTTTCCGCCTCGACAGCGCATAGAGAAGAGAATCGTTTATCTCAGCCTCTCTCTAAGAACACACAGCGGGGGGAACGAATTTACCGCATTGAAATGCATCGAAGGCTATATTTAGCGACTCTGCGGTGGCGATGTCGATGGTGAAAACTAGGAAGGCTTCGTCGGCCGATGGCTTCGACCTAATAAGGACGCAAAAGGAGAAGTGCACGAATTGCACTCTCGTCAAGCGGGCGTTACATAACGCACGAGTTTATATCCGTGTTTGCTCTGAGAATTCTATTAAAATCCACTCTAAAAAATAATCGAATTACAAGCGCGCGGTAATATTGTTGTTGATATTAATTAAGATTCGAGTTTTTTGTGTGTGTGTGTTTGGATTGTGGACGAAAAATTGTTTTTCACGTCGATTAGTTTTCCGCAGGCAGCATTGGCTTTGGTTATGCACACGTTCGCGAGCTGCGCGAAGCACAAAAACCGATTGCAACATACGACCTAGATGCAGGTCATTGCTATGTTGCGAGAGCGTTCCCATTGAAAACGAAACATAAGGTCGCGGAGCGCAGCGCGCGCGCTAGCGACGCCAGCGCCACGGCGAGCGGAATCCGCCGCAGGATGCCCTGCTATTGCGCACGGTGCCCAATCACAACGCACGCTGACTTAACCGATGGCATGCGATTGGTGCGCGCGTCCTGCGAGCGCACGGGCTGACCTCTCGAGCGAGTCGAGGACTCGCCAATGCAATTCTCGCCTGCAATCGCGCGTCGAGGCTGAATTTCTAGTGTTCGTCGTTGATGGAGAAGCGCAGCGCATTTGATGCACCAGCATTAGAACAGCTTATGTTACGCTTTTTTTACTTCAAACAAGTACCTAACTAATGGGATTTAGCGCTGGGAGGTGTACAAATATAGTTATCAATGGGTACTTCATTAAAAATTTGAGATTTGAATCTGTGAATTCTTCACTGTACGATTTTCATGTTTACCGAATGATAATTTCATCTATCAATAACAATGTAGGTTGAAAAATTGGATAAGCACACACTTCAGGGTTCTTTAAATATTTAAAGAGCATCCCAGTACGTTTATTGACAATTTAATCGTGTCTGTTATGTTCTACAATGTAACGCTATAAAATAACGTTTATATGATTTATAGCATAACATTTCTAACTCTTTGAAAACGTTCGGCGCGTGTGTGTTGTATTGTGAATTTCACTTTCTAAAATAAAAACGGTTTCGTCATCGGCGCATTTCGAGCAGAGCCGCGCGCGCGAGTCGCTTCGCTTCGCGGCGATACGAATCGTTTCCTGCTTTCACAAAATCGCACCATTCCGATCTTCATTTGATGTGCGCGCTTGCAGCTAAATCTAAGTTCTCATTGAGATCGCATTCATTGCACTCTTGCGATATTCTGCGCGGTGCACGCTTTATTAAAATCGCTTCCTCGTTCGACTTGTGTAGTGTAGTGTTGTCACGAGTAGGCCGAGCGTGGAGAGAGTTTGGTTGCTCATCGATTTGAGATGAAACGCATCCGAACAATTCTATGCTTTGTGGTGTTCACTTGGCTTTTCTATTGTTCGCGGTTTGCAATAACTCGTAGACGTAACAAAAGTGATGCGATTCCAATCACATCCGCGTGGAAATAAATGTTTTATTAATCGATGACTCAAGTATCTTTTGAAATGTATCAATAATATAAAAATGAATCGCAAAATCTGTTGGTAAGCGCATAACTCAACAACGTTTGGGCCAATTTGCCCAATTCTTTTTAAATGTTTGTTAAAGTCCAAGGATGGTTTTATAGCGAGAAAAATTCGAATAATTGCCGAGAAAACCCTACAGACAGCCCTTTTCTATAGGATAAAAGTTGGCATTGTGATTAAATCATAGTTATAGTTAAATTGTTGAATCCGAGATGGCGCGCTGAAGTGCATTATTAGCAATTCTTTATAGGGGAAGGTAGCATAATTTGGACCAGCGCCTAAGTTGGACCACCACGATATCCGCGGACTGTTGATGTTTTTGCAAAAATAGACAGGCCCCTTGTTTTACTCGTATTTATAAACAATTGATGCAACTATTTGGGTTAAAACTTGCCGCGTGCTTTCGTCGTGACAACAACTTCGTGTATCCTTGATTATCAAATCTATTATAACGACGTAAGTGCATAAGCTGTCAAGCTGTTTAAACGTTAGATTTCACGATTATAATTATATCATCAGAAAGCTTATTTATTTATCTATAATTTATAGTATTAATTTGGAGAGGTTATGTTATATTAAGATTGTCGTTGATCATTAAATAAAAATTCTTCAAGTTGCCCAAGTTGGACCGGAGACAGGCACCGGGTTTTTACAGGGAAAACGTATATCATTTTTTTGATCTCTTAGAAAAGCTTGTGGACGAGCACAAATCTTCGAAATGATGCAGTGTATGAAATGCCGCACTTTGGTTTATACAAAATGTGCTTGTGTTTCTGCTAAAACTAAAATTTACTATTGTGTCAATTGCCGTTAAAAAAGCATAGTCCAATTTAGGAAACCGCGCGGTCCAATTTAGGAAACCGGTTTCTTAATTTGGACCAAAAACACAATTTTTTTAAATTGAAATTTGAGGGGTATAAATATAATTTTTACTTAAATCAAAAATATCATTTTGTTGGTAAGCCTTGTGAGTTACTTTTCCGCTACTTAATTTTTATTGACAGTTTATATGTGGCTCTATAAATCGAAAAATATAAAAATGGTCCAAATATGGCTACTTTCCCCTATAATTAATTTTTTAAAAATAAAATTGCGAATTTAATTGATAGAATTGACACATAGGTACCTACTATGTCTAGAACAAGAGAGTAAAAACGAGTTAGGTACATTTTTATTAAACACTACCGGGACGAAGTCGCGTGTTATAATTTTTTTTTTAAATTTAAACGAGTATAGGTATTATTATTATTTTATTTATGGTTTTGTATCCCACCTGTTTTGATGCGTTTCGAATTTCAATTATACACGATGAATACGAAATTTTTCCATGCCTGGGGCGATCAGAAAAATGAAGCTTCTCAAGTACACTTATTCGTGAATCATGTCGATTTCACGATGGTTACGAAAACTTGTTGATGGAAAAACACACACTCACTTATAAAGTGTATCATATCGCTTTTGTGCTTTATGTAAGAACAGCGATCTGAACTTGACGTTGTCTTTAATTAATTACTCAATAACAACATACCTGCTCTCTCTTCAAAAAAATCTAAGCAACCAAAATAACTTTATTCTATTATACTTAATTATTTATGTTTTAATTCCTATGGTAAAATAATTTACCACACT